GGGGTGTGGCTCTGTTGAGGGTCGAGACTTTAGCGCAGGGCTTTGGGTGGAAACCCTCAAACCTAAACCCTAGTTCAACCCCCAACCCTGAACCCAAACTTAACCTCAAACCCTGAATCCTAACTTGTTCCTAAGCCCTGAACCCTAACTTAACCCGACCCTGAGCCCTGAGTCCCTATACTTGTACCTTAGAAGGGGCCCCCACCCTGTAATAGTGGTATAATTATAGTCACTATTACGGGGTGGGGGCCCCTTCTAACCTATACCTTAACCCTGAACCTTTGAAGCGGGTTGTTTAGCGTCTCGGGCTTCTTCTTGAGTGAGGCTCGCAGAGTTAAGACTTTAACCCAGGGTTTCCGCTCTGGGTTTTCGACAAGGGTTTAGGGTAAAGGGTTTAGGGCTTAGGGTCAGGGGGGGGTGAGGGGTTGGCGAATTTGCATCGCGGGTTCAGGGTTTAGAGTTCAGGGTCTAGGGTTTGGTTTTCTGTTTGGGTTTAGGTTGAGGGTTTCGAGTTTAAAACTCAATGTTTGGGCAGAAGATCTGCGCAATGCACGGTCTCTGCAATTACTTCACCTCTGCCTCGCAAGTTAAGTCAGCATCCATGGGCGTAGCAGCATCTCGGAGCAAGCGAACACGACGTAATGTCCACAGAGACCTTAAGCCCCAAACCCTCAACCCCTCCGCCCTTGATATCAGATGCCCCATACATTTCGGAAACTCCGGAACCCTGAGGGTCCAAGTACCCAATAATCATTATTATCTATCCCCAATACTGACCTAGAAACCTACCATCCTAAAACCCAGACCTAATACTTGGTCCTTCGGACTCTTAGGGTAGGTTGCAGAGCCCTTCGCCGAGGTGGCAAAGCCACGAGGATCGCAATTTTCTCACAGGGCGCAAAGACACCGTGAAGCTGTGGCCAGCCGATATATGGCTTAGGGTGTTCAGGTTTGGCATGTTGGGTGTAGGGTGTTTTAAAGGATTGTTCTGAGTTTTAGAGTCTTTTGCGGGGGTGTTCCGCGACAGTCCTCAACAGCAGAATCCTCACTAGCAGATGGGGAAGAACATCAACAACTGCAACTGCAACAAGTGCTACTACGGCTACGATGACGGCGACTATTGTTGCTACAATTGCTACAAGAACAAAAAGATTCAGAACAACTGCTTGCTGCGGCTGCAACTGTAGCCTTAGCTACAAGTACAACTACGGCATCAACAACTGCTGCTGCTGGCGCTACTGCTGCTGTTGGTGCTGGTGGTGCTGCTGCTGCGCTGCCGTTACTACTACCACAACAACAACTACTACTACTACTACTACTACTACTACTACTACTACTACTACTACTACTACTACTACTACTACTACTACTACTACTACTACTACTACAACTAGAACGACAGGTGCAAATACCAGGCAACTACCAGCACATCCACAAAATTCTTGAACCTTAAGGCGCTACAGTAGCGCTACACAATAAACCTAGACCAAAAAACCCCTAAACCCTACCTCAACCCCACGTAACCTACCTTTTTTAGGGTTCCCTAATATGATTTCTTTATATCAGTCCTTAAAAGGGTAGGTTACGTGGGGTTAAGGTAGACCTTGACGAACACCTAAAGCCTTCCACGCCCCTTCTCAATCCAATTAAAGGGGCTCGCGAGCGCGAAGCCCGGTCAAAACTCTCGTGAAACCCCGTACAATCTATAGAGCTACACACCTTTTGTGAGGTGGGTCGGACAATGCGTGCGTGAGAAAGCCCGACATATGTTGACAGAAAAAAACCTGACCTCTAAACCCCTCAACTTTAAAGCCTAACGCTGAGGCCTTGACCTAAGCCCGCTAGTGTTCCAAGGTGGGACGCCGAGACGGGACCCGAAACAGTTGATGCCCCATGGCGTAAGGGTAGGGGTTCTATACGGTTTTCAGGATAATTTGATAAGGGTTGCATAAGGGTGCCACGCGGCTTCATGCTTCTATAGCAGATGTTGTCTATAGAGTGCGTTTCAACGCCGTTTGGATGATGACAGGGCTTGAGGTTGGGGTTTTTGGACACGAACAGAGGGTTAGCGGGGTGTTCTAGTGGATTGTACGGGGATTTGGTGCATGTGTTGAAGCTCATGCCAGGGGCCTAAATAGCCTGCTTCTGGGTTGCACGAGAATGTTGGTACCACAGGAAGGTGGAATTAAAACCCTGGAATGATACTCCTGTCAGACTACGTGACAATACCCGCAGCTCACCGAGGAAGCCGCCTGGGCCGCTGCATGGGCGGAGCAGGAGCGGCTGCGAAAGGTGCCATGAAAGGGTTCAGGGTGTGGGGTTTAGGGTTCAGAGTTTTAGGGTTCAAGGTGCAGGGTTTAGGGTTCAGGGTGAAGGGTTCAGGTTTAGTTTAGGGTTCAGGGTAATTACAGGGTTTAGGGTTCAGGGCTTGCATCTTATGATTGTGCGTCGGCTGGTCTGGGATTGCAAGAATATGGGATTTCCTAGGCCTCATTGCAGTCTTCATGATAGTGGTGTTCTTTCCGGTGGATTCCTCAACGGGACGCTGATCCAGAGATTGACGAGACCAAGAGTGCGGGTATAAGTTGGGTTTAGAGGCTGGGTGCAGGGGGTCTACAGTTCTAAACCCTAAACCCTAAACCCTAAACACTGAACCCTAAACCCTAAACCCTGAACCCTAAACCCTAAACCCTAAACCCTGAACCCTAAACCCTAAACCCTAAACCCTGAACCCTAAACCCTAAACCCTAAACCCTGAACCCTAAACCCTGAACCCTAAACCCTAAACCCTGAACCTCCAGGCAAACCGATCGTGGGAGTCCGCCTGGCCACGCCACCGGCCACGGGGGCAAAAGGAGATCGGTTTTTATTGAAGACTGATCGTGTTAGCGGCGTTGTTGTGATTAGTGTTGTGTGCTTTTTTGTTTTGCGGCTGCGGGACTGTGGTCGTGGTGGTGGTGGTGGTGGTGCCGGATTTTTGTTTCGTTACGGAGGTTTCACCATTTAGGTCGCTGCTGACGGCGTCAAGAGTCTTTTTGTGCTTGGTTGCAAGAGTCGGCTTGTTTAGGAGTTGGCTTGTTCTCGGTTCCCAGACCCCCGGGAGGATCTAGAAAGTAGATCCCCTGATTTGGGGCCCTATACTACTAAAAATACTTTATAGGAGCCCCCCATTAAGGGATCTACTTTTTGGATCCGCGCGGGGGTCTGGGTTTAGGGTCCAGGAGTCCGAGTTGAGGGTGTTGGAGGGGAGGCGGGTCCTTGAGAAGCCTCAATGTTAACGTTAAGCTGGCAGAAGTTAGGCTCCGGGCATACCGTCGGGAGTTGTTATGAGCGCGCCTACATTCAACCCTTTCGAATTCCGGGGGCTACCTTGGCTTGGGGTGAACTTGGGCTTAGCGCAAAGGCTCTGTGCTTTCTCATGATGGGCAACATCCCAAGATATCTTAATCAATCTAGCCCGAAACCGTAGAAACCTGACTCCCGGCTGTCTTCAGGTAAGCAGCTGAATGATGCCGGCATCACTCAGGAAATAGTGTCTCTAGTTCTAGGCCAGGCGCGTCTTCTATCTTTTGGGTTCAGCATGCAATTCAGGGTTCGTGTAAGGCTTAAGGAGTTTAGGGCGTGAGGTGATGATCAGGGTTTACACTACAGGGCAAAGTTCTACCCTCTAGGATTAAGGGATTCGAAATAGGTAGAAGCCAGAAAGTTGGAATATCATTACCGTAACCCCTTTAAAGTAAATTATAGGGTATCCTACCATTAATCCATATTCCAACTTTCTGGAGTTCCCTTTAAGGGATTCGAAATTCGTCGAATGTGTGTGTCGGGCTAGGGCTTTGCAAGTCTCCAGCAAGAACGGAGGTTTATGGGCACATAATAGTGTAAGCACAGCGATGCTATAGGGTTCCTTTAGGGGTCCCATTTAAGGGATACTAGAATGCGGGTTTCCGAAGTACTGCATGATAGACAACATTGCACTGGCTACATGTGCAGACTTTGTCGCATACATCTCTACACCCTGAGTATCCCCCGTTTTGATGTTCGATCAACATGTCGTCAGCCCACATCACCAAACTCGATCCCCAAACTTGATCAAATTCCTTGTTGCAGAGCTGCTTGCGCATTTGTCCATCGCTCTGTCCTTGCAGCACGCAGTGGTGCCCTGGACCAGAGGCCCGCGGTGCAAAAAGGTTGCGCAGTGGGGTTTAGGGGTTTATGGTTTAGGGTCTGTGCGCGAAGAGTTTAGTTTGGGCGTTTAGGGAGTTTAGGGTTTGGGCTTAGGGGCAAGAGTGCGGCAGGGCGGGCTACTGCACTTGCTCCGCCTGGTTTGTCTGCTACTTCGAGCACGACAGAGCATGAATATTTTCCCGAAGCTGTGATGATATCTTGAAGTTTTCAGTGTATATATATATATATATATATGCATGTAATATTTTATGATAGTTCGGATATTTTGAGGTTATGTAATATTTCATGATAATTCTTGATGTTGTTTGACATTATACTGGAATAAACAAACCATATTACGTGAGGTGATGTTATATTGCATTGGGCATGGGAAACTTGCCCCTGTAATTAAATGTTCCAAGGGTAAAAGGCGGGACCCTTAATAAGGACCCCTAGGTATATACCCTTAATATAGCTATTATATGCCCACTATATAGCCCATTGTAGGGTAGGGGTCGGCCCCTTTAAGCCCCCCTTTAAGCCCTCTTTCAGCCCCCAAGAAGCTCCCCCATTAAGGGTCCCTCCGTTTCCCCTTTGAAATGTCGAATTCCGGCAGCATCGAACCCCTGCAAACCTACTGCTCTAGAGGTTCTACCCTATACTGACGGGGTGAAAACCGACTACTTTGCTGGGTTTGGGGTTACAGGCAAACCATGTACCCCGATGTACCTAAACCCGCAAGTGCAACAATTATGGCGCACATTTGATACGACTGTAATCCGTTTCCCAGCCCGTGATGCCCATCATCTCTCTAGCTACAGTCCCTCATTGAGGTTGGGTACCCTCGGCACGACGATGTCGGTGGAGTGGATCCTTGGTCCTGGCTTCTTCATGTGACCCCTCAAGTCGTGGTTTTCCGTGGCTAGGTTTCCTATTGGGGTTTACTACGCCTTGGAGGTTTGTTGGGGACCGTTAGCCCCAAAACCTCAGCTTAATGCTAGGCCAATCGAGCCTTCGGTCGCGATTTGCTATGTTGTCTTTCATTTATGGTCATGTTAGGGGTCCTGCAGAACACATTGAGCCTGTCGCATCCATGATCATGCCTGTGGTCGTTGACTTGCAATCATAGTCGTGTTGGGGCGTTGCGGCGCCGGACCAAGTCCATCGCTGAGGGCTCAGGGTTTAGAGTTGCGGGTTTAGGACTTTAATCGTCCAGTGGATACCATCTCAAAGCCTTCCACCCTCAACCCTACCAGGACCCCCCCAAGGGCCCTTTAATAGAGACCTTATGGTCCATGATTTTGGGTATGTGGGCTCTTTTAGAGGGTAGTTGGGGGGTTTAGGTAGTCTCCACTTATTCAAGCCCCAAGCCGCCGTGGTCGAGCGCTATCATGTCGAACCTTGGAGGCGGCATCCCCAATCCTTGCGCCTCAACCGATAAGCCCTTGCCTCGACCTGCCCGAAGGGTTAATAATTCGTAGCCATGTCTCCTTGTCCGTTTATCCATAAGCTCAAACGACTACGGCCCCTAGAAATGTGACACCTTGTACACCCTAAACCCGAAGATTGGGGATTCTTTGCAGGTACTTGCCACCTCTGCGGGACTTGCACGCTTGAAGCCTTGTTCAGGATTTTGGGCTAAGTTGGGGTTGGGAGTTTAGAGTTTAGGGCTAAAGGTTAGGGTTTTTGGTATCTTAGACTTGCGGTGAGCCAAGGATTGTCGGGTTTAGGGATTCAGGGCCTTGAGGTTTAGCGGGCGTTGTTTAGGGCTTCGGGGTTCAGGGTCGGCCCCTTCGGGAATATCGTGCAAGATCGCCTTGGAACGGCCAGTCGGAGTTAAGGTTTAAGTCGGTTAGCCGGTTTAAGGCTGAAACTTCAGGTTGTGCACGGTTTAGAGCCCCATGTAGAGTATCGGTATGACTGACACATAGACTTACAAATAGCATGTGTCTGTGTAAATATTCATTGGCGTAGTGCGTATGTGCACGTGCATAGTGACATACACGATAAGTATGTGTCTTTTATCCGTACCATCAGGATCCGATGCCTCACATGCCGCTACCCTTGTACATATTCGGGGAAGGGGAGGGGGGACACCGAACATGTGTCCATTCATTGGCGCCCCGTCCACGAGAATGTATGCATGTAGCACCCTTGGTGTGCACTTGCACGAAATACACGGAAGCAGGAGCCCAAAGCCCTCAGCCTTTAAACGTAGTGATACGGTTGATGGTATAAATCCTGCATTACCTTTAGGACCCTAAACTATGGGAATTTACATTCCTTATTATGGGTAATGTAATGCAGGATTTATATTGACAGCCGTAGGTAGTAATCAATAACGCCCCCGAACTATGGACTTCCACCACCCCCGAAAAGACCTTCAGTGCCAGGTTCGAGGGACTCTTGGAGTATGGCGGCCTTGCCGAGGGATTTCGCCGGATCATCGTGGGCTTCGACTCCACCGCCAGCTTCTGGGCAGCCTTCAAACCTTTTCTGTTACAGGGTCTAGGGTTGAGGGTTTGGGGTGCTTGTTTTGCTGTTCATTGCTCGTGTGTGTGTGTGTCTTTGCGAGAGAGTTTTTGCTTGCGGTGGTCTTGTGCTATACTGTTCATCCCTGAGTGGGGCTTGGGGTTTGAGAGCCTTTGGGCGTATGGCCTTTATGGGTGTTGAGCTTGCAATTGCGTAGGTTTGTAACGGACGCGGCGTTGAAGATGAAGCCTTGACCTTACAGCCTCAAGCCTTTCCCTGGCATTCAGGGGTTTAGGGTTTAGGGTTTAAGCCCGGAAGCCGAAAAGCAAGTAAACCCGAGAAAGCTTTCAACCATTTTGAACTTTATAGATCTCTAAATCTTGAACCCTTAACCCTTAACCCTTAATGCTTTAAACCCTAAACGCCTAAACCGATACTCAAAGCCTAGATGCCCCCAAACCCCAAAGCAATTGCTGGACCGAGGCATTCTTCCTGCCGGGTCGCTGTACTGGCCGGTGCACTCAGATGGACTTTGGTTCAGAGATTAGGCCTTACTTGGTTTAGGGTTTGAAAGTTTAGGGGTTTGGGGTTTAGGGTTTAGGATTTGGGGTTTGGGGGTTTTCAGGTTTGGAGGTTTAGAGGCTCAAGCGGAGAGGCACCAATCACAAGACTGGAAAGCCCTGCACCCTCGGCCCCTACGCAAACAACCTCACCGAAGCCTTTTGCAGGATTTTCGGCCTCAGTGTTTTTCTCGGCTGCCACCTTCGCTGAGGTCTAGGTTGAGGGCTTGGGGAACCAACATTGCTTTTGCAACGTTATGGTGCCAGAGGCCCAGGCTTTAAAGCTGCGAGAGCAGAGAGCACACATACCAGCCGCAACCTCAAATCCAAACTGCTGTCAAGGCTTGAACTTTTACAGGCCGTAGAGTATGCAGGTCTTCAGGTTCAGGGTTGTCTTTCTATCAGTCAGGACTCTCATCAAATGACCGCCTCCCAAAGAAGGATGTTGATTGCTAGCTTCGTGGCGCTCTTACTCACAATCATTCTAGAACCCGAAACCCTAAACCCTGAACCCTGAGACCCCAAACCCAAAACCCTGAAACGTTAAACCCTGAATCCCTAAACCCTAAACCCCAGCCGTCTCAGGGCCCTTACGCTGATGTTCTTCACTTTCCAGAACAAGACGAAGTCAGCTGCCGTTCGTCAGGCCTGGGCAATGGGCGAGCCTGACCATTTAGGACTCTTCACTGGGCGAGTAGCCAACTTCAGGAATTACGGTGTCGGGTTTGGGGTACTAAAGGGGCTTGCTTTCATAATGACCTATGCTATTTCGAGGGTCCTTATTACAAGGATAGTATAGTGAACCCCAAACCCTATTCAAGTTAGTAAGGCCCCTATATAGATCCCTTATAGTAGCCCTTACAGACCCCTTTAAAGGAACCCTATGATATACCCCAAACCCTAAACTCTAAACCCTAAAGCCTATAGTAGGGTTTTGGGAACGTGAGGCATCCTTGCGGCGGCCGTCTGTGCACGTTGGGTCAAGCATCTGAGGTGTGGCCACTTCAGGCCACGTAGCTTCTATAGAGGTCAGAAGGGTTTAGGGTTTAGGGTTCTATAGAAGTCTGAAGACCTTAGAGTGATATTCCCATTAATTAGAGAAGACTTAGGAATGATATTCCCTTTAGTTAGAGCTTGTATTGAGATTGCTTGCACTATAGTAGACACCAGAAATTCCTCAAGTTGTTGAGCTCAGAGATGGCACTTGGAGCCTGTCGATTCGGCGTCAGCTCGGTCCGCAAGTTTCAATTTACTCCAGCCCGGCATGGCAAACCTCTCATTTCGACTGAGCACTGGCACTTCATGTCCCAGCCCCAAAACCTCAAGACTTTGCACACCCTGAGCCTCAAACACCCTGCATGCCAAATCTTGGCAAGCTCGTCCCTATGTGCTCCCTTCCGCGGACGGCCGGCGATGGCTGTCCTTCATCTGGAAGAAGGCGCTTTGCTGGACTTCGACAGTCTGCCACCCGGCAGAGTAGACGAGAATAAAGCGAGCAGATGCGCTGCACATATATCTCCCTAAATACTAACCCCTGAGCCCTAAACCCTAAAAACCCTGAAAACCCTGAACCCTCAACCCTAAACCCTAAAAAACCCTGAACCCTAACCTCCTAAACTTTATCAGGCGCTGAGCCCTGAACTCCTAAATCGTACCAGGCTTATCAGCAAGGAGGATACGTCGCGGTTTAGGGTTTAGGGTCAGAGCTTCAGCCCCAGACTACCGTCTTCCAAACTCTGTGGGATGCTGTCAAAGTTGCTTGCGAATAGGCATTGGGTTTGAAGGTTTAGGGTTCAGGGGTAGGGTTGAGGGTTTAGGGAAGGTTTTTGGCTTCAGGGGTAGGGGTTGAGGGTTTAAGGTTCAAGGGTTTAGGGTTGAGGGTTTCAGGTTTAGGGGTTTAGGGGTGTCGGGTTTAGGGGTTTATGCCCTTGCAGAGCAGACGGTCCCAAGCAGCCCCACCCGCATGCCCAGCACAAGTTGGCTTCCCCAAGAAAGTGGCCCAAAACAGCAACTACGCCACACAGAATAAGATTCATGCTTGAGGGGCTAGAGGCGCCCTATAAGGACAATCCCACCAAGCGGAGATCCTTACGTTTAGGCGCTTACACGGCCTCAAAGATCCTCAAAGTCTATGAATCTCAAGTCTCAAGTCCTGAATCCTCAAGCCCTAAATCCCGCCTTATATGTTACATATGATACAGTTTGAATAGGACATGTTCATTTTCACTTCATCAATCTACACAAAAACCACAAAACCAAGGCGCTGCCGTCTTCGGGAATGGATTCCGACCTTGAGCAGCTGTGTAGTGGTTCGCGAGACGAGGCTCCTGGGTGGTACGGTTGATGATATATATCCTGCATGATCCATTTTAAGGAATCTACCATAATTCCCATATTGTCGGGTCCTTACCCAAAGGCCCCAAAGTAGTTCTTTTTTGGGGTTCGTATATAGAATCCTATAGGGTAATCCCAAAAAGGAACTACTTTGGGGCCTCTGGGTAAGGTAATGCAGGATCTATATCATCAACCCTAAACCCTAAACCCCCTATAGATCCCTTAAAGGAGCCCCTTAAAGGTTCCCTTTATATCATCAACCGTGGTGACGTAGGCAGGCTCCTAGCGTCGTGACCAGGACTCTGTGCTTCGTGACTCCTTGGGTCCTGGTTCTACAGGACCAGCAGGACCCCTTCTTAGAGGATCATGGGACTTAGTAAGCAAGGTTATAAGTCCCCTAATTGGGGTTATAAGTAATTATAAGTATAGCTACCTTATTTATAACCCTAGTTACTAAGTCCCATGAGCCTTTAAGTAGGACCCCTAGCCTTTCACGGCTTCTTTTTGCCGAGACCCTCAACCTTAAACTGCAAATCCTCGCATTCCACCAAACTTAAGAATTTTTTAAGAGAGCCGGCTTGGGTATTGCAGCGCCCTCGGGATTCTGAAAACCGGAGTTCCCCTTCTGGATGAGAGGGAGACGACTGCTCCCTAAACCCCTCAAAGTTTCTACCCTGGTTCTAAATTGGGAATTACACCAGAAAACTGGCCCGACTGAACGTTGCAGCCGCAACTAACTTCGACAACGACGACTACTCCTACCACTGCCGCCACCACCACCCCCCTCACTTTGAATGAATCTAGGTAACATGTTGCGTTTTTTCTATTTCCACTGTGCCACAAGCACTTCGCCGAAATCGCCGAAACCCCGAAACAGAATGATTCCCAAACCCTAGTGCAAGTTCGCTCTCTCCAGTTCGTCGTCACGGCTGATTGGTGCCTGCGAGGACTTGTTGCTTCATGCGGTTCTTAGCTCCAGAGACGCTAAGCCTCGACTCGCATTAGTATGTTACGGATAATTAATCTAGTTTTAGAATAAGATAGTACATGATGGTAACAGTTTATGTTTGCAGAGGTTTGTCCTGAGTCCTGCAATTCGACGGCCCAAGACCGCGAAGCCCAATTGCAAAACAAACCGCTTCATCGTTTGGTCTGGTATCTTAGCATTAATTGGAGTTTGCGCAAGTCTGCTATGGTGCCTTGCACCTTGGAGCTTAAACCCTTAGGGCCGCCAGTTTTACGTTCTGAAGCCTTAGTTCCTACAGCTCTACATGTAAGATCCTTGTGTCTGCACCTAGAATCCTTATAAGCCTTATAAAACCCTTGATCCAGAAGAGGGCCTCATGTGATTAGGGTGACTATAAGCCCCTTTAAACTACAAACCCTACCAGAATTGCAAGCCTCGCTGAGGCCCAACGAAGAATTTCAGACAAAAAGTCGATCTAGCCCCAAGAAACAAATCTTAGAGCTCTTAACTCTAAGGCCTTAACCTATGGGTTTAATTGGTTTAGCATTTATAAAGATCAGTAAAGGCCCTAATCTATAAGTCACGACCCAAAATCCAACCTCAATCGGGCACGGGTCGACTTCATCCAGTGCAGCGCAGGACGCCTTTTTCCTGGCCGCTGCGTGGCTGAGGCAACGGCGTTGGTGGGTCCTCGCCACTGGTGTTCAGGAAACTAGCCGGCTCCGCGTCTGAATTGGCTGAAGGGTTGCGGCTTCACCCCCGATCCCTCAGCCCTAAACCCTAAACCGTGGGGTGAGGTATACGATAACACCCCAAGGTCTTCCCTAAACCCTAAACCCTCAACCCGACTCTAATCAAGGCCCCTACGTTACTGGGGTGTCTCTTTCCAGCTGTGACTACCGCAGCCCTCAGACCGCGCGGAGATCCCAATCCCACTTACAAAGGAAGCAGCCTTATCTCTTTTCAGGGGGAGCCTTAAACTATTGAGCCGAAGAGCCGTACCTTGAGACCAGACTTTTCAATTTGCCTAAAGGAATGAGAAGGGGAGCCATAGTTCTGGCAACAACAACACCAATAATAATAGTAAACATATCAGTAGCAATGATTCAAATTATTAGGGATTTCAGGACAGACATTAAATGCAGAAGGGCAGTTGTGAGAAACATCTTATCAACTCGAAGCTCGACCACAACACCCTAAACTCTAAACCTGAACCCTAAACCCTCCTAAGCCCAAAACCAGACACATAAGGACACATTGTATTCTGGAAGATCTGAAAGTCCTCAGGAAATTGCCCTGGGCGTCTCTTCGGCCTGCCCCGCAAGACCAAAGCCGCTGGATGGCAGATAAAAAATGGGTGGTTGTCAGAATGGGGGGGGCGCGTTTTATTTGGTACCCTAAATAACAGGTGCCGTATTATAATAATGAGCCAAAAGGGACCCCAATCTTGATATCTACCCGGATTGTGGAGGAAGGGTCTAGAGTTTGAGGGTTGAAGGGGCTTGCGGTGGAGGCTTAAGGTTTTGCTTGTAGGGTTCGGGCACCAAGGTTTCAAAGAGTATGGGTTCAGAGTATGGGGCCTGATCGGGTTTTAGTTAAGGTTTAGTTAGGGTTTAGGCTTTAAGGCTTCATGGGTTTAGGGTTTCATGGGGTGGGGATTGCGCCACACTGGGGCCGGTGCAGAGGTCAGGGAATGTCACCTAGACGCACCATCCACCCTCTACTCTGACTCTGCTTGACAGAAATACCTATTTCTAGGGCCATATACCGCTATGCAAGGGTGCATGGAGGGTAGTGGCTGCTTTGGGAATTCGATTTCTTAGGCATCCCATCGCTACCTCGCAACCCTCGTCCTGACGTGCTTGATCAGAAACATGCGTGTATACATACATAGATTTGTAACGTTATACTCCATATTGCCACCCCTCAAACTCTAAGACTCTAAATGCAAAACTGTAAAGCCGCTGACCCTAAACCCGTGTGAAGCCCAGCAGCTCAGGTGTCGAAAGAGCAGACGAAGAGGCAGTTATTTTCCTAGACCTTGGCCCGTGCGACATGGACGCCGCGCTTTGCTTGCAACAATGCCCTTGCTAAGTGCATAGGTCTGAGGGATTTATTTCGGGACTTTGACCTTCGAGAGGTCCGGAGCTTTGGGTGCAACATGAGGGGGCTGAATACCGCTGTATCGGCAGGTGGTTTCCAGTGGCTTCCAATTGCTGGAAGATTTGAGGATAGTTTGGGGGAGCCGTTCATAAAACCCTACATAATATGCCCGTCAAAGCCGTAAGGCCCCTGCATGCTAGTGCCAATCAGGTCTGGGACGATACGGAGCTGGAGTTGCTCGGTCCCACTGTTTGGTCGGGGATTTGGCTTCACAGATTCGTGGGGATTTCGATGCAAGTTTTGAGAGACCAGGCGATTAGGGTTCATTTAGGCTTGAGGGGTATGCAGCATTTCGGGGTGTGCGGTATTGGTTTGCGCTGCAGGCTTGAGCGTTTCGGGTTTAGACTTGCGTTTCACCGCTTTAGTTTCACGCTCCTGTCTGTAGAACGATGCGATGAGGCTGTCTCAGCGCCGGTGAATCATTGGGCTTGTGATGTAAAGTGCCTATAGTCTCCATTGTAGTTCCTTTTTTGGGTTACCTTATAGGATCCTTAATATATAATTGGTTAAACCAAAAAAAGGAACTACAATGGAGACTGTAGGTAGAGTCTCGATTTTGTTCATCATCCAGGGCAGCCTCTCTATTCTTCGGGTAGAAGAAGCACACAGAGGCTAGGATGCCCAGTAGTACCCTTATTCCCTTTTTGTAGTCCTAGGTTCCTTATAAAGTTACCCAATACCAAAAAGAGAGGCCTTTTTATTCTTAGGTTACTGGGTATCCTAGGAGGCTAAAATGAAGATCCCAACGCCAAAGCCTCAAGCCACCCAGGATCCCACTCCCAGCGGCACCGGCAGCAGAGATTTCCTTGTGCCTCGGCCAAGTCTGGGGGATTTGCGGGGGTGCCTTGCGGAGGGCTCACATCAGCTCCCTAAACCCTAAACGGCCCTAAACCATAAACCCTAAACTACCCTGAAACCCTAAACCATCCTCCACCTGAAACCCCAAACCGTTAAATTCAGAGAAGGACATAGAGCAGTACATATGTGCACAGAAGCAACCCCGGAAGTGCTGCACAACTACAGGGGAGCCAGTCTTTGGCGGGAGAAGCGAACTCTGAAACAGAGGGGTCGCCGGCATTCAATACCGCGCTGCCTGTGCTGCTTGCGCGGCTCCAGGGCCAAGGGTTTGATTCAAGGTGGAGCGGGTTCAACGCTCAGGGTTCGGGGTAGTTGAACCCTGCTCACATCCGAACTATTGCATAAACGGGAACTCCAACACCCCTTACGGCAGAAGCCATCAAGCTTGAGCCTTCAATGAGAGCTCCTCCCGCACAGCTGTTCGCACTCTGCGGGACACCTCTTGGGTATGGGCGCGCCGATCTTCTAGATAGCTTCTTAGGGGTACTTAGAAATAATCTTTATAATTTTTGGTTATTATAATCCCCTAAGAAACAGCCGAAATTAAATTTTTTCTAGGGTTCCTAAGTTCAGTAAAGGCTTGGTAACCTACGTAAGGTAACCGTAGTCAAGTTACTCCGTGCGCTGGACGTGGTTGAAATCGTACTTCAAGCGAGCCCCCATCAGAACCAACACACCTCGCACCCAACATCCTGAATAACGCCGCATGTAGACACCCTGCACCCTCAGTGCCCTAATCCAAGGAGTCCCGACCCCCAAACCTTAAAACTATACCGAAGACCCTTAAACCCTAAACCCTAAACCCTAAACCCCTAAACCCCTAAACCCTAAACCCTAAACCCTAAACCCCTAAACCCTGAACCCTAAACCTTAAACCCTAAACCCCTAAACCCCTAAACCCCTAAACCCTGAACCCTAACATCCTAAACAAAGCTACATGCTAAGCTGGAGAAGCCCCGTAACCCCAAAGCCAAGACCCTGAAGTTCCGAAACCTTCCTAGAGGCTCCAAATACAGTACCATTATGGAATTATGTCCCCAAAGCCATGATATGGATGGTCTTTTGGGACCTAATTCCATAATGGTACTATACATGGAGCCTCTGGGTTCAACTCTGCAACCCAATCTCCCAAACTGTCAATTCGAAGAGGGTGTTGCGGTAGAGTCAGAGTATAGTTACTGAAAGTCAGCTGTATAGTATATGAATATAGTTTGGTTGCACAGTTGCAGTATAGCGATAACAAATGGAGTATATGGAGAGACGCCTACGAATCTCCCCTGAACCCTCTAACTCTAAACGCTTTAACCCTAAACCTCAGGCAAGGCTCTGCTACGGCCGTTCTGGTCCTCTTTGCGGCCAAATGCGTCCGGCGGAAGTTTCGGGCTTGACGCTGCCCTGGTCTCACGAAGATTAGGGTGACGTTTAGGGCTTGGGCTTTAAGCCTCCTAGAGTCCGAAACCCCTACCTTAACCCTGAAGACCTACCTTTTGAGGGTTCCTTATTATGATTTCCTTATATAAGTCCTTAAAAAGGTAGGTTCTTCAGGGTTAATGTAAACCCTATAGTGTCTGTTTTAAACACTTCAGGGACCCAAATGTTCTGAGAGTCCTTGATGTGGCCTCGAGAGTGAACCCGAGACCCTTAACCTTTGAAGCCTAGACCCTTACATTTTAAGCCCGAAACTCTTGAACCGACCCATAACCCAACCGCAAATTACCTTAAGCCCTGCAGCCTTAAACGAATACTCCGTTAATCAGAATTGAACAGCAGCCAGCCACATCGTTTTCAAGACCAGCGGCGTGCTCGGAGAAAAGACCCTGATGAGGTGTTTGAGTGAGATGAGAGCGCGACACCATACCAGCAACCTTAAACCTAAACCCTAAACCCTAAACCCTAAAGCCTTATACCCAGCTGGGGCCTTTCGGCCTTAACCCTAAAGTTTCATGCCTTACACTCTAGGTGGGGCTTCTGGCTCTGCTGAGAGTGTAGACTTCAGGGCTCAGGGAAGCTGCGAATTCGATAGCGGCCTTTGCAACTCGCCTTTCTTACTAGGTAGGCCCTTGGGACATTTTATATTTTCCCTTATTGGGCTTAGTAGGACCCTATTTACGAATATTTTTCAGAGGCTTTAAGGGGCCAACCTAGCTTAGGATGTCCAGATCAGAAGGTCCTCGGTGCCGACAAACACGGCAATATCGCAATCGTACTTGCGGTCTGCAGCCGTAACTTAAAGGAGCCAATGAAGGACCCCTGTAAAACCCTAGGAGCAAACCGTGATAATCTAGGATGCCCAGTAGTACCCTTATTCACTTTTTGTAGTCCTAGGTTCCTTGTAAAGTTACCAATACCAAAAAGAGAGGCCTTTTTATTCTTAGGTTATTGGGTATCCTAGTAATTCATCGTGGCGCAGGCGTTGAGAACGGGCACTGCGACCTACCGGGCTACTGGCCGGCCAAATGCCAACACCAGGTCCGGGGTTTTGTAAGGCTGGGGTTTAGGGTATACCTGAACCTACCAAAACCTACTTTTTTGTAGGGTCCCTATAAATTCCATATTAGTTTTTATAAAGAGAACCTACAAAAAACTAGGGTTTGGTAGTTTAAGGTAGAGTTTAGGGCTTCGGGTGTAGGGTTTAGGGCTTAGGGTTTAGGGTTCCGTGTTTAGGATTTGGATCTTATCAGGGTCCAACAGGGACTTGGTGACTTAGGGTATCGGGTCTAGGATGAAATATAGGCTCGATCAATTCCTTCTAGGGGCTGAGGGTACAGGATTTGGGGTTTAGGGCCCTATGATAGAAGAGCCGGATAAGTTTCTTTAACGGCTTAGAGCTTAGGGTAAACGCTGTAGGGCTCTGCAGTGGTCGCAGTACGGCGCGACAACATGCTGGTAGCAGCGCTTTGGAGGGCTGCTTTGGTCTTAGGGCGTCTTTCCGGTGTTTTTGCGTGTTTTTGAAAGATAAAAACTCGGTCCTAGAAATTTCGGAGTCCTCTTAATCGGTTCCGGGGGTCGACATTCGGGTTTGGAGGGTTCGGGGTTGTAGTGTCGGTCGTTGTCTGAAACCCACATGGTTGAATAAAGTGTTCGGTGCAGGGTTTATGGCTTAGGGTACAGGATGTATGATTTAGGATGTGGTGTCCGCAGGGTACGTCGGGAGTGAATGCAGGGAACTCCAGAAAGTTGGAATATGGTTTCAGGGTAGGATACCTTATAATTTACCTTAAAGGGGTTACGATAATCATATTCCAACTTTCTGGCTTCTACTGTACAGGGTCGGTAGGCGGTCGTTATCATGGGGTCAGGTACTCGTATGGTAAAATTCACGCGAATGCTCTATGCCGGGCCCCAAGCGCGAAGCAAACTTTATAATGAGCCTGTCTATGCTGTTGTTTATGCCGAGACAGGCAAATGAGCTCTTTGTAGTCAAGACAAACCCCCAAATCCTAAATATCAACTCCGCAAAGAGACTTGCTGGTGTCGCTGGACGAGGAGCAGGAATAATGCATTCGTTGCAAATGCCGGAGCAGACATGATACCACAAACTGAGCGATGTTGCCGGCGTGCCTGCAGCAGAAGCACCCCTAAACCCTAAACCCCAAGCACCCCTAAACCCTAAACCCCAAACCCTAAACTCCTAAGCCCTAAACCCTGCTTGTGGGAGCATGAACCTTGATTCAGAAGCCCCAAAACCACGCAACCAGGACCCAAGAGTCTCTACCCCGAGAGGTAGCAGTAGGGTCCGGTCTGACGACCCAAGTCCTCAAGCTCCGAATACCAAACCGCTGAATAAGAACCCTTATTATTGCTACTACGATTATTGGTATTAACAGATATATGTTTTTTATAATTTTTTATAAGTATTGTTATTATTACGCCTACTATTCTTTTATTACAACCATTTTTGTTCTTATTATGGAGCCTCATTGCGACACGTGGGCCTGGCGCCAGGCTCACGCTGATCGACACGTTCCTGCAGTACCGGACCATGCACTACCAGGACTTGCTTAGCAAGAATTTAGGGGTTATGGTTTAGAAGGGGCCCCCACCCTGTAATAGTGGTATAATAGGAATATAATAGGGCCCTTATGTAGGGGTTATGGTTTTTATGTTAGGCACGGCCCCCACTCAGTGATAGTTGAATGATATTCATAATGCAGATATAGTAGGACCTTAGTTTTAGCCCGATCATAGACTCTGACTGTATGGGGGCCGTACCCAAGGATTATAGTTCTTTTATGGGGTTTAGGGTTCTTCTAGTGTTTGGGGTTTAGGAATCATTGAGGCCAAGCGACAAACAGAGAGAGATTGGGTGGAGGGAACGGATTCAAGTTTTAGGCTGAGTTTGGACTTTGCGGGGGCTTGGCAGCTTTTGGTGCCTTCGTTGCCGGACCCTTAACAAAGACTGCAGCGTAAACTACCTGATCATGGAGGCAGCGTGAACGACTGAGCATACACCAAGCTTTGTCCCACGGTTCCAAGAAAACAACAATCCTCCTGTTTCTGTGATGAGATGATGCTGAGGATATTCATGGTGATGATGATGATGGGGTGATGATGATGGTCAAGATTTCCCATACTGGCGGTGATTTTGATAGGCCGTGGTTGGGATGCATTTCTGAGGGCTGCCATGTGTGGCCCATCGCCATACCAACCCTAAGCCCCATCATGTCCTTGGAAATGATGCCTCAGAAGATCTCCTGTGCTGTGCCAGATGTTTTTGAGCTCAGAACCCACTGGGAGACAGGTAACCTCGTACTGTAGAGGTTGCAATATTCAGCGGCAGCATCCCCTGCTTGTCCCTGTACACGTATATAGTACTCCCCGAATTCAAGTCTCATGAAAGTACCTATGAATTAGACTGATATTATGACTATTGTGATTATCATTTCTCAAGGTTGATTATTTTATCTATAGTACAATATGCTCCAAAGCCTTGTGCCCGTGGAAATTAGCAGCCCTGAAAGCCAGGATTCTTGCCTCTTCCTCTTCCAAAGCCTTGTGCCCTTAAATGCACCCAAAACTTAAAACCCTCTTTGAATTACACAGGCCCTTAAATCAACAGCCCTGAAAGCCAGGATTCTTGCCTCTTCCTCTTCCCAAACCCTAAAGCCTGAACCCCAGGATTCTTGCCTCTTCCTCTTCTACAGCTTCTTTATTCTAACTATGATAGTATGAGCCCCAAAGCCTTACGCCCTTAACACTAACAGCCCTGATTGCCAGGATTCTTGCCTCTTCCTCTTCTACTACATCCTCTACCGCAGTGCAAACATGGGACTGGCTGGCGCCTTGCGCGGATCCTCGGGGGACCTTTTAGAGTTTAGGGGTTTAGGGGTTTTTGGGTTTTAGGGTTTTAGGGTTTAGGGTTTAGGGGTTTAGGGGATAGGGGTTTAGGGGTGAGGGGGTTAGGGTTTAGGGTTTAGGGGTTTAGGGTTTGGGTTTAGGGTTTGAGGTGTTTTCTTGGTCTTCTACTGGGCGCTATCGGGGTTTAGAGAAAGGTTTTCGTAGGTTTTTGTGTTTGAGGAGGGGGGCTTACTAGGGGTTTCTATCGTTTCAGTGAAGGAGGGTTGCAGTATACTCTAGCTAAATGTAAGTGTCCATGTACGTAAACAAATACATACTTACGCCTCGAAGGGGTTTTTGTACAGGTACTTCTGACCAACGTACATACAGTGCGGGTTTCTCAAACTTCGGTGTATTCTTATGTAGGGTCTTTCAGAAGGATCTTACGAGTTCACCGCTATCTTAGGGTTCTCCATTTTCTGAAACTCCCGCATCGAGTTTCTCGATATCCCAAAACACTCAACCCTTAAACCCTTAAAGCCCCAAAGGTCCTAAAACCCAGTTATAAAACCTCAGAATCTTTAAAGCGCAATCATAAGCCTTGACCCGGAAACCTTTCGCCTTAAACTGCAAAAGCCCGACAGCCGTAAAGCCCGCCTTATTCCATCCCCGAGACCCAGGCCGATGGCTACTATCATCTTCGCCTGCGTCTGCTGGCTGATTGTGCCCACCCTGTTCCTTGGCTGCGTTTGAGCCGTTTTCCTGTTTTGTTGTGGTTGTTTTGTGTGTTTCCATCCCAGCTTAGCATTTTCCTCAGAGGTAGGTGATCAAGTCCGCACGAAGAATCCTAATCATTTACTACTGGGCCGGAAGCCCCAAACGTGGAAGGGAAAAAGCTACGGAGCTATAGCCCGTACATATATGGGTGGTTGTCAAAATTATGGTCCAGTCTTGGGTCCCCATTATACTACGACACCGATTATTTAGAGCACCCAAAAAGGGACCATCATTTTGACAACTACCCATATATATGCCTGTTCATCCGCGGCGGTCATGTTTAAAAGACATTGAACAACGGCACAGGTTCGCGCCGTATCCGACCTGGAAGAACCTCTGTGAGGCTGGGGTAGTGATACGCCTCGACGCCACCCAAGACCTCTTGTTTTCTGAACCCTGAACCCTACTTGGATCCACAACCCTTATTGTACTTTGGGTACTGCCCCCACTCAGTAACAGTTGGATAATACTCATAATATAGAGGTATAAGGATCTTAATCGTAGCCCCACGAAAGACTGTTACTGTATGGGGACCGTACCCAACTTATACTGTTTGTATGGGCTTCCTGGTTGGCCTAGGGTTGTGGATTTTTTCAGATCTTGGTCTTCCGGGGGGTGGCAGGCACTGTTTGCAGCTGCGTCGCTGTGACTTTTCAGAGCGATGGTTGGGTTTAGGGCTGTATGCTTAGGAACCTACCTTAACCCACCAAAACCTACTTTTTTTTATGTTCCCTATAAATTACATAGTAGGCTTTATAATAATAATAATCACCTACCAAAAAGTGGGGTTTGGTAGGTTAAGGTATGTATACCAGTTAGGGACTATAGCAGGGTCTTTGTTGCGGGTTCCTTCTATAGGGTCCCTACAATTTCCATATCAGAGGTATCATTGGGGGGATCTTTACCACGATCTTTCCGTTGAGAATCCCGTCATCTCGGCCCCGCATTGCTTTTCCGTGACAACTTGCATCCTTAACCCCGTTGAACATCATATGAAGTAGGGCTTATATTACCATTTTGGTGAGTGTAGATAGGGCTCCTTTTGAATTTTGGTGAGTGTATGTATTGGGTTTTATTATGGGGATACTAGTAATATAAACCATACTCTATATAACATCGAATCCGACCCACAGTCAGGCACCCTCCACATGTAATCCCAATCCCTGACTAAAAAGCCCCCGACCCAAACCCTAGTTTCAGGCATCTCGAAACCTTACCCTAACCCTAGGGCTCCAGTTACCTATATAATGGGCGACTAGGCTTACATATTATATGGTTAGTAACCGACTATTTAGGCAACTGGAGCTACAGGGTAGCCCTAAAGAGGATGTCGAGACCTTCTACCACTTCATGATGCGCTGTCCGGCGGATCGGAGCCGCGCGGAACTTTACCACACCAGGAGCGCATGGTTTTGGAGGTGCTACGGTGGTAGGGTTGGTATACCCAAAGGCTCCATGTACCCATATAGTAGGTAATTAGGCCTTAAAGTAACCATATAGGGACCCCTTTAAGGCCTAAGTACCTACTATATGGGCACATGGAGCCTTAGGGATAGGGCCTAGGGTTTAGGGTGCTTTGATTTGGGACTTAAAAAGTTGTGCGACCCCCGGGCATGACTCCTTGGCCTCGAACAAGGTGCCTCACGTACCTAAATAGTTCCCTTATAGATCCCTCTTTAAGGAACCCTATAAAGGAACCCTATAGATCGTTTTTAAGGATCACTTTAAAGGAACCCCATAGGTCCCTGATTCAAAAAGCACAAGCCCCGAGCCCCAGCCTTCAAAAGCCCTAACTCAACCCTACCATGCCTTCAGCCGCGCGGCGCTCTGTAGACATCTGACCCTCTCATGAATATCTCGAAGCAACACGGCTTCCGTGACGTTTTGAAGAAGGGCAGAAGTAGCTGCAGACTCTTGGCATGTTGTCAAGACTTGGTTGGGCATGAGTCCAGGATGTGGATCACGCTGTCCGCAAGCGGCAACAAGCCTGCGCAGGACCCGACTCCCGCTTGAGCATCTCGTAATTACCCGGGAACCAGAGCCCCAAGAGTCCTGTGGTCCTGAACCCCAAACCCTAAACCCAAACCCTGCGCCCGAGCATCTTCAGCTTTCAGGTCTATGAAGCCCTCTGGAGGAAAGTCCTCTCTTGAATGGCACTAAATTCGGCATGCTACATTCAGAGAAACTGCACTTCGATACGAATGGGAAAACTTTGATGAACAGTTTATGTTGATGTTTCTTGCCCTCAACCATCAAACTCCGGGACACAAGGAAGTGAAACTTCTGCAGGTCTGCACTATAGGCCAATCTTCAAGTTTTTCTGTCGTTCCCATATGTAGCCTTCTGATCTTACTGTAGCCCCTCCTTCTGCCAGAAGATCCGGTGGATGAAGATGGAGAGCCCTGGTGTGGGCAGCAAGAGTTTTATTCGCCCAACCCTGGATGTGAATTAAAGCTGCTCGTTGTTGAACAGGACCAGTTCGTGTGTCAAAGCATGACACGCAGCAACTCATCAGTTGTTTTAAACCTCACACTAGCCATGAGTTCCCGAAGGACGTGCCCAAAGCTGGTTCCAAAGGGCAGCCAGGCAACCTCTTCGAGGCCAGCAGTTCCACATTTGCCCGGTTGCTATGGTTTCGTATGTAAACCTCCGAAAGCCTGAACCCCTCTGATAGACCCTGGGCCCTGAACTTTCAAGACCTGTTAAGGACGACGCCCTGAACACACAAGCATCCTGAAAGGCCACCAAACCCCCTGAAGCAAGTTCCTAGAAACCCTAAACCCTAAACCTTGAACAGCACCTTACAGTCCCTGAAACCGTCAGGTCCTTCTTCAGGCAGCACTTGAGCAGGACACGAGGTGCAGAGTTTCTGGGTTTTGGAGTGTTCTTTAGGGGGGATCTCGCTTAGGTTTTAGGATTTCGAGTGCTTGTGATCGAGGTTTCGTTTCTGGGGGTTGTAAAAATGGATCAATACCTAAAACTACGGTAGGCTTAAGGGCATGGCTGAGGTGCGGGGTTTAGGGCTTAGGGTCCTTTTCTTCATTTGCAGGCGCATTGCTTCTGGGCTACACGGCTACACGGTACTTGATGCATCATGGGTACTTGTAGCTAGTTCGGGGAGGGCCTATACGAGGGTTTAGGGTTTAGGGTTTAGGGTACATGTTATCCGAGGATGGTGGTCATGAGCCTACCGATAACCACCCCTGAACCTTCAAAGAATACTTTCGAAGACCCTGAGGCATTTACGCCGTAAAGACCCTTACGGCGACTGCCATGAAACCCTCCAAGCTGTAGCCCGAGACTTTCCGGAGCTTTGTCATTCCAGGGCTGTTCTTAACACTTGGGAAAGCCGTTTTTGAAACATCGTTTCTGACCATTCTGGCAGACGGATATTGTCGATCATGTTGGCAGGTTACACACCGGGATTTAGATTTTTGTCAATGTCTCAGTGCCTTGGGGGTCAAGGCTTTCGGGTCGGGGCGTTCGGGTACGCTTGACAGAGACATCCTGGCGTTCTTGTGACATGGTCTCCGTCGCAGCCTACGCTAGGTTCAACTACCGCTTCACTGATGACTGCCACCTGGCCGCGATGGCTCGTTCGAACTGGGCGTAGGGTTTCAGCAGGGACGGTTGCAGGCTTTACAGGACGGATGGCTCCAGCTTTTAACGGTTTAGGGCTTGAGGATTTAGAGCTTCAGTGTCCAAACAGGGTGCAGTGATATAGGAGAGGTGGGTCTACGTGGTTATACAGTTACGCGCTACGTGCTAGTAAGTTGCAACAGCATCGTTTGCGCTTCCACCGTGTATCAGGTATAATGTAATTATAAGCTTGTTGCATCGCTGCCTGGGGTTCGAATTATGCTACATCGCGGGTTGTGGCGTAAAGTGGTGCATTATGGTATGGTACATCGCAACTAGATTTGCCTTTCATGCTCAACAATAACGAACCACGTATCAATGCACACATAGCAGAACTAGTCCCAAGCACTTAAGTCTTGGTAACAGAGGGCAATCGAAGTCGTGAGAAACAGATCGATACAACCTAGGATGCCCAGTAGTACCCTTATTCCCTTTTTGTAGTCCTAGGTTCCTTATACAGTTACCCAATACCAAAAAGACAGGCCTTTTTATTCTTAGGTTACTGGGTATCCTAGGCTCGAATCCTGCTGCTGCGCCAAGGCATGTCCTTACTTTGGAGTGTCGCCCGGACGATGATACTGTTCTCCATCCTGTGGGGGAGCCCATTGCTCTCAGGGTTTCAAGGTTTGGTTGGTGGTTTAGTATAGAAGTCTAAGTAAGTAAGTTTTAGCATTAAGGACGTAGCTTAGCATTCCCTGAGATATCATGTTGTAGCTGTGAGGGCTTGCCAACTCATCTTCAAGGAGCGTGGGCTCGACGTCGTGTCGGATGCGTTCTGCCCTCCGCCCTCCCCGGCTCGTGCAAAGGGGATCGGATGGACAAGGGCACCCAAACCCTAACCCCCAAGACCCCCAAACCCCCCCCATCGTCTCGAAGGCTTATGGCCCCCTGCTGCGCATTGCTGCGGCTAATTCCTAACCCCGAAAACCCCTCTACCTATAGTCTCCATTGTAGTTCCTTTTTTGGGTTACCTTATAGGGTCCTTAATATATAACCGGTTAAACCAAACAAAGGAACTACAATGGAGACTGTAGGTACTTCTAAACCTGAAAAAGCCACGAAGTGTAGACCCCCATACCTGGAAAGCATCCTAAGTTTGGACCCTGAAAGCCCTCAATTCAAATTTAAGCTGCGTACATCTCGACGGGTCCTGGGGGTCTTGTTCCTTAGGGTTCCATCGGGTAAGATTAGTTTATAACTGGTTCCCGAAACCCTTTTCGAATTACAAACGCCCCTGTACTATAGAACTGTACTATATAGATCCCTTACCATTATGGGTCCCTTTAACTACTTAAGGATCCCTTTAAAGGAACCCTTTTCCAATCATTCAGGCCCCTATACCAACGGTGAAGGGGCCCCCGCTTGATTCCAAGGCCCTCGTCGACGATTGAGGCCACGGAGTTCTGTCTCTTCATGTGGGCCTCGAACTCGACTCTATCTGGATTTGGGGTTTCTTTTTTTTTGTGGTGGTTTGAGGTTTAGGGATTAGGGTTTAGGCAGGTTTTCGGTTTTTCATGTTTGTGGTTTGATGCAGCTTAGGGTTTAGGTTCTCAGTGGTTTCAGCCCTTAACCCGAACCCTCAAATGCCTTTGGATCCCAGCTAGAGCCTTTTCGGAGACTTTACAGAATCCTTAGAGACCTGCATAAACCAGCTATCTTATGAAAAGGAGGACCTTTTACATCCCAGAACCTTACAAACGCCTGTAAGGCCCTCTTGAAGAAAGCGCAGGCCCAAACCCTAACCCGTAAATCCTTATCATAACAGGAGCACTATAGCACCCCTGAATCGCAATAATTACAGTAGCCCCTATAAAGAAGACAACCCTTAGTCATAGAACCTGTCCGGCAGCCTTATGAAGAATCCCTACACCCTAAACCCTTATCTATCAGCCGTCTCAGGGGGTCCACGCACTCCTAGCCTGAACCCTACCTTAACCCCAAGTAACCTAGCTTTTAAGGACTTATATAAAGAACTCATATTAGGGAACCCTAAAAACGTAGGTTCCTTAGGGTCCAGATAAGGCTTAAATCCCTGTATTTCTCGGTCTTCCCAGGTGGTCCACGCATTCCTATCCTAAACACTAAAGCCTATAAAACCTTTGTTTCTCGGTCTGTCTCAGGTGGTCCACGCATTCCTAGCCTAAACCCTAAAGCCTAAATCCCTGTATTTCTCGGTCTTCTCAGGTGGTCCACGCATTCCTAGCCTGAACCCTAAAGCCTGAACCTTGTAATAGTGGTATAGTAGGAATATAATAGGGCCCTAATAAAATCCTTATAGTCACTATTACAGGGTGGGGGCAGCTTCTAACCTGAACCCTAGAGCCTAAACCCTTCATTTCTCGGTCTTCTCAGGTGGTCCACGCACTCTACCCTAAACCCTAAACCCCGAATCATTGTTTCTTAGCCTGCTTAGGTGAACCCTAAACCCTAAACCCTTTATTTCTCGGTCTTTTCAGGTGGTCCACGCATTCTACCCTAAACCCTAAACCCCGAATCTTGTTTCTTAGCCTGCTTAGGTGAACCCTACACCCTAAACCCTTTATTTCTCGGTCTTCTCAGAGATTGTCAAACCCTAAACCCTAAACCCTTTCGGCACCTTTCGGATAGCGGTAATGCCTCGGCTGATTGCGGAAGCACTCCTGGTCCGTGCCAGAAGCCAGCCTGGCAGTAAACCATGCTTCCACACGGAAGGGGAACTCCGGAAGCTTAAACGCAGTTTGGGAAAAGCAGCCGGAGGGCGCTGTCCAAGCAGCACGACTACAGTAGATCGCCGCATCGCGCAGCTCACTTCATTGGTGGTGCCTGGACAGCGGAAAGGCAAGCACAAAGCGCTTCCGCAGGAAGGGTACTACAGGGGTAGACCGCATCGCGCAATATACCTCATTGACACAACCTGTGCAGCAGAAGAAACGAACCCCTTGAAGTTCGAAAAGTTCATGGTGGCATCAAAAGCAGTACTGGCCACCGAGAAGTGCGCACTGCAACGCCGAGTTTGTAGCCTGGACAAGCACACGATAACGAAGAACTCCCCGTCTTCCTGTCGTAAAAGGATGCCATCTTGGGAAGCGAGGACAACGAAGTTGAGCCGGACAGTGTCCACGAAGAGAGAGACGACCAACCACTGAGCAACCAACAAAAACCAGCCACATATGCCGTATGGGCCGACCAGCCGTCCCCATGGGCCATGCCCCAGATGGAACTGAAACAGAAAGGGCAGCAATGGGACCTCCAGTAAGCTGCAGGTTGCAGGCCTTCTCCCGACAAATGTTGACCCTGATATAGCACAGCAAGATGGGATGCAAGTCATCCCAAAAGGCAAGAAGAACCACGTAGCAAGAACCGAAAACCGCCATGCTGAATGACCTAAACCCTAAACCCGAAACCCTAAACCCTAAACCCTAAACCCTAGGTGGTCCACGCATTCCTGGTCTTGGCCTTCGGCGTCTTCGTGGACTTGCTCTGGATTGCTGCGCGGGGGCCCAGAGTCTTAGAGAGCCGAGGCCTGAAAACTGGTTTAGGGTTTAGGGTTTTTTGGGGTTTAGGGTTTAGGGTTTAGGGTTTAGGGTTTTTTGGGGTTTAGGGTTTAGGGCTTTTAGGGTTTAGGGTTTAGGGTTTTTTGGGGTTTAGGGTTTAGGGCTTTTAGGGTTTAGGGTTTTTTGGGGTTTAGGGTTTAGGGCTTTTAGGGTTTAATTAGGGGTTTAGGGTTTATAGGGCTTTTAGGGTTTAGGGTTTAGGGTTTTTTTGGGGTTTAGGGTTTATAGGGCTTTTAGGGTTTAGGGTTTTTGGGGTTTAGGGTTTATCGGGCTTTTAGGGTTTAAGTTGTTTTTGGGGTTTAGGGTTTAGGGCTTTTAGGGTTTAAGTTTTTTTTGGGGTTTAGGGTTTAGGGCTTTTAGGGTTTAAGTTTTTTTTTGGGGTTTAGGTTTAGGGCTTTTAGGGTTTAAGTTTTTTTTGGGGGTTTAGGTTTAGGGCTTTTAGGGTTTAAGTTGTTTTTGGGGTTTAGGTTTAGGGCTTTTAGGGTTTAAGTTGTTTTTGGGTTTAGGTTTAGGGCTTTTAGGGTTTTTAGGGTGGATCTCATGTGCTCAACAGGGTCGTCGTTTCTTGGACTTCCAGGATTACGACCCCCGCGGCTAGCAGCAGAGACGGGGACTCCAGAGCTGAAAACTCCGGAGCAGTTTAAAAAAGCTGCCTCTGAGTGCAGAGCGTCGCTGGCACATTAGTACCCATAGGCCCCATAGTAGTTCCTTTTTGGGGGTTCGTATTTGGAGTTCTATAAGGTAACCCCAAACAGGAACTACTGTGGGGCCTATGGGTAGCTCGACTCGAGAAGCCCAGTGCCAGTGGCAGAATCAGCAGCAACCAGACTTCTTCGACGCCTACTCCCGCAACACGCGAACGACTGCGAGGGAGTGTGAGGTTTGTATATGAGGAGTTTAGGGTTTTTGTTAAGGAGTTTGGGCTTCTTGTGAGGGCTTTATCGCGAGCTTAGCTTGGGGTCTTGGCAATGTTTGGAGAATGAGTAGTGTTTTATCATGTCTTATCCATATCGGGTTCCACAAAAAATCCGTTCTCTTTACCTCTTACGGGACGAGGATATGGATGACCCTACCTACAGCTTTCGCCGCATCTTGGATGAGTGGCCGCGACAGGGCATTCCGCCGATGCGTGACCTGCATGGCTGTCTACCTTGCGCTTGCGCATTTTGCAGGAGTGCATCGAGTTTTGTGAGGCGCCGTAGAATTTTAGGGTTTGAGGAAAGTTTGAGGATTGAGATCTCTTCTGACAGTTGAATTCTTGTAGTTAGCAGCTGCCTGTACTTCGTTCTGCTGCCATAGTATGCCGGTAGGCCCCAAAGCATAGGAGGCCAAAAGGGGTTTAAGCCTATGGGGCTTTAGTAGGGATTAGGGTTCCCATGATAGGGTTCATATTAAGGAATCCCTACCCCAAGAATCTTAAACCCTCCATTTGGCCCCCCATCACCAAAGCCTCCTAATCTAGTACCCTAAATAGTAGGATCCCTATTATAAGGACCCCAGAATAAGGCACCCCTTGTTTTCGGAAACCCCCATCTGAATCCCTGTACTGAACCCTAAACCTTCGGAGCATTTCTTGCGACCTTCCGGGAGAGCAGGGTTAAAGGGAACTCCAGAAAGTTGGAATATGGTTTCAGGGTAGGGTAGGATCCCCTATAATTTACCATAAAGGGTTTAGGATAATCATATTCCAACTTTCTGGCTTTTGCTGTAGGGCTTCGAAGGCTCAATTCGGGGTGTGGGAGGGATTCCTGGGCTTAATTACGTTGTTTTCGAATGCTCTAGGGACCAACATGGATTGAGTTCTGGGGCTCTGCAGGTGCTGTTTCATGTAGTTAGAATATGAGAACCCAAAAACGAGTAGATTCTGAGGATGGAGGTAGTTCCCGCCCTACCGTGCGCCTCGTTTAGGTCTTCAGGCAAGTTTTTGGCTTCCCATTATTGTTCAAGATGCAGATTGCTGTCAAATGCTACTCCGCAAGCGCCTCAGAGGTCTAAATACGAAACCTCGGCTCTCACCCCGACCCCTGCAGTAATCGTTCCAGACCAGACCTCATACATGTCTCGTGCACATCGTACATCCTATGAGGCTTCTTGTGGATGTGTCGACCATTTCCGAAACCCAAGTCGCAAGACGAAGAAGATTTGCAATTTGTAGGTCTGCTTGCTGTTCTTCCTTCTGCCCGGAGCTTACGTGTCTGTCGAGCCTCTGAGGCTTCATGGTATCGGGTTGCTTTGAGGGTTCTACTTTATAGGCGCCGTAAGAATTACTGATACTAGGGCTTCCTTTAAGGGTTCCATAAGGGATCTAGATGTTGGGCGCCTTCTTGGTATTCATAAGCGGTCTCGTTGGAGAAGTGACATGGAGGGCGACATACTTCAGGTCCACTGCCGTGTCTCTTACCCACCCTATGCAGCATCTTGCCTTGCCGACAACCTCGCACATGTCAGAGAGTTTGAACGGTTTGTGCATGCGTCTTCAGGGGTTCGGACTTGTCACACGCATCACACGGATCCCTAGATTTCTCAGATGCACGCGGTCATCCACAGATGCACGTGGTCATGGAGCCCTGACTCCCAATACCATAATAAAGCTAGAGCCCCCAACCGATAACGAGAAACTGAGCCCTGCAGAGGTGAGCCGCTCGTCTTTAGGGTGCAGAGTTTGGTGTCGTAGACTTTGCAGCGATTGTGCCACAAACGAGTTACGAATGCCCATTCCGTAAACCACTAGCCGCCTACACCAAACACACTCAACCGTAGAACCCAAGCCCAAAGCCTTAAATCTCAGATTCTCTGACACTGAACCTTGCAAATCAGAGCCGTACCTCTCCGGCAGGCACAACACCAAAACCTCAAATCATTGCAGTCTGCATCCCAAAAGATTATATCCCTGACTCTACACCCTGTAAGCATGAAAGCTGCTCCTTCCGAGCAAAACCCTTCTCGGGCGTATCTTGCCTTTTGCGCACCTGAAGCCTAAACCCTACCTGGACCCCTAAAGTATGTAGAATAATAGCCTTCTGTGGGTATTGGGCCATTCTTTTACCTACTTTGGGGGGGTTTATGTAAACCCTTTTAAGGCTCCTCAGATCCTCCAAGGTTGAGGGTTGACGGATTTAGGGTTCGAATCCTTTCTGACGTTCTTGTCCTGGCATGGCAGAAGCTCCTTGGGTTGTCTTCGCCCTGAAATGGGAGTTTCCGAAAACTAGGGGTACTTATTTTGGGGTCCTTTTTTATAAGGATCCTTCTGTTTGGGGTACCATATTAGGGTCCCCTATTTTCGGAAACTCCCGAATCGTTCAGGCTCTTTGCCAAAGCCACGTCGTTTCCGACCATCCTCCTTGCTGGCATGCCCCTCCGACATGTGCTTGAGTGGGGAGCATAAGGGCGTTAATTTTGGGAGCCGGGCTTAGGGCATATCGGGGCCCAAATACTTACCAATATTGTTCTTAGGGTTCCTTATTGTACTTCTTGTATAATGGGCCCCAACACCCTACTCTAAGTTATTAATTCAGGGCCCTACATTATAGTACCCTTTTGGATCCCCTACAGTAACCCTGATAGACCCCTTCAACGGAACCCCTATTCTTATTATTGAGGCCCCTACATTATGTTATAGTACCCCTTTAAAGGACCGTCGTGTATTATAGTGGCACTATAGTGTATCCCAGACAGGACTCCTATAGGGGTTATGCATACTCTTGTTTGGGGCTGCTTGTTTGAAGTATGCTCGATCTATCTAACTCTCTGTCTCTTTCTCTCTCTCTCTCTCTCTCTCTCTCTCTCTCTCTCTCCATTTATCTATCTGTTCTGTGTGTCCTATCTATCTATCTATCTATATGCCTTAAGACCCTATTCTAACTGTAAATGCCCCTATATCTAAGCCCGCAGGGGTGTGTGTACCTTGAAGGCTGCATACTTCTGTTTAGGCGCTGTCATGACAGTTATTGTATCCACACGGCACGCAGTGCTTTAGTGGCTTCTTCGTAGCTTTGCTTGCGTGGCGTCACACAGCTCGCAAGAGAACCCCGCCAAGAATTCAGAGCAACGTGGCTGGGTTTGCTTGGATGTGGGTGCCCTAAGTCTCCCCTCCCTCAACGCAAAAAGCATTCGAGATTTGTGGAAAACCCGACGGCTTTTTGGGTTGAGGCGTGGATTTAGGGTTTCGGACCCCGAGTGTGAATTTGGCGGCCTTCATTATGGAAGAGGTGTTTGAGAGGATAGCTATCGAAAGGAACCCTGACGAAGTATCTTGGTACTGACACCGGCGTCAATATATGGAAACCCTATACATTCCATACATAAACCCTCACAGGGAACCCTGAACCGCAAAGCCTAAACCTCGAACCTTCAGGCTTTTCTTCTCCTTCCTGGACACGGTTTCGCCCCTTGTCGGCTTTCAAGAGAGTTTCTTTTTGAAGACGCCTGGCCCAATGGCTCTGACTTGAGAAGCGGCTCCTCCAACGTGCGCTTGGCGGGTTCTTTCGGAGTAATGAAAGCTTCATGGAATGAAATAAATTCCTGAAATAGCGCTTGTAGGATTGATGGTGCAGACTTTATGAAGTGTATTCCTTATGGGGTTAGGGTTTGTTTGGGTTTGGGCGAAAGGGCTCAACCCCGAAGGAAGCATTTAAAGGAACCCCTAAACTCTAAAATCTAAACCCTAAACCCGAAACCCCTCAACCCTCAGCCCTTATAGATCCCTTTAAAGGGAACCCTAAACCTAAAAGGCCCTAAAGCATGCGTAAATCGCCAACCCCTCCCCGTGCGAGGAAGCTTCTGCTCTTCCTCAGCCGCCGCTGGCGGAAGCTTCCCGGTCGGGGCAGGCCTTTAGGGGATACTCTAGGGTTCCTTCAAAGGGATCTACTGTAGGATTCCTTTAAGGGGTTACTTTAAAGGGATCTACTATAGGATTCCTTTAAAGGGATGTTTAGGGGATAGTATAGGGTTCCTTTAAAGGGATCTTTAAGGGATACTGTAGGGTTCCTTTAAAGGGATCTTTGAGGGATACTCTAGGATTCCTTCAAAGGGTTCTTTAGGTGATACTCTAGGATTCCTTGAAAAGGGATCTTTAGGTGATATCTAGGATTCCTTTAAAGGGATCTTGGAGGGATACTGTAGGGTTCCTTTAAAGGGATCTGTAAGGGATGCTATAGGCTATAGGATTCCTGGAAAGGGATATTTAAGGGAGACTTAAAAGGGGTTTGGGGTGATAGAAGGGTTCCCGTAAGGGCTCTCCGTCCCTTAGAGGCGGCTAGGAGGAAGACAGCTAGCGTTTCGCTTCGATCGGGGGCACGGATCGGGTTCTTTGAGGTTTGGGTGTTTAGGGGCTCGGAAAGTAGGGGTACCTTTGTTTTTTGCGGCCCTGAGAATACGGATCCTATCATTTAGCTCGTAAAGTAGGGTTAAGGGTGTAGGGCTCTCGGAAGTGGATATGCGGTTTAGATTCCGGGTGGTTTGGAATTCAAGGTTTGGGGGAGTTTAGAGTTTGGGGTTCGTAGGGTTTAGAGCTTTCGGTTCAGAGTTAAGGGGGTTTAGAGTTTACGTTTTAGAGTTAAACCCTAAACCCTAAACCCCTAAACCTTAGGCTTGAGAAGGCTCAGTGGTTGAGAGTTCCTGGCTCTTGAATTGCGCCTCTAGGGGTTAAAGTTTGGGGCTCTGCGGGTCTAGGGCTCATGGCTCAACTCTCTTAGGGGTCGAGTGTTGAGTTCTCTTAGGGTTTAGACCCAGGATACTCCCCAGAGATCCCAATACCCCTTCATAAAGGAATACACCATAAGCCACAATATGAAGACCCCTATAATTTAAGGTATTGTCCTTAATTAATATAAGGGGTATTGGGATCTCTGAGTCCCCACACCCCTGAGCCTGAAACCAAGATCGGTTTAGGGTTTAGGGTTTAGGGTTATTAATTTTGTAATTGCTTAATAGACCCTAAAGCCACGAAAGAAATCCTCACAAGCTCTTCTTCGCGAGGCCCGTCACCGCCAAGAACGTGCGAGTAGGCGCCAGAGCGACCAGGGTAGTTCTCTAAACTGGGTTCCCTTTCAAGAACCCTAAACCCTAAACCCTAGACCGTGGCATCAGGTTTTCCGAGTTCGGTCGCTAGGAGCCGCATGGAGGGTAGGGGATCACAGCTCAGCCACGGAGTTAGCCATGAGTTTATCCCACAGACAGCCATCCCGGGGGTTCACACCTAAAGGGAACTCCAGAAAGTTGGAATATGGATTAATGGTAGGATCCCCTATAATTTACCTTAAAGGGGGTACGATAATGATATTCCAACTTTCTGGCTTCTACTGTAGGGCTTGATGATGAATTTGGGATTCAGCTTCAAAGGGGGTCGTGATGGTGCATTTTCTGTGCATGGCACGTCCAAAACTATGGGTTTAGAGTTTAGGATTTAGGGTTTAGGGTTTCGGGTTCTCGGGGCCTAGATCTGGGGGATTTCCTATGCGCGCTCGCTCAATACGATGCTTGGCGACGGTTCGTTTTGTAAGAAGTGTCAGACTGTGGGGCTGGGTAGGTAAGCTTTGCCTCCTTTCTGCCGTTAGCTCTTTTGGGAATTCAAGTTCCTATGACCAGACTTGACAAAGACTAAACCCTAGCCCCCAATCCTTAAACGCCTGAACCTAAACCCTAAACCCTAAACTCCTCAACCCCCAATCCCCTGAACCCTAAACCCTAAACCCCTAAACCCCCAATCCCTAAACCCTTGAAGCCTAAACCCCTAAACCCCCAATCCCTAAACCCCTGAACCCCAAACTCCGGATCACCGAGGTTGTAGTAGGATTGATGACGAGCGAACTTTACAGCTCCCAGCGCGCCTTCTGTAAGGTTTCGGGCTTTACAGGTCCACATGTGGGGGTTTCCGAAAATTAGGGGTTACCTTATTCTGGGGTCCTTAGAATAATTAGGATCCTACTGTTTACGGTTTTAGATTAGGGTCCCCTATGTCTGGTAGTATGCATGTACGCGCACAAACACACATGGCTTCCTGGGCCAAGGAATACCCTAAACCCTAAACCCAATGGGGTAACTAGAGGGTCCGTGGGTTTAGGCGGTTCGGCCTCTGGGTTGTTGGTTTGAGTTGTTCAAGCTTGCAGGGTTCTGGACAGGTTTTTTGGCCAGGCAGGTTCGGAGGTTAATACTGCTTCCGTAACTGCACTGGGCTTTGGAGTACCATACCTCCAATACTTTTTTCTTAAAGGAACCATTATGAAATAAACGGTTGTATTTTTCCTGGTGACTTAAAAGCCCAGTGCAAACTGAGACGCGGCGTGGGGGACCTTGGCAAAGAAGGGGCTCTCAGATCTTGTTGCTGAGCCGGAGCAGAAAGAGCATAGACAGATCTACGGATAGGTAGATAGGTCGATCGATAGATAGATTGATGGATAGATGGACTGGTAGATGGATAGCTAGATGCACTTAGATAGATGGATAGACACATAGCACGTGCCCAAATAGCAGGGCGGTAGACCTGAACAGCCATGCAGAGTTTTTGCACTCAAGCCCTGAAGCTATACACTACTTGGATACTTGGATCTTCGAGGAAAGCCTCTGGAAGACTTTCGGGTGTGCGATAGCAATGCTGCGTATCAGGATGCTCTCAGGGAAAGAGGTGGCAAGCGTGCCTGTGGAGCAGTTGAGCGATGTGCTGGCATTGAAACAATTGCTGAATCGCTCGCATGGCTTCCCCCCCCGATTTCGACAAAGACTCCTCCTTGACGGCAATCCCTTGGATGATTCTGCCCAGTTGGCTTCGCCCATGGAGATGCAGTTGGTTTTGCTTTCGCATTCCACGGCCTCACAGATGCATGCGGGAGAGCTTGCGACTGCCTCCGAGAGCGGCTCTGCGACAGAGGTATTGTCTTTGCAAAACCCGACTGGACCCAGACCTTAAACCTCCTACATCCCCACCAGAACCCTAGACAGAAGCGACTTAAACAAAGCCCCAAGCCCTCACAATCTGTGAGTCCCACATGACCGGTGACCCTAGGCCGTAAGCACCTGGATCCTCAACTCCTCAACCCAAACTACTCGCTCGAAACCAGTCAGCAGGTTGAAGCCATCTTACAGCAGCCCCTGCATCCAGATGTGGTGGATGAGTGGGGCAGAAGTCCGTTGGGGCTGGCATCGGAACAAGGCCATGAGGAAGTCGCGCGCTTGCTGCTGGAGGCTGGTGCAGACAAGAACTTAGCCAACGAGGACGGTTTCACTGCTCTGATGCTGGCTTCCGCAGAGGGCCATGCAGGAGTTGTGTGTCTGCTGCTAGACGTTGGTGCCGACAAGGACATGGCCCACCCTATCGGCGAAACTTCTCTGATGATGGCTTCTGCAGCAGGCCATGTGGAAGTCGTTCGTTCGCTGCTGGATGCCAGGGCCGTGATGAACTCAGCCTGCAATTATGGCGGCGAAACTGCTCTGACGCTGGCTTCTATGGAAGGCCACGTGGGAGTTGTTTGTTTGCTGCTAAATGCTGGGGCCGACAAGGACATAGCCAACCGTGACAGCAGCACAGCTCTCATGCTGGCTGCTGCAGGAGGCCATGTGGAAGTCGTTCGTTCGCTGCTGGAGTCCAGTGCCGAGACGAACTCAGCCAACAAGGACGGATACACTGCCTTGATGCAGGCAGGCAGCCACGCAGACCTCGTTAGTTTGCTGCTGCGTTCCGGTGCTGAGAAGAACTCGGCCGACAACGACGGCTACACTGCTCTGATGCGAGCATCTCAGTACGGCCATCCGGAAGTGCTGCGTTTGCTACTTGAGGCCAGCGCCGACTTGAATTCAGCCGACATTGACGGTTGTACTGCTCTGATGCTGGCTGCTACGGTGGACATTGTTCGTTTGCTTCTGGAGGCCGGCGCCGACAAGAGTTTAACTAACAACGACGGTGCCACTGCCTTGATGCTAGCTGATCAGGAAGGGAACGAAGAACTTGCGCGTATCCTGCGCCAGGCCGGTGCCGACACGAACTCAGGTGGGAAACGGCGTCGATGCCTCCCCGCTGGTGTTCGTAAGAAGTGGAGCCGAAGAGCCCGCTAATTCAGTTACATGTACAGATTGGATACTGCGCCCACTCAGTCTCAGTATTATAACACTTGAATAAATTTCAAGACATAGATATATAGGACCTTTGTTTAAAATCTGCTACATGAAGATTATCGACTGCTGGCTGCTGTATGGGGGCAGTAGGGACGGTACAGTTGGGGTGTGCCCATGTCTGGGTTTGGGGGTGTCTTCCCAAACGTGGCTCTTCCCTGAGTACCCGTATGTTACATGTATGTGCTACCTTTGAGGCCAGAAGAAGAGTGAGTGCCCTTGAATCCACGGCGCTGTGGGTACCAGCAGTGGTAAGCAAAGGAGAGATAGAGATAGGAGTAAGCTTGAAGAAGCAGTATGCAAAATAAGCGTCTCTGTGGTCGTCGACACAGCCAAGGATAACTTGAGAGTCTTAAGTGTTCGATTGTCTGGATGAGGCTCTACAAAAGACTCTAGGACGAGCATGGGCGTAAGGGGTCCAGTCTAGCATCTTCAAGAGCGCGGGCTTTTCTAGCATGAGATTCACGGCTCTGCAGATTCTGTCCTGATTTCTATGACGGGATCCGGTCTTTCGGCTGCTGCATCTGGAAGTTCCTTTGGACCCCTTCAGGGAACTCCAGAAAGTTGGAATATGGTTTCATGGTAGGATGCCCTATAATTTACCATAGAAGGGTTAGGATAATCATATTCCAACTTTCTGGCTTTTGCCTTAAACCCTAAACCCTAAACCCTGGGGGTGCGAGGGCTGCAGTGCTTGGTGCTAAGGGTCAAAATGGCAACCCGCCAAAGCAAGCCTGCTTGCCCAAAGTTCAAATCTAGAATATGCGAAAACCACACTTGCTGGTTTCCCTCAGGGCTTAGGAATGGGGGTTGAGGGTGTGCGCTTCGTTGCTCAGGGTACCGATCAGTTTCTGTTGCATGGAGAGTGTCTTGTACGTCTGCACACGAAGCTCTCTGGGAGCCAAGTAAGTACACCGCGAGCTTAAACCAAGAAGCCTCGGGCTCGTCAATCCCGACAGGTATGAAGGTGCTGCCCGGCAAGGACCATCCGATACCATCCGTGAACCGCGATTTGGGCGAAATGTCGTTTATCTTCTGAAAGAAACACGGTGCATGGGTTTGCTGCCCGGCACCCAGAAGTGAAACGATAAATCTTTGACTACCACCTGAACCTAAGCCCTAAGCACTGAACCCTAAACCTTAAACCCTACTGCAGGGGCCTAAATAAATACTCATACTGTTCTGGGGGTTCCTTGTTACAATTATAGTACACTATACCCCAAAACCCTATTCTAATGATTAAGGCTCCTATATTAAACCCCTGAAAAACGAAGCCCTAAACCCTAAACCCTAAAAAAAACAAGCACTAAACCCCCTGAAACCCTCGGAGGATCCTAGCTACAGGCGAGCAGCGGCATCCGTATCCAGAACCCGGAAGCCGAACCTGCAGAGATGCAGTTTTCGTACCCTAAATAAGGGGTCTATAAGGGTTCCTTTAAGGGTTCCTATAAGGGGTCTATAGGGTTTAGGGTTTGGGAGTTTCCGAAAATTAGGGGTTCCTTATTTTGGGGTCCTTATAATAAGGATCCGACTATTTAGGATGCTATATTAGGGTCCCCCTATTTTCGGAAACTCCCATATGCGGGGGGGGGGGGGGGGCCTTTTGTAATGGATCTCCAAAGTACTACGGCAAAACTTGTAAGAAGGACGCCACACGAGATACCCTAAAGCCTAAACCCCGTAGAGAGCTGCCCAGATGCAGACGGGATGGTGTAGCCTCGTGGGGTCGAAAAACTGGCGGGGGGGGGGGGCTCCTCATTTTAATTATTGAAGAATATACCCCCAAAACCTATTCTAATGATTAAGGCCCCTACATTAACAAATTTCATGGTTTGGGTCCTGTAGTGGAAAGACGGGTAACCAGCCAACAGAGGCAACTGCAATGGAGACTGTCGGTGTCTCCAATGTAGTAACCTTCAATCCTTACCTTGCGCCTTCCGCGGATCATCCCATGGCACCATATCCGACCATAATAATATCCCCCGACTTCGAAACCAGGACTGGATGTACGATATGAAGAAGGACGACGCCAAGCAAAATGCGGCATCAGGATGCAGCATGGCCATCCCCAGCTCTATTTCGGTGGTGGGTTTAGCAGCGTTTGGGGCGCACGATTCTGGACTTTGTGTGGTAAGCCGTGGGAGAATCAATGCATTCTGCAAGTTAGGATAGATGAGTCCTGCATTGTGCAGCACTGTTTGTCTGCCACCCTCCCCTCCCCCCACATTCTGTGGTATCCTTTGGTTTTTTGGTCCCGGTGGTGTGGCTGCATTTTTTGCTCGGCATGGTACCCTGCCTTCCTCACAATCGCAACCAAGAAGGGATACCCACTAATAGGGTCTTTTCCTCTGAGTCGGGTTCCCTCTTAGGGTACAAAGGAGTGGCGTACTATTTTGGGGACCTGCAACGGGATAGCCCTTTTGAGAAGCGGTCTAGATGATTCGCCGCGAACCCTCAACTCCATCACCCTAAAGGCCCTCCTAAGCCCTGAATCTAAACCCCGCAAACCTTAAGGACGAAATGACCCTTAAAAGTAGGGGCCCTATACCCATATACTATGAATCCCTATATGGTATATGAACCTTAAACCCTTTTAGGGTTCATTTCGTCCTTAAGGAACTCTAGAGTCTAGACTTGTTTGCTCAACTGCTCACGGACATGCCAGGTCGGAACAGTTACCAACTGTGACGATTGCCAGGACTGACCCAGAGACTCCAATATCCCTTAATCAAGGACGGAAGAAGCTTTAAATTAGATCAGGGATCCTATTACAATTAAGGTATATTCCTTACTTAAGGGATATTGGAATCTTCCGGGATTCAGTTTTAGGGATCTTCCCTTTGCCCAGAAGAGGATGTTTGGGCCTTTCTAGGGGAGTAGCCCACCTTTGGTTGGAAGCTCAGGCGCCACTCTTCAGGACATCCCAAGCTTCCCGAGGTTCAGCCCTAATCCTTGGACTCTAAGCTTTACCTCTTAAGCCCTAAGCCACCCTAATGCTGAAGCCCCTAAACTTCGTAGCTTACGCCCTGGACCTCAAAGCTGTAGCCCTAAATCCTAGGCCCTGCAACCCGAAACCCCCAAACTTAAGCCCTGTCGGCTGCGGCAGCTGTATGCTGACAGAGAAGCGGAGCTTGGGTTTAGGGTTTAGGGTTTAGGGTTTAGTCCTACCCCTCCTTTAGAATGAACACTGTTTGCTTGTTCCCCGAAGCCCTGAGGACAAAACCGTAAAGCCCAGCAACTCAAGCTCTGCATCCCCAAACCGGAACAACAAGACCCCCTTGAAAAAATGAGCACAAAAGCAACAAAGGAGTGATAGTCTAGCCAAACCAGAACCCTAAATCCTAAGCCCTAGACCCTAAACCCCAAATCCTAAACCCTAAACCCTAGACCCTAGACCCCAGACCCTCTATCCTAAACCCTAGCCTCAGGAGCTGGGCTACTGCGAAGTTCTCTGGGCCAGACACCCAGCGCCCACGGCGTCGGCGAGATGCAGATTCTTGAAGTGGGCCTCAGGGGCTGCTATGAACCTATACGGGTTCTGGTAGAAGCCAGAAAGTTGGAACATCAGACTCCTCATGCCCTTAAGGTAAAGTATAAGGGATCCTAGCACTAATCCTCCTAAAGCCATGTTCCAACTTTCTGGCTTCTACTGTATTTTAGAAGGATCTATACCGGTTCCTTTGAAGGGATCAATAAGGGTTCCTTTAGGGGGATCTATACCGGTTCCCGTCACGGGAACACTAAGGGTTCCTGTAAAGGGATGTAAAAGGGTTCCTTTAGAAAGGAAACTATAAGGGTTCCTTTCCTTTAAAGTTTAAAGGGATCTATAAGGGTTATTTTAAAGTGATCTATGCCTTCTTTAGCGAGTCCCTCTAAGACTTGTCACACTGAGCCGCTTTTGAAGAAACCCTTAGCCTTGCAAAACCCGTGGATAACACCAGAGAGCTTCATAGCACCCCTGATAGCAGCCTTGGAAGACTTTCATGGAACCCCTTAAAAAACCGCCTATAGACGCCAAAACCTTAAACCCTAAACTTTGGCCCTAAACTCCAAACCCTAAAACCCCAAACCCTAGAACCCTAAGCCCTAATCCCTGAACCCCTTTATAGAACCCTTATGGATCCCTTTAAAGGAACCCTTATAGACCTCTTTAAAGGAACCCTTATAGACCTCTTCAAGGGAACTCGCGAAAGACCCGCGAGGTTAACGGATCGGAGGGCCGATATCGCATCACCACCTCCTGGCAGACCGCCTCGGATCTTCGCCGCCATCCCGACTGGCGGGGGTTCACAGTTTTTGTTGTTTTGGTTTTGGTGTTTCAGGGTTTATAGGATTTAGGGTTTAGGGTCCATTGGGAGTTACATAACGGCAAAGGGGTTTTGGGGAAGGTGCAGCTTGTAGTTCTTGCTTGTTGCTCTACCCTTCGCGCTTTTGATGGCAGGGTTCGAATGCATGAAGCGTGTTGCAGACCAGCATCATCGTATAAGAAGTAAGAACCAGGATGTTGAGGCTAATGCCAGAGCAAAATACGCAACAAGTCAAAGATACTAGTTCCCCAAAACAGTCGCACAGCTTAACTTGTGGCCTGGGCCCCAAATTTAAATTGAAGACATGCGTCACTACACTACACGTGCTCGTTCGTAGTTTCAAGTTACGGTCCTAGCACCCTGCAGTGTGCAGTGGCACTTTGTAGAGATCAGCAACAGAAGCTGCTCGCAAGCTTCGAAGGTATTGACCTTAAACTCCCGCAAGTCCTGCACAGATGCACTCAGCCCTTGGCGGAAACCTTACCCTAAGCCTGCTACCGAAATCATGCACTATCATGGACTCAGGTACGCTGTTTGCGTGGAGGCGACAGTGCTCATGTTCGGTACTGACCTCAGGAGCCGTTCAAAGTCGAAAGCGTGTTCTTCCGAATTGGGTCTCCTTCCTAGCAACGCAGTCTCTTCAACAATTACCAGTAGCAACAGCCAGCCGACGCCTAGATCTATTCCAGATGTTTAGGGTCCAAGCATCGGTTCCTTAAAGGGATCTACAGGGTTTAGGGTTTAGGGTACAATTTAGAGGCATTGCCAAAGCAGAGGCAACCGTGCGAAAAGATCTGAGATCTCATATAAACCAGGGATTATACATACATATATATTTATGCACATGTATATAGAAATATATATGTATACACACGTACGTATACATGTGTGTATATTTATATTGTATATATGCACATACGTATGCATACGTATATGCACATATATATATACATTCATACAAGCACATATATGCGTATTTACATATGTACATGTATATTCCCAAATGTATATGTATATCTGTATATGTAGACGGTGTATGTATCAGTATACCTGTTTTCATATGTAGTTCGAGGTATATCAGTTTTTATGTGGAGCCACTATGTGATCAGTGTCAGATATGTTCACGAAACTCGGAGCCTGAAGCCAGAAATATATCATCAGTTCTCAACACTCAGCCTGCCATGATTAATGCTGAACCCTCAACCCCATGTCCAGTGCAACTCTGATTTGAGCGAGAGGTTTGGGGGTCAAGCTTTTTCGGCTGATGTCCCAGCGCCATCTACCTCCAGTCACAGGCGGCTATCACCTCAACCTCTTCGTGAGCTTTGTGGGGCTTGCTGCCTTGCACTCAGAGGAAAGCTGAATACACTACTACATTTCTTCGGCTATCAGCACGGCCCCATCACTTCACCGTCGTTATAATCATCAGCGTCAAAATCATCATGACCATCGATCAGCAGCATCGTCATCACCATCATGCGACGACATCACCTCCATCCATCCATCCATCCATCCATCCATCCATCCATCCCTTCTTCCCGTCCCTCCGTCCCTCCGTCCCTTCATCCCTCCGTCCCTCCATCCCTCCGTCCGTCGGTGTGTCCTATAAGCATCCAGCAACCAGAGGCACGCACCCGCACCCGCACCCGCAGACACGCATACGCACACGCAAACACACTCATGCCACTCATGCACACACAACACGCACACGCACACGCACACGCACACGGACACGGACACGGACACGGACACGGACACGGACACGGACACGGACACGGACACGGACACGGACACGGACACGGACACGCACACGCACACGCACACGCACACGCACACGCACACGCACACGCACACGCACACGCACACGCACACGCACACGCACTGCAGGCACACGCACACGCACACGCACACGCACACGCACACGCGCACGCGCACGCCCACGCCCACGCGCACGCACACGCACACGCACACGCACACGCACATGCACATGCACATACACATGCACATGCGCATGCACATGCACATGCACATGCACATGCACACGCACATGCACACGCGCGCACGGGCATGCGCATGTGCAAGCGCACGCGCACGTGCCCGCACGCGCACGTGCCCGCACCCGCACCTGCACCCGCACCCGCACCCGCACCCGCACCCGCACCCGCACCCGCACGCGCACGCGCACGCGCACGCGCACGCGCATGCACACCCACTCACACACTCACTCACACACACACACACACACACACACCAGAGACAGAGACGGACACAGACACACAGACGCACAGACACACAGACACACAGACGCACAGACACACAGACACACCCACCCCCACCCCCACCCACCCACCTAAGCAGGCAGGCAGGCAGGCAAGCACGCAAGCAAGCCAGCAAGCAAGCAAGCGAGTAATCCGTCAGTCATTCCTAGGTTTCTGAGTACCCTCTTGCTCTTTTTGTTTTTGGGTTCCCGCATTACAAGCGAATATTAGGCAACATGGTACCTTTAATATGAAGGGGCTATTCAGGAACCTAGATGCAGTCAACTAATGTAACTAATGAATCAATGAGTTATTGCTGCAATGAGTCAATGAATCAACGAACCAATGAGCCAACGAACCTATGAATCAATGAAGCAATGGAGCAATGAATCGATGACGAAGAGACGAGCTCAAGATTGAAAGCAAATCAAACCCCAGGACTTGAACCGCAATCCCTTAGGGGGCTCCCATCCAAGGCGCATTGCGCCATCGCGGTTGTGTTAATCGTTGGCTCCCCAGCATTCCTTCTGCCGTTGGTGAGGTCCAACCTTCAGCAACAGAGGGACGGCAAAAAGAATTCCTGCAGCCGGAGTGTTGGGGGTTTTGGGGCTCAAGGCTAGTTCAAGGTCAGGGTTCTCGAGGGCTTATAGAACCTGTGGTTGCGTTCAGACTCAACGCGACTTTTTTTGTTTTCTGGGTTTGGGGTTGAGGATCAACCGAATTTTTTCTCTGCCTGGTAACCACAAACTGCTGCAATACTATGTAACATTTGCGTTTGCGATGGGTTTAGACTTCCGTGTGCGAGGGGTGCATGCCCTTTGCATGCTTTCTATCTTGGGCGCGTTGGGGCTGATTTTCGTGTGCATAATATAGGGGCCTAAATAACTACCAATACTATTTTGGGGTTCCGTATTCTAAATACAAATATACCAAAAAAACCATTCTAGTTATTGAGGCCCCGATACTACCGTAGATGATGAACACCAGACCGGCGAGATCCTACAGCCCATAAGCTTCTTAATATCAGTGAATGCGGTGACAATGCTGTATAGAGGCAGGGTACCCGATGCAAACCTGCAAAGCCGGAAAACTGCGAGGTTCCGTGTCCAGGCAGCTCAAACTTCCCTCAGTCCCCAAAACCGGACCCCAGCTTTCAACACAAGCAAGGCCACAACGACCGTTTTCATTCCAGGCTGGAACGCGTGCGCAATGCACCAATACCGAGGCCCTACTTAGAGTTCGAAGCCCTGAACCAAAAGCCAGAGACGATAACAAAGCCAACCTATGCCCTAAACCCTAAACCCTAAACCCTAAACCCTAAACCCTAAACCCTAAACCCTAAACCCTAAACCCAAGGCTTTGGACAGCAACTGGTTCGGCAACTGGCATGCGAAGACGGGGACTTAGGGGGCGGATCTCCATGAGTTCCTCATCAGCCATGATAATTAGAATAGGGTTTCGGGGACAATTATACTACAGTTATAATCAGGAACCACCAAATCAATAAAGGTAATGAGTTTGTTAAGGCCCCTGTAATATGTTATTCCACCTTGGGACATCTGCGCATTCGTTGATTACCAATCCTTCTTGGGTTGTATAGCAGTGTAATATGCCCCAAAGCCCTTATTCTAATTCTTAAGGGTTATTAAGGCCCCCATACTAGTTATGTGCCGGGCTTTAAGCATATAAAACTGGGGTTCAGCAACCGGGCTGACATGTAGAGCAATATAGGGGCCAGAACAGTGAGAACTGTATATGCTTTTTTGGAGTGTTTTCATATTTGTTACAATACAAGTGGGTTCTTGAAAGGCGTAGTTGTATCTGGGGTCTAGCAGGGCTATATAACCGAGAATAGTTCTCGGCAGCGGGCGTGCAGTGGTTGGGGCTGTGGGGTTTGGTTTCGTCGCAGAAACAAGTTGAAGCTAGTCAGGGTTTGGGGTTTAGGGGTTTAGGGCTTCAGGGTTTTAGGGGTTTAGGGATTTGGGGCTTTAGGGTTTTAGGGTTTACGGTTTCAGGGTTCACGAACGCCTAAGCCTAAACCCCATGCCTTAAGCCTTTCGCACCGAGACCCCTCCACCCTACACCTCGACACCCGAATTACTTGTACCCAGATTAATGATCCTTAGTTCTATGGCCATGGGCAGCTTCTAACCCTAAACCCCCTAAACCTGTGTACTCTTGGTAGTCGAGGTACCGGCCGACCCGAGACCCTGCACCCGAAATCCAACCTACTCTAATATAGGGGCCTAGTCCAATTGTTCAGGCCCCTGTACTAAGTTTACCCTACATGCTACACAACGCTTGGCGGTACTAACCTGCCCCATGTGGGCTTTTCGATGCACAGACGCATGCGGTCGGAAAAGAGGCCTTCAAAACAAAAACCTACCCAAGTCCGCGGCTGCAACCGAGGATGATGCGAATGCCCACTCGGAAAGAGATGGATGCAGCCCATTCCATCGAGGTCCAACCGCAGAGGGTTTACTGGGGTTCAGGGTCTAGATTTGGGAGTTTCCGAAAATTAGGGGTATCTTATTCTGGTGTCCTTATAATAAGGATCCTACTATTTAGGGTACTATATTAGGGTGCCTCATTTTCGGAAACTCCCATTTTAGATGGGCTTAGGGTTCAAGATAGAAATCGAAGCCGGGAGCTTGTGAAGGCAGCTGGGGTCGAGGATTTCCGGAGTTTAGGGTGCCTGCTAGTCTAATGCACCCTCAACCCTACTACACCTTCGCCCTAATCCCTACCTCCAACCCCTAAACCCCAAACCAAGATGAGGGCTTATAGGGTTTAGGGTTTTTGAGTTTAGGGTTTTAGGTTCAGATCTCAGGGCTTGGAGTCTGTGGTTTTGGGATACGCTCAGCAATGGAAGAAAAGAGAACGGTCACCATCATTGCTATTTCCCTCATGCTGCTTCCAGCTCTTGCGTTGAACTTTCTTCGGGCAGCCAAGGTAGTGTTGGCAATAAGATAAGGGCCCCAACAGCTACACGAGGGCTCTGGGAACTGTGTTTCCACAGTTTTATCTCAGGAACCCGAAGATCTCAAGGAACCCGACGAACATGACTACAACTCTTCAGCTATACTACATATCGCCAGCGTTTTTGGAGATGCCCTGTTTTTTTCTGACGTCCGAAGGCCTTACTAAATCGAAGAGCCTAAACCCTAAACCCCTCAACCCCTAAACCCCTAAACCCCTAAACCCCCAAACCCCCTAAACCGAAGGCCTTACTAAACCGAAGAGCCCAGGCCAAAGAGCAAGCGATCCCATGAAACCCTCAACCCCATCTCCCGGGCCCATGGCCCGATTTCGGTTTAGGGGTTTAGGGGGTTTAGGGGGTTTAGGGGTTTAGGGGGTTTAGGGGTTTAGGGGTTAGGGGTTTAGGGGTTTAGGGGTTTAGGGTTTAGGGTTTAGGAGCCCTGCAGCCCTCAATAAGGTTAAAGGCAAAGCCCTCAAACCCTATGCCTTGGGTACTGCCCCCGCTCAGTAACAGTTGGATAATATTCATTGTATAGATATATAATATAAGGACCTTAAGGTGACCTTAATAGTAGCCCTATTATAGACTGTTACTGTATGGGGGCAGTACCCAACCTATGCCCAAGTACGACTAGGGGGCAGCGAAACATGGTTCGGTGGGCGCGCCGCCGATTGCTATGACGGCCTGGGGCTCGGCGAGTTTGATACAAAAGCCTAAACAATATAATAGTTTTGAGGACTCAGAGTTTAGATTTAAGGTTTTAGGGTTTCGGTTCGAGAATAGCTCTCTTGTAGCAGCTATACTACTGCATACCCCAGAACCCTAGACTGCCCCTTGCAAGGTTTGCGGGGTTCATGTAGGGGCTTAGGGTGCAGGATTTGAGTTTAAGGTCTGGGTTCAGACTTAAAGGTTTAGGGTTTAGGGTTCAGAGAACTTGAAAGGTTTCACGCCCCTCCCCCAAACAAGCACAGAAAACCTGCAGAAGCACAAGTAAAAATATGAATCTCAACATCTACGGGCAGTTGTCGAATACGCAACTTACATGTGTTTGCCTTTTTTTCTACACACGATGATTGATTTTGTATTTCGTTTGTTTACATCGCAATCTCCAGACTCGCTCAACTCCGGAAGCTGCATGTGCATATGGACGAAAATGGTGGATCTACCCATAGGCTCCATAGTAGTTCGTTTTTGGGATTACCTTATAGGATTCTCAATATGAACCACAAAAAGGAACTACTATGGAGCCTCTAGGTAGTTGTTGTTTGTTTACATCTACTTTGCTGACTCAAAGCCAAGCAGCAATCCCAAGAACCTGAATACCCATGCTCAAGATTTTTAAACCCTCAAACCATGAACCCACGCAACAAACACAAACAACAGTTTCCATGTAAACCCTGAACCCCAAATCCAAAACCCCCCCAAATGCACGACATACAAAGTTACACACACACACAACAAACAACCAACAACAACCACAACCACTGCCACACAAAGAGCAACTAATTAAAAGCTTAAACTTTAAAATCTAGCCAATGTGCTGAGACTGTGCGGATTAATCGGAAGAAAGACCCCCCTAAACCCTAAACCCTAAACCACCAAGAAACCATAAATCTAGCCCAAAAGTGGATTAGTCGGAAAAGAACCCTAAACCCTAAACAACAACAAAAACTAAGAAAGCCTACCTCTAACCCAAAAGCAGAGCAAATTCCGAGGAGCTGCAGGATGCCATCGTCATCGAGGTCGGAAGCTTCGGCGGAGGGGGGGGGCAAAAACAACGTCTGAAGAGCCTTAAACTAGGGTTTAGGGTTTAGGGTTTGGGAACTGCGAAAAAGCCAGATGATTATTGGCATTATTTTTCTGATTGTTTATGACGATAGTTCATTAGCAATTATTCTGATGGCTGTTTCTGTGTTTAGTATTATTTGTTTTATGCGTGTAGCGCTTCGGGTTTCTAAGGTTAGAGGTTTACGGTTTTGTAAGGTTCAGTATGCGTCTCAGGAGATCTCAGGAAGAGGCTACTATGTTGCGTCAGTGCATGCCCTGAGCTGCTACACACCCCTTTCAGCCTCAAATCCTTCAATCCGAAGACACCCCTCCTAAACCCTAAACCCCTGATCCCTTTCTTGAAAAGGACCTGAAGCGAGAGCCGTGGTCGAAGAGAGAGCTGAAGCAGCTCGGCTCGTGTGATGTGCCTTTGGGGTTTAAGGCCAGTTTAGGGTTTGGGCCTTAGGGTTTAGGATTGCAGCTCTTGGGGCCTTTTTTGGTGAATGGTTTGCAAACTAGGGTTTTGAGGCTGTCTTTTCGGGGCTTGGCGGTTTTGGGGTTTTGGACGTAGGGGTGTGGTGATGTTCCTTTGGGGTTTTAGCCTGTAGGGCGCAGGCCGTTACGGGTATGTCCTTCAGAGACATACCTCGAGTTTTCGCCCAACGCAAGGCGGCTTAGATGCTAGCTGCTTACAGATCTTACAGGGCGGAGTTGATTTCCGCCTTGACAAGTTTACAAGCAACCCCGTAAACCCTTGATTAAGCTTACCCCCTACCCCCGCCCCCCGCTCCGCAACGCAACACACAAAAGACCTAAGCCCTGCAGCTCCTCTGCCAAGACTGCCAAGAAGCCCCAGGCCCAAGTCAGACCCGATGCCGCCGGCCTGCATCATCGACGATCCGGCCTACAGGCCTGGGCGCTGTTCTGTCGTTGTGTGTCACGCGGTTTGGTTGTTTTGGGCCGGATGCTCTTGTCGGGTCGAGGTGAATTATGAAGTAAGAGCTTAACGGACACTGGCCCTAAACCTTAAGCCCTTAAACCCTTAATCCTCAGCCCAAAGTGCGGAGGCTAATTGTTGCGAATTATCCCATATGAACATCCGAATCAGCTTACATGACTCGTTCTCTATCCCACGTGCAACTATGTATCTATCTGTCCATCCTTGCATCTATCTACCTATCTGTATAAGAGTTTCACTAGTTGTTTTTCCAGCCATCGATCGATATCTCATATCTATCTATCTCTATATCTGTCCGTTTACCTGTCTATATGCCTACATGTATATACATAAGGTCTTTTGGTGGGGTTTGACTTGTTGAGGAAGGTTTAGAGGACTTGTAGGTGTTGGGTTTTAAATCTTCAGGGCTTCGGGATCAGGGCTCAGAGCTCCTAAACCCTAAACCTACCTAGTAGCAGAGTAGGCAACCTTTAACCTTTTTGGGGTAGTATAGTCCCTATATAACCCCTTATCCCTATATATCCAAAAAAGTTAACCCTGTAGTTCCCCATGTGATACCTGACAAGTAGGCCTAAGGCACAGATGGATTGAGGCTCAGGGCTTGGAACTTCTGACCCCAAGGTCCCATTTTGGCTTTAGGGTGCTTAGAGTTTAGGGGTTTAGGGTGTAGAGTCTAGGAGTTTAGGGTTTAAAGTCTAGGGGTTTAGGGTTTAGAGTCTAGGGGTTTAGGGTTTAGAGTCTAGGGGTTTAGGGTTTAGGGTCCTGTAGGCGTCTGCATGGGGCATCTGCCGGTTTACATCTTAAGGCCACCATAGAGACCTACGAAGGCGAGGAACGGCTACAGGAACTACTATCGTGGTGGTTGGGGTTTAGGGTTTTAGGGCTTAGGGTTTTAGGGTTTAGGGTTTAGGCTTTCAGGGTTTAGGGTTTAGGGTTGTCAGTGTGTGTATCACCCCTATAATATACACGCAAAGGGCTTGTTTCTGACAGAGCAGGCCTGCAATCCCATCTGGGAGTTTCCGAAAATAGGGGACCCTAATATAGTACCCTAAGCAGTAGGATCCTTATAATAAGGTACCCCGAATTGTCGGAAACTCCCATCTGGAGCTCTCAAGATGTCACCTGCCTTGCAGGGGGGCGGAGTGGAAGGAGGTCTGCAGGGTCAAGCTGAAGAAGGTGCGTGGGAAATGGGGAGCGTCAGTATAAGGTGTTACTGTAAACATAAGGGTTATTATCAGGGTTGCCGTTCCTCTGGCATTCTGCAAGGGCTCCATGTTCTTGTTTCCCCCCCCACCTGTTTCACCCCTTCGATACATGCGTTGTCTGCGGAGCCCTTGACAGCAATTACTTAAAAGCCCACAGAGGCCCCTAGAAGCGAAATTTTTGGGAACTTGGGAGGTCGCCAATAAGGCATCGGTGACGAAGCTGCGGAGGGAGTACGGCATCGTCCGACCCCGAGATTTGTGGGTTTAGGGTTTAGTTCCCAGGTTTTTTTTGCCAAGGCCTTAAAAGAATTGTGGGAGTTACACTAGCTTCCACAAGAGTATCAGTATCTGCAGGGATTTTCAGAGGACTTATACAGGATCTACAAGGGTTATATTAAAGCCTTTTCTAATGGCATTTTATGGTTGTCATGGCTTTGTGTGATGAAGGAATAGTTGGCAGCACCATTACGGACACATCCACAGCAAAAAACCACCCCCCCAAGTCCTAGTTTGAATATTCAGACGTTTGTTTAATGCAGCGGAAGTGTGCAGGAAGGTTAACAGTCCGCTGGTTTGGGAATTTTGGGATTTGAGGTTGGTTTAGTTGCCCAGGATTTCCGGTTCGGGTTTTTTTCGGAATTGCAGGACTATCCGACTGCTGGCTGGAGAATCTTTGCAGTAGAGTCGACTGAGTCTACTGCAGACGGAAAGTTGATAAATATCCCTCATACCTATAGTCTCCATTGTAGTTCCTTTTTGGGGTTACTTTATAGGATCCTTAATATATAGTTGGATAAGCCAAAAAAAGGGAACTACAATGGAGCCTGCAGGTACGGATTATAGTAGGGATCCTAGTAGGCAGGTCCTTAAAGAACCGGAGCCTGTTAATCAGAGGTCTGCATGAGGATTTGTTGCCCAAGCTCTAGCTCTTCGAGTTGCGTGCCGATGTTGTCGTCCCCCATGCGCGCCGACGCAATTTTTCAGCTGTGCAATCAGCTCAACGCCGCTGTAGCATCGGACACGTTGGAACCACTTTAGTCAAGCCCTGAGACTCCAAAGGCTAAACCCTACCCCCCCGGAGCCTTTAAGCAAAGCACAGCGCCACATTGAGCCCTGAATCACCACAAACTGTAAGCCCTAAACCCCTAACCCTCAACCTTACACCCTGACCAGGTCGCTGTGGCAGTTGAAAGCCGTGATGGCTTAGAGCCTTGCGCCCAAGCTTTTAGGGATTCAGGGCTTTAGGGTTTGGGGTTCAGGGTTTGAGGCTTTGGAGTTTTGGGTTTGGGGTTTAGGGGTCCGGGGTTCGGGGTTGTCTCCGGACCTCCAGGTTTGGGAGTTGCAGGCTTAATGTTATTTCAGCGTTTAGGGCGCTAGAGCATCGAACCGGCGCAGAGGCTTTAGCTTCGCCGCGCAGACTGGTTGGAACGAGGAAAGGAGTAGCCCCAGACGCCTTCATTTCCGGGCAATCCGAGTCGGTTTTTGTTGGGCAACACTCTGTAGACCCTTAATTCAACCTAGGTACTGCACCCACACAGTAAGAGTCTATAATATATAGGGCTACAATTAAGGTCCTAATATATCTATATTATGAATATGATTCAGCTGTTACTGAGTGGGGGTCGTACCCAACTTCAACCCAAGACTGAACCCAAAATGCCAAATGCAGGCCCTGGCCAACCAAGAGCCCCGAAACTCAGGCGCAAAGGTTCGGTCGCCTTGTTTACGGCATGAGTCGGCTCAACCCTAAACCGCAGACCCATGTGGGTATCAGGGTCACTGAGCCCTGAACCCTTCAATTTTGGGCGGAGTTGAGGTTTAGGGCCTAAGCTGGGCACGAGTTTAGGAAGTAGGATTGCAACCCAAGGAGACCAACAAGGAATAACCGGATCCTGCTTGCCGGGCTCACCTCACACATACAGGGATGCCTAAACCCTAAGCCCAAAGGCCTTGTTCGCGAAATCTCTTACCAACGCACCAAAACCCTCTGGACCCCCAAACGCTCCTACCCCTGGCAATCCTCCAGGTGTGGCTTGGATGTGCCACTGCAAGCCGGTGGTTCTGTCCTGCTCGGGCCCCACGGGACCCTCCTTCAGAACGGAAGCAGAAGCCAGAAAGTTGGAAGAAACAAGGGCTGCAACAAATGAAGGGTACTATGCGTAGAATACGGTTTTGGGGGTATATCGTGCTATAACTAGATTAGGGACTAGAACGGATTGGTTGGTGTCTGTGGTCCATGCTGGGGTCTCCAGAAGGGAGTGTTTTACCGGTTATGAAAGGCTGTACCTATAGTCTCCATTGTAGTTCCTTTTTTTGGTCAAGCAAAACCTCTATTATACGATCCTAACCATAAAATTGGTTAACCAAAAAAAGGAACTACAATGGAGACTATAGGTAGAGATTAGATTTTCGGCTTTATGCCTCAATGGGCCGAGTTACATATTCACACAACTGCAAGGGGGCAAAACTCCTAGATTTAAAGCCCAGGCCCTACCCGGCCATACCGATTCCTAAACGGGTTTAGTGGAGGGTTTACTGGTTTGGAGGTTTGGGGGTGTAGGGTTCAGAGGGAAGTCAGATGGTTATAACTATTCTTTTTGCGTTCAGGGTTTATGGGGGCTTATTGGGAACTCAGCTGACGGCTGTAGTGAGCTGCCTTATACAAACCGCCCACGTTAAACACACTTTGAGCCTTCGTTTCTTCGGCATTCGCGAGGGCAGTGAGAGCTTTTCAGGTTAGGGTGCATGAGTATAGTGGGCGACAAGTTCGGTGAACATCGTTTTTGTGGTATGATTAGAGCCTATGGTTCAGTGTTTGTGGAATAGTGGTATGCACGAGCTGCCACTTCATGATACTAGTTTCCAAAATATTCAATTGGACACGAAGGAAGTGTCGATCGTAGTTTGTGCAGAACTGATTTCGTCGAGGTGTACCGTGTTGGCGAAGCATCCTGATTTCCTTCTCTTAGGATGAGGCAGACATGGTAAGGTTCGAGCCGCAGGTCTTGCGAACAGCAACCCCGCCCCGAAACCACTCCAGGCCCACATGCCAAATAATATAGATATAGGGGCCTTAACATTTGGAATAGGGTTTGGGGGATTGTATACCATAGCTATAATAGGGAACGCCCCAAAACCCTATTCTCGCTCAAACCCTGAATCCCAAGGTTTGGAATCGAGAATGGCGTGGAGAATTTCGAGAGCGCGGCACACAGATAACTCTAGGGGTTTAGGATTTAGGGTTTAGGGTTGAGGGTTTAGGTTTTAGGGGTTTAGGCTGTGAAAAGCCCGGTCGGCGATTTTGTGGAATTGCCTAAAGTTTTTGGACGTCAAGTGTTTGGCGGTCTTAACGGCTGGAAACAGCATTCACTGTTCGGATTTCTTAAGGCACGACACTCGTCTTTGCTGTGCATTTTCTGTGCTGAGGTAATATCTTAGAAGGGACCCGCACCCTGTAATAGTGGTATCATAGGATATAATAGGGCCCGAATATAATCCTTATAGTCACTATTACAGGGTGGGGGCCCCTTCTAGGTAATATCTTAAGTTGTCGTCTCAGGGCCTGCTGCAACTATCGGGCAAGAAGCATCGCAACCTGGCCATCAGTGTTTCCTACATGGGAGTTTCCGAAAACTAGAGGTACCTTATTTTGGGGGTCCTTATAATATGGATCCTACTACTTAGGGTACTAGATTAGGGTCCCCTATTTTCGGAAACCCCCACATTCTTTACAGATCCCGAGCACGGTATAGCTACCCGGGTCGTCAATCCAAGCCCTGCACCCAACGTATCTGTGGCCAGCACTTGCTCAAAAGCCCTACTGCAAGGGCCTTCATCATGAGAATAGGGTTTTGCGGGTTACTTATTCTAATCATAGTACAGTATACCCCAAACCCTATTCTATCTGTTTTGGCCCCTACATTAAGCCCCAAACCCTAAACCTCTCTCAGAACTGCGCGGGCTTATCGGCTTGACCGAGGAGGACGAGGTCTATCGAGAGCTCTGCTATACCTGAGTGTGAGGGCTTCGGTTAGGGTGTAGGGGTTTTGGGCTTTTGGGTGTAGGGTTTTGGGGTTTTGGGTTAAAGTTTAGGGTTCAGGCGCGAGTTCTCAGAGATCTCGAAGAAGGAGTCGAAGGTTCAAGGCTGGAAGCTGTTGCCTAAGTAGGCCTTGAGGATATACCCAGTAGCTGAGCAGGTAATTCACCCTCGCTTAGCCTAAGCCTGCGATGGTTGAATCGATAACTTCTTTAGGGCCATAGAACGCTTTGAGTTGTAAGGTCTATAGTGATTCCCAGAAAGTTGGAACATGGGTTTAGGAGGATTCGTGCTAGGATCCCTTATGCTTTGCCCTTAAGGGCATGAGGAGAAAGATGTTCCAACTTTCTGGCGTCTACTATATCAAGACGCGAGACGTATATCAAGTGTCTTTGATTTGGGTTCTGGACGCCCTTACACCGGCGATTCTAGACATCCTACCTATGGTGTCAGATGTAGTTGCGGCTATTCATTTTTGTGTGTTTAGCATCCTCCTTTTTTGAATACTAGGGCCGCTGTATAATAGGTGTTACTTGGGGGTATGATGATGGAGGGACCTAGAGGGTTTCACGGATTAATTACTAGGACCTGGAGTAGGCCCTTATTCCCTTATTTTAGGGTTCAGGTCCCCTTGTAAGCCACTTTAAACCAAAAAGGGCACCCTTTTTGTTCCTAGGTTACTCTTGGGTCTAGATTAGGGTTCAAGGATGTTGTCTTAAGCATGTGCTCCAGCACACGACTCTTGGAACAATGCACCCGTATAATATTTTAATGGATTCTGAGGAAAGTGCTGAAGGAGTGGCGATGACCGCGAGTTGGATCGCCACAAGAGCTTTATTGTTCTGAATGGGGATGCTCGTCGTCTCCTTCCCCCAAAGAATAAATGTTGTTTGCGATGATGCTGGATAGGGATCGGAGGGTGAGGTGATAGATGTAATTGGAGCTTGCTGTTTCGAGCTTGAAAACCTTATCACTTAGCCCTAAACACTCTTTAAGGCCAGGAAGCACTTCATATTACTTCATATTGCCTTCCGTAGTCAGGTTTTCGGGATTAACACCAAGCACTTTAGGCCCCAACAAATCTTCAGCCAAATTCCGAACTGCTAGTTCTGGGAGAGTGGGACTATGGCTAAATAAGGTTGGGATAACCGAAAACACAAAAGAAAGCACCGGGATCCCCTCAACCCTAAACCCTCGACCCTCAACCGTAAACCCTAAACCCTTTCAGAAGTGTACCAAGGGGCGCTTAAACAAACAAAAAGACCCTTTCAAAAAAAACAAACGACACCGACAAAAGGATCCTCGCGACAGTGTGGAGCGAGTGTGGCTTCCCGTGTACAAGTTCGAGGCACTCTGGTGTTTACTTAGCGGTACTTAGAAATATTGTTTAATTTTATAATTCCTAAGAAACAGCTAAAATTAGAATTTTTGCTAGGGTTCTAAATTCAGTTAGTTTAGACAGTTCGGGGCTTGCGGTTTTTCAGGGCTTTCCCAGGACCCCCAAGGGCAAAAATAGAGCTTTGATGTTCCTTACTGGTGGGTATTTCGGGTACAGTGGAAGGTGGTTGGGGTTCTGGGTCAGGGTTCTTGAGGGTTGTTGTTTGCGTTTCCGGTGTATCAGTGGTTTTGAAGGTTTAGTGTTTTGGGGGTGTTTTCGGGTTTATTTATATAGGACTTGTGGTTTGTCAGTGGTGTTTCAGGCTTAGGGCTGAGACACTGGAAGGCGCGTTCTTCGCTGTTATTCTTCGTTGTTATCTTCACTACATAGGTAGGACTAGGTTTTAATGCTCATATTCGCTGCAAGGCCAGCTTTGAGATCTCAATTTTTCCTGCGAGCCAGACCTCGAACCCTCACCACGCCCCACAACTCTGCAGAGCTCCAAGGTCCGCAAACTCCCAGCCAAGCCCCGACCATGACACCCTAATGTATGGGCGTTAACAATTCGAACAGGGTTCAGGGGGCTCCGTAAGGTGACTATAGTGTAGGATATCCCCCAAACTCTATTCTAATTGTTCAAGGCCCCTACATGGTTGTACCCTTGATCCGTTGCAGTAACCCGTATAGACCCCTTTAAATTAAAGGAACCCTATGAATGAAATTCCATTCTAACAATGTTAAGGTTTTCATAGTAATGATTAGGGTGGTTGTCAAAACTATCGTTCATTTTTGGGTCCCTAAAATAATACGGCGCCTATTATTTAGGGTACCCAACAAGGGACCCTAATTTTGACAACTGCCCATTAGACTTTGCAGGTTCCGCAGGCCCTCGCTGGAATTCCGTGGTCCCAGCGTTCTGGAAGCATGATGCTCGACGAGAAGGACTGCAATATAGGCGCTTAAATAATTGTAGCAAGGAGCCACCAAAAGGAAATAGTATAGGTATTTATTTAAAATAATTACCTATACTATTTCATTTTGGTGTTTTGTTTAAAGAAAATTATAGCCAGCGTTCTAGAACGCAGGGGTTTTCTTAGGGGTGGTGCCAGGGCTCCAGAAATGGGGCAGTCCTTTGGTCTTTCAGGGATTCTAGAAGGCTGCATACTCTGCTTGCCAGGTTAAAGGGAACTCCAGAAAGTTGGAATATGGATTAATGGTAGGATCCCCTATAACTTACCTTAAAGGGGATACGATAATGATATTCCAGCTTTCTGGCTTCTACTGTAAGGGTTGGGACATGGTTTGGGACCGATACTCTCGAGTTCAGCCCAATTCTCAGATTAAGGTGTCTCAGTCTGTCTTGGTTAGGAATGTAGGGCGGGGAAAGTCCTCGAATTGACACAAGGTGCGAGCCTGTGCCTTTGTGCAATGAAGGAAACCCAAAGACCAAATGGTGATTCTGTAGATAGGGTTTAGAGTTTAGAATTCAGAAATCTTTCACAAACAGGAAAAGAAGCAAGTGCTGGTGGGAAGTAAAACTTCTATGAGTCGCAGCTGCTCTGGTCACGTGGTCGGGGAGGCAAATATATTTAAAGAAGGAAACGCAGTTGATAGACCCACACACACACACACACACACACACACACACACACAAGCGACCCACACGACCCCATCAACGACACGAAGCAGCTCCTATGCCATAGTGCCAAGTGTCGAACCCACGACCGCCCAAGGCATCACAGCCGCGGTCTTCCCCACGATGTTTGTTTCTTCATCTCATCACCACCTCCGTTTTAGTGCGGGAAGCTAGTATAGTAGAAGCCGAAAAGTTGGAAACCCAATAGCCTCAATCCTTAAGAGCAATGTATAGGGAATCCCAGCACTATTTGGCCTTAATCCGGTTTCCAACAATTTATGGGGTTTACTGTAAGAAGATTATCGTAACCCCTTTAACCATTAATCCATATTTCAACTTTCTGGAGTTCCCTGTAAGAAGATAGCTCGTCCCATGAAGGACCACAACGTGGATTCGAGTGTCGCTTGCTTCAACTCGGAAGCGACTCTGTGGTCTTTTTGGGTTTAGACTTACTACGGTTCATGATAAAAATCCTAGGGTTCCTTTAAAGGGATCTATAAGGGTACCTTTAAGGGTTCCTTTAAGAGATCTGTAGGGTTTTAGGGTTTAGACTTACTACGGTTCATGATATAAAGCCTGCATGATCCATAATAAGGAATATACCATAATTCCGAACATATCCCATATTTTTGGGTCCTTAAGGTAGTGCAGGATTTATAGCATCAACCGTAGGTAAGCCCTTTGGGGAACCCTACATTGGTTTTTTTCTGGCCTAAGACGATCGTATAAACGAATATTTTGCTTGAGAGGACCAACCTAGGTTATTGTTCAAGTGCATGGAGGGATGTGTTCGGTTGGAGCTCTGGGCTTGGATGTCTGACCCAACCCCAAACGAAGCATTGAGCCCTAAACTTCCTAACAAGAGTTTCTTGTGTAGGAGGTCATGCAGTTCTTAGAGGGTCATGGGACTTAGTAAGTAAGGTTATAAGTCCCCTAATTGGGGTTATAAGTAATAATAAGTATAGTTACCGTATTTATAACCCTAGTTACTAAGTCCCATGAGCCTTTAAGTTGAATGGGTCCCACGAGCTGAGGTCGATCTCTAAGTGTAAAAGATTTTACGGTACAGGGATGCGCACTTTTTGCAACCCCCCCCTCCAATCGCATTTCATGACTTCTTGGCTTGGGTACTGTTTTGCTGACGCATCTGCCCAGCTTCAGGCAAACATCTCTCCAAGCTTTAGCTCCAGTTTTCAGTCTCAGTGCTTCATGAAGCTGTAGGTTTCAATGAGAATGCAAGCTTAAAGATGTGATGACGGGGCAGCATTTCCCCGTACTTGTTGTGGTGTACACGCGGCCTGTGATCCCGAAGCCATTGACCCAGCATTCCTTCTCATCATGGCCCACAACACTGAGCGCCAGAACCCCTTAGTGTGTACTACACCGTTTGGGGAATAAGCGGCGGCAGTATGAGGTCGGGGCTGCACATCGCCGTGAGATGGTGGGGAGCCAAGAGCAGTGACATCAGCTTTGGTAAGCTTCGCTTCAAGTTTCGTATGACGTTACAGATACAGGCTTAAGGAGACACGTGTATTTCTACAAAGGATTCATATTCGCCCCCTGCGCCCCCCCGATGGTCCTTGGTAAGATTGACAATAAACAGATGTCAGGATTGCAGCCGTGGGTCCTGACAAAGGCCCCCATGGTTGTCTATGTGCAAAGATCTGAGACTGGGGTTTCGGTTTAGGGTTTAAGGTTGCAGCTTAGGGTTTTAAGACTCTGTGTTGTCGGGTCCGGGCATGCGATGCTTCGCGATTTAGGTTTGAACTTTTGAGGTCGGAGGGCTTTCGGGCCCTAAAGTACGATTCCCCTGAAGCCCAAACCCAGACCCCCGGGAGGATCTAGAAAGTTGGGGCCCTATACTACTAAGGTTACGTTATAGGAACTCCCATTAAGGGATCTACTTTTTGGATCCTCCCGGGGGTCTGGGAACATGACATTCCGGTGAGGCAGACATGAGTGATGAGGAGGACCTGCACCTTCTCAGCACGGCCGCTGGGAGGAAGTTTGGTAATCCTCTACCCTTACCCAGAGGCTCCAAAGTAGTTCCTTTTTGGGATTACCTTATAGGATTCTAAATATGAACCCCAAAAAGGAACTACTTTGGAGCCTTAGGGTAAGCACCAGACGAACAAAAACTAGGAGTCCAGTCTGTCGGTCGGGTTCCCAAGCTTGGGAAATAGCTGCTGTGCAGCAGCATTAGAATGGGGACCGAGACTTGGATGCTGAAGTTTTTTGGCTTAGAGCTTTTCTTTGTGAATTCAGGGGTTCAGGGTTTAGGGTTTCAGGGTGTTTGGGCTTGCTTGCGATTCTGAGGTCAGAACTACCCTAAACCCTAAACCCTAAACCTTGCGGTTCGAGGTCTCCATGTTTCGGGGGTTGGGTTAGGAAGTCGGCGGTCTAGGGGGGTGAACGGAATAGTAGCATCTTTTATGGTTTCTTAGGGGTACTTAGAAACAATCTTTAATTTTGGGTTATTATAATCCCTAAGAAACAGCCAAAAATAATCATTGTTGCTAGGGTTCTAAGTTCAGTATAGTTTTTCACTACACAGAGGTTTTAGGGTTTGTATATGGCAGACCTTTGCCTGTGCTTTTGCCTCACTGCACGAGCCTCTCCGGTCGCCCTTACAAAGGGTCCCCTTAGTCTCTGAAGAACTCCCTCTTAGTAGCTGAGCGGATGCACTTTACACCTTTTTGGACAAAACTACCCACTATAACACAAAAAGTGTATATATTTTTTGGAGCTCTTGAACTCACCAACTACATAAGCCCTGGTTTTGTGGGGATTGAGTGGGGCCCGGGGCTCGGCAGTTCGGGTCCTAGGATTTGCAACCAAGGCCAGGGCTGTCTTTGGGATCCGTTTCAGAAAAGCTCAAAGCTCCATAAGTCGGTAGGGTTTAGGGTTTAGGGCAACAAATCCCCATAAAAACCCGACAGAACCCTATTCAGACCCTTGCAGCGCAAGCACCCCATAAAACCCTACAGCACCCCCTTCAGGCCCTTACAAAGCCTCATAGAACCCTACTAAACCCTTGCAAAACCCTAAGGGTCCATCTGCCCACATAGCATAGGCTTTGGCTTTAAGGTATTCCCTAGATAGGTACAGTGAGGTCAAAGTAGGTACTATTTGGGTACATGGACCCTTCTACCCTAAACCCTTATAGAACCCTTATGGATCCCTTAGAGGGGAGCCCTTATGGCGCCCTTAAAGGAACCCTATCTTTTGTACATGGACCCTCAGAAGGGAAAGCTCATAAAACCCTACGGGGCCTCAACGCCACCTCAGGTGAAACTCCTGGGTCGGGCCGGGGGCTCAGTCTCGTTAGAATGATTTTTTCTGGTCATATAAAGCCCATGAGACTTCTGCCTCAAATCTTGAGAGTTCAGAGTATCACTACCTGAACTTCTGGGGCCAAAACCCCCTCCGCCCCCCTCCCAATCCCCCTCCAAGGGTTCGATGAGCCAGGCCTGCAACTTAAGTCCTGGCACCCGAACGCCCTTGATCTGTTAGGTCGGACCAACCAAATCCGCTCCGCCTGCCATTACTCCGGCGATGACACCGGCGACGACGCCGGCGCTGCGCACGCCCGCAACGCTGACACCACAATCCAGGACAGCCGGTGCCTCTGGTTCTTTAGGATGCATGTGAGTGGTTGTCAAAATTATGGTCCCTATTTGGGTCTTTATTTTGATACGGCAACTAATATTTAGGGTACCCAAACAGGGATCCAAATTTTGACAACTACCCATATGTGCATGGGTCATGGGTTGTCCTCACAAGGTTCGGATTTGTGGTGCTTGTCGGTACTCTGAAGGAGCATTTGAACCGAAATGACACGTCCGCTCGCAGAGCAAACCATTCCGAGGCATATTGTATGTACCTGAACTGACTGATGGATTGTTTACTGGGTGCTGCAGAATGCAAGAACTTGGATTTAAGAAGATCGCTTCGAGCATCAACACCTTATCCCCGGATCCTATGCATGAGCCCCCTAAACCCTAAACCCTAAACCCCTAAACCCTAAACCCTAAACCCTAAACCCCTAAACCCTAAACCCAACCCCAAGCACCGAGACCCTATAAACCCTGAAGAACCCCTTAAGCCCTCAGCAAAGGTATCCGGCAGCACTCTAGATGCCCAGATGAGGCTAGAGAGGAAATCCGCCTCGGAACCCTAGACCATGAATCCTAAGCCTTATACACCGCAAGCCCCTACCTTAGGCTACCATAACGGTTCTCCGTATATGCAGCCCAATGAAGAATTTGCAGGGGCCCTACAAGCAAGTCGGTTTTCCAGCAACCCGAAGCCCCAAGAGGCCCTCAGCAGTAACCCTATACACTCCAAGCCGCAAGCCGTAAACCCCACGCACGCAAGCCCTACCTATAGACCCCCAACTACGCTCTAGCATACCCCAAACACCCACCATTCAGGACCGTAAGGGCTCTGTTAAAGCGCACTTGGGGGTTTCTGGTACACCCTAAATTCTAAACCCCTTTATAGAACCCTTATAGATCCCTTTCAAGGAACCCTTGTAGCACCCTAAACCACTCGATGTTTGTTCAGAGGACGGGGACGAAGACTCCCGAGACGACGTCGTGAGCCCAGGGGACTTCTATGGCTGAACGTCTTAAATCTTCAAAGGTTTAGCCCTATCCCTCCAGGGACCTCATAGTTAGGGCCCTAGACCCCTTAAGGACCCGACAATAAGGTCCCTGGAGGCATAGGCATAGGGTTAGAGGTTTAGGATCTTGGGTTTATTTTTTTGTTGAAGGCTTGCGGGCTTTAGTCTTGAGAGTCTTAGGGGTTTCGGGCTTTGAGGTTTTGATAGACCGTTTAGGTATTTAAGGGTGAAGATATAGCTCCCATCAAACAACCCTACACTAGAATCCGCCCACCAAAGCCGTGAACCAAGAACCCTTACTTAGCAGCAAACAGCAGATACAAACGAGGAGCCCCCACAGCTCCTCGGCGGTTGCTTAAAGGACCATGGGACTTAGCAACTAGGGTTACAAGGGTAACTATACTTATAATCACTTATGACCCCAATGAGGGTACTTACCTTACTTACTAAGTCCCATGATCCTCCAAGTGCGAGGCCCAAGCGCAGTCCAACGGCCTGGAAGAAGACCGCACGGATTCCAAAGGCCACCGAGGGCTTTGGGTTTTTGTTTGTGTGCCGGACGTGTGGGGATTTCAGATGCCAAGGTTTAGGGTCCTTTGTGTAAAGGTGCCGCATTATTTTGACTCCCAAAAGGGACCCTGAGTTAGAGAACTACCCACATAGAGAGGCCTTTGTGCAGGTGCCTGAGCTGCGAGCTCCAGAAATGTGCGGCATCGTGCGTGCCGAGGGCACGACGCAGTGGCAGCTCGGCACCTCGAGGAATCTAGGAACCTGAAATTTTGAAGAACCCAGACCTTCCAAAATCCCTTAAGGTAAAAGCCAGAAAGTTGGAATATGATTATCCTAACCCTTCTATGGAAATTATAGGGTATCTTACCATGAAACCATATTCCAACTTTCTGGAGTTCCCTGTAATTAAGGAATCTCTCTTAAGTTATAGTAGGATCCTTAATATGATTTAAGGTATATTCCTTAGTTAAGGGATGTTGGAAGGTCTGGGAAGTTTAGGCTTAGGGGCTTCAGCGTTTTAGGAGTCGATGGTTTCTTGATTGAGGCTACAAGGATCCCAAAGGGTCCAAGTATCATTATGGTATATGCTTATAGGGTATTTTGGGGGTGTAAGTATATACCATAATGATACTTGGACCCTTTGGGGATGTAATGGGCTTCAGAACGTTTCAACGGCCACCGCTGCACCCTAAACGCGCAAGCGTACACCCTGATCTTGCACCCCAGAGCTTCCGCTTCGCCAGCTGCACATGAGGTTCCCCTCGGTAGACGAGGCCGGTTGAGGTTTAGATGTCGCTGTAGGGTTGAAGGATGTTCAATCTGAATGGTCTTGCTTGGGGCTACATGCAGATGTCTAGGATCCACGGAATTGTGTTGAAAGGGTATCTTGAGTTTTTGGGAGTTGATTTTCAGATTGTTCATCTAGGGGTGTAATGTACAATTGCCATGCAGACTGTCGGTGTACGTGGACCCCTGATGTATAATCTCCTTCCTTCAAGCGTGGTTATACCAGGATCCCTTCCATCTATAGTCTACCCCAACAACCCGGTTAAAGACGCACAGCGAGCCCCGAAGCCGAGCTGACCGACGTTATAAACTTACGATTCAGCCGTACAAGGGCCCGCATGTCCCCAGGCAGTTTACAATGCCTCTACGTAAGACTCCGGGCACCAACTTCACACCCCATGCCTTCATCATGATAAGCATCCAGTACCCCGCTTGTATATGGTAAGTACCTCGACCCTTCGTGTGAAGCAGGTGCTGGATGAGGGCGACCTCATGATCCTCTCCCAGGGTAGCGTCGCCAGCTCAGCAGCTTCCGGGTTGCGAGGTCCGGGGATTCTCGGTTTAGGGGCTGTCGGGCTTCGAGTTTATAGGGTTTTATGAGAGGTCCGGGGTTCGTGGTTTTAGGGGGTTTTCGTAGGGTTTAGGGCTTATAGGGTTTCCGGGCGTTTAGGGACGTTTAGGAGTTACTGGTAGGGTCTGAGACTGAGATGGCGGGTGAGGAATAGTAGGATCAAGATTTCAGGGATGATAGGGCAACCGGGCAACCCTAAGCAGACAATCCTAAATCGCAGGTGTCTAGGTGTGTGTTTAGTTTAGAAATTGAGGCAGCAGTACTAACCGGGCTTTTAGGAAGCTTGCTGCTGTATCTTGAACCTTATAGAGCCCCAAATTCGGTCCTCTGCCCTAAGTCTCAGCTCTGTTTCCTACTTAAAGGCTCATGGGACTTAGTAACTAGGGTTATAAATAAGGTAACTGTACTTATAATTACTTACAACCCATTTTTGGGACATATAACCTACTTACTAAGTCCCATGATCCTCTAAGTACGTCCTGTTGAGCTGGCACAAAAGCTTCATGAAGGCCGTTTGAGTGGAGGAGTGGTCCTATTTCTCAGGGTCCATGTGCCCACAAAGTATATGCTTTGGCCCTGAGGTACCCATATAGGGACTCCTAAATCCTAAACCCTAAACCATCTTAAACCCGAAACCCTAAACCCCCTCTGAAGCCCTAAGAGAGGACCCCGGCGCAGTTTCTGTTGGGTCTCGAGGTCAGCTTTGGAGCGGGAACACGGGGAACGCAAGAACAAGAAACGGTGGCACTTAAAGGGTTTAGGCTCTATACGGGATAAGGGGTAAGGGCTTAGGGTTGTTGTAGGGTATTTAGGGTTCATTAATTTGGTTTTAATTACTTAGTTTTGTTTTATTGTTTTGTTTTAAATATTTGTTGTTCTGGGCAGGATGGAGCTGTTCCCCGGCAGCCTCAGAGTACGGGACCTCAAATCGCAAGCCCTGAAATTTCAGCAGTAGGCCGTAAGACCTGAACCGTCATTCTTGAACCCTAAACTAAACTCCACCCGCGTTGAATGCCAAATCCGAAACCTTCCTCCGCCCATGCAAAACCAGAGCAGTTTCAATGATTCTAGCGATTTCCGTAGGGCTCCTCATTGTGAAGTATAGTTAGTACATTCGCTTCCCCTATACTCAACCCTCATAGTACCCCTATTGTACCCCAAAGGAACCCCTAAAATTAGTAACTACCCTTCAAAGGAACCTTACCCGAAAAAAGGGACCCTGTTTTAGGCGAACCTTTGCCCGGGTCTCTATCTCGGCTTGAAGCATCCATCTACCGAACCGAACAGACGTATTGATACCCACCCCACTCATCAAAGGGTTGTTCGATGGTTGTCGAGGTTTGGACTCAAGGTGTACGGCAGGCAAATTCTTACAATTTTCTGGCAGAAGTCCGAAACCCTAAACCAATATGACCTTCTAATCCGCGCGGCATGGGCCCGTCCTGCCTGGGGCAGCAAAATGAGGTCGCCGAGGGCTTATCGGGTTCAGGGTTCAGGATTTACGGTCTATCTATAGGGTTCAGGATGTAGGGTTTAAGGTTTAGGGTGCAACCTGGGGTGGGAACAGAGGGAAGGAGTTTTGTGCCTTTTTCCATGGCCCTCAACTCGATCTTAGAATACGGAAGTCTGGGGCAAAATGCGGCACTGAAGCAGTTCTTGAAACCTACCACCTTTTGCATAAACCAAAGCTGTGGTACCTTCAGCAGTTTCTAGGAAGTCTTCTGGGGCCCGGTGAAGCTCTTTGGGGCCCATTCTACTATAGTTATAGTAAGGAACCCCCCAAGATAATAGTATTGGTAATTATTTAGCCCCTCTCCTTTCTGCAGTTCGTTTTTCAGCTCCTAGCCTGCAAACTTGAGCTGCGATGGACTCAGTTTTGGCTTCGAACTGTTTAGGGTTTAGGGTAGTTTAGGGTTTAGGGTTTAGGGTAGGGTCCAGGGGCTATATAGGGGGTTATTTGTCCTAATTATTCAGACTTAGTTAGACGGCCGACTCCCTTGGTGCGGAGGTATGGGGTTTAGGTTAGAGGCCCAGGTTTGGGGAACTGACATGAAATGCAGACTACGGATTGAAGCTGCACCCATACTTAAAGGATCATGGGACTTAGTAAGTAGGTTATAACTGGGGTTATAAGTCCCTTAAGTGGGGTTATCCTAATTATAACCTACAAATAACCTTGCTTACTAAGTCCCATGAGCCTTCAAGTAACCCTGAGCCTCAGGTTGGGAATTTAGGGTTTCTGGTTTATTGCACGAATTGGGACAGGGAGGCAGATGGTTTGCATTTAGTGTGACATCAAACTGCCTGGCAGGGGCAGGGCGGTCTGAACAACAGGGCGATGGTAGTAGCAGCCCTGAATAGCCCATATCTATCTGTATATATATATATATATATGTACATATGTATAGTTCTTTATTTACAGACACCCTTCTATGTTGACTATGCTAGACGAAACTACTCCAAAATGTTTGGTTTCTAGTATACCAGTATCTTCTAAAAATCATTCTGACGGACGCTAAAATGCTATCACATACTATATCACCTACTGCAATATGCTACAACATATTTGTACTGCACCAAACCTTATCCTGTTGTGTCCTGAGATCAGAGTGCCCCCACTCCTGGTTCTCCACCCTGCTCAATCGATCACCCCAAAGACCCGAGGTATCCTGAGCTCGAAACTCCTCCGAAAGCTATGGCCCTGGACCCTAAATCCTTCAAGCAAGCGCTCGCTGGCAGGGGCATTCCCTGGCGACTGGCTTTGCCGGTGACGGCTTGTTTGGCACTGGGCGAATCCTGGGATGACGACCTCTTGCTTTTGCAGAAGGCTCTGAACCCTAAACCCTAAACCCTAAACCCTACTGGGGTTCGGTTTAGGGCTGAGGGGTTTGGGGCTCTGGCTTTTCAGGCTTTGCGGGTCTGGGCTTGCGCGTTTTAGGCTTTCGGGTTCTTATCGGGTTTTAGCTTTTGGGGGGCGCGGGCCTACAAATCCGGGGCTAAGCCCGGGAAACTTCCCCAAAGAAAATTCTGTCCGAAGTTAAAACTCCGTAGTGCCGTAGTGAGTGAAGAGTGTGCTATAGCTCTTGAGCCCTAAGTTCCTAAGTAATTATTAACTAATAGCTCTTGAGCCCTATCTCCTCCACCGCAACCCGCTGCAACACTACGGGCGAAAGCGCACGAAACCCTGAAAGCTGCGACCCCACAGGCTCACACCCCTTCAACTCCCCGAATGCCCCCCGAAACCCTAAAGCCGACCCTCATCTGAGTTTTGAGGCACCGTAGACATTAAACCCTGAGAAAGCTCCAAACCTCAACACCCCCCCGAAGGAAGCAATGCAGAAAGCACAGAAGCCCCCAAAACCCCATAAACCCTGAACCCTCGGCCTCGTGGGCCCTAGACCCTGGGGCCCTCGACCCTAAACGCAAAGCCCTGTACCCTAACAGGACCCTACGACCCCAAGCCTTAAGAGCCCTAAACCCTAAAAGCTGAGCCCTACAAGCCTTAGACCTTATGACCCTACACCCTACGAGCCCTAGGCCCTAAAGCGCAGAAGCTCCACCGGGCAGGAGCTACGACTCGCGCAAGCGATGCCGAATCCCCCGCGATGGACCTGCGAGGCTCGACCTTTTCGCGATGGGGGCTTTGAGGTTTAGGGTTTGGGGGTTTAGAGGTTTAGGGGTTTAGGGTTTCGGGGTTTAGGGGTTAGGGGTTAGGGGTTTAGGGTTATCGGGTTTAGGGTTTTTGGCTGTGTCTGCAGGGTTTTATGAGCCTCGAACCAAAACACTAGACCCTCAGACTCAAACCTTTGAGTCCTTTGAGCCCTCCCTTAACCCCTAAACCCCAAGCCTGTAGAGCCTTAAAGCCCCCAGACACACGAAGCTATAGAGCCCGAACCACCTGCAACCTCCGGCACGGACCTTCCGACAGAGTCTCTGCGGCTCTTGGGTGCTTTTAAGTGTAGTATCAGCACCAAGTGCACGATTTCTGGTATAGCGATCTCCACACTGAGTTGCATACCTGCTTTAACCCAAACCCTAAGCGCTAAAGCGACTTAGAGAAGTTTTGCGTGCCAGGACCGATGCGTGCCTGCTGTCTGGGTGGCTGCTGAAATGCGTTTTAGATCCCTGCAGGGATGCTGTGGAATGCGGGGCTCAAGATTTCGGACTCCAGAGGGCAATGACGTTGTGGGTGTAAGATCCTATGAGCAGTCGCGTTTGGAGTTGAGAGGGCCCCCGGGCTTCGGGAGCCGTCAGATCCACTGTTTCAGGCTGGCCGGAGTTATGGTTTGTACAGCGCTTACTCACTCTTCTCTTGTTCTTGTTTGGCTCGCTGTCGGGGGTTTCTTACAATTTAAGGGTCTGCGTAAATGAGAAAAAAGTTCCCAGGCAGTGCCTGTACAGATTTACTCTAAAATACACCTCAAGACCCTAAACAAACCTGATTACGGCCCTGATATCATAGGGTGTAGAAACTCTTGTGAGACTCATTGAAACCCCCATAAGCCGGTACGCAAACCCTATTCTTAGTTGCTCAGGCCCCGACAGATAACTTGGACAACATCTTTTTACTAGGGACCCAAAAAGCACATAAGCATAAGCTTTTTTATGGGGATATCCCTACCTTATTGGGCTTCCTGTTAAGGTGGTTTATATGGGATATCCCTAACCTAATTTTTGCTTATGTGCTTTTTTGGGGCCCTATGATACTTACTTCATCCTTTGGAGATCTCAATCAGAGGGTCGTGTCGGTAAGCTGCAAGCTTCGTGGGTTGGTTTTACCCTGCCGTAATCAACAGGTCAACCGTTTGGGGGCCAGGGTTCTGGGGCCCGAAGAGCTTTCTTTTGGTTAGTAGGGAATGGAAGATTGGTAGCAATAGTAGTTATAATTGTACCCCATTTATCCCTTCCCTACTAACCAGAGGTAAGAGATTAGATCAATTGAAGTTGTTTTGATTCGCCGGGCCTGAATGTCTGGTAATATTCCCTTGCAGTTCCGTTCAGATTGTAGCCCAACCCGAGTAAAAACAACGAGCATTAAAGTCCCATGCCGTACTGCGACATGTGTGTTTCCTGTACTGCGGGATTGCAAGCTGTGGTTTTTCTGCACTGAGCCCTGGCAGACCCCACAAAGCCATCATCGTTTCGAATCTAAAGCCCCAAATGGGAGTTTCCGAAAATTAGGGTACTTTATTTTGGGGTCCTTATAATAAGGATCCTACTATTTCGGGTACTATATTAGGGTCCCCTGTTTTCGGATTCTCCCAAATCCAAAAATCCCGCGCCCCCATACCTTAGTTCGTAGCCGGAGCTAGCCTCATAGGAGGCCACAAGGGGTTTTAGCCTATGGGGTTTAGTCGGGATTAGGGTTCCCATAATACGGTTCATGTTAAAGAATCCCTACCTCAAGAATCTTAACCCCCCCCTTTTGGCCTCCCATCATATCCAGGACCCCCGAATCCTTTAGTAGAGCCTTTGTCCTTAACAGTGGGTAGTTGGGGCAGAGTAGGGGGGAGTGGGGTGGGCTAGGAATAGTAATATTGCTATGACCTAAACCCTAATCCCTAAACCGTAAACCCTAAACGAAGACTTCCCAAGACTTTGCCGGCACAGAGGTTAGCCCAGGCAGAAGCGGCTCGACCACCGTCCTAGCGACTGGGCTGCCCCAGGTAGAATTTTCTGATGTAAGGTTTGGGGTGTAGGGTTTAGGCTTTAGGCTTTAAGGTTCAGGAGTTAGGGAGAAGTTTCTGTGGAGTTTCTGAAAGTTGGAGCCTGGGACGGAGTCACGTGTGTTTCGTTCCATTGTGCGCCCTGCAGACAACCATCGTGATGAATATGATTGTCAGGACCGCCGTCGTGATGATCATATCACCAGCATCAGTCTCATGGCATCGTCGCCATCGCCCTTGTGTATATCCGGCTGAACAAGTGTAAACATACACATATGCATAGCTGTGCATGTTCATATACATATAGGGAGGGGAGTTAGGGAGATACAATGGTGTAGTTTGACCATATACCCCCCCAAACCCCGGGGTAGGCCGTGAGCCTTCTCCGGGAACTCTCTACTCCGTCCCGAAGCCTTAACTCCAAACTTCAATCGTCCGCCACCTCTAAACCTTAACTTAAGCCCTTCATGGTTTGGGGTTTGGGATTTAGGATGTCTGGTTTAGTGTAGGTTTACTAGGATGCCCAGTAGTACCCTTATTCCCTTTTTGTAGTCCTAGGTTCCTTATAAAGTTACCCAATACCAAAAAGAATGGCCTTTTTATTCTCAGGTTACTGGGTATCCTAGTTTAGGGTTTCTTGGGGTTTAGGATTCAGGGAGAATCGCGCTCGCCCAGGAGATGCTGAATGCACTGCCCGGATTTGCAATCATGGGCGAGAATCAGCTCCTTGGCTCCATAGTATTATTCTGCTTCTTCTTCTTCCTCCTATTATTATATAGTATTATTATTAGCATTGTAGATGCTATTATCAGGGTCTTGAGCATGCTAAAGTTGCTAAAGGCTACAAGGATACTCGCGATACTCAAAATACTGCCAACATTTTTGCCAACACTTAATAATGTTTTAGGCACCTGAAAAATTGGCCGGCAGAACCATCTACCACAGTATGCACCGCAAGCATAGTCGTACTGTTCAGGCCCTTCTACCGCACCGTATCAGTTTTTTGCATGCCGCATTTCCGAGATCGTGCAGTCATATCAGGATTTCTAGTCATTGTCAGACCTCAGCTGAGTGCATGTACGGACATGTGCATACATATACATATACATATATATATATATATAGATAGATTTATGGGTACACGCAAACACATATTAAAACAAATGTCTTGCACATCATACAAATAAGTTTTTAGACGTATATGGCCATGTAGTATGTGATCCATGCATGCATATGCATGCTTGCTTGCATGGGTGTATGTATATGTACGGATGTTTGTATGTTTGCATGTATGTATGTATGTATGTATGTATCTATGTATGTATGTTCGCATGTACGTGATGTCTTTAAACACCTGTATGCGGATGTGTGCATGTATGTATGTATTTACATATGCATGTATGTATGTATGCATGTGTGTATCCATGTATGCTTATGTGTATATTTATGTATGTCGGTGTGTACGGCCCGAGCGCTCCCATCTTCGAAGGATAGTTAGACGTTTAAGGTTTAGGGTTTAGGGCACAGCAAGACCTGAAGCCGAATCTCTAGCAGCAGTAGGGAGGAGGATGGGGAAAGAGGAGTATCAGCAGCAGTTATGATAGCAGTTGCCGTAGTAGTAGCACCCCCTATCATACTATATCATAGTGTACTGCTAGTATACTACATTTTGACTAAGTCACAATATCGTGAAGATGCATTACGTTGTCCTCTAGATTGCACTACAGTATCCTCAAGACCACCGCCCTGAAGACGGCCTGACAGGGCCATGTGGGGGACCTTGTACGAGCTGGCGAAGAAGAGGGCTGGTGCTCTTGGGGAGAAACCTGGCCGAATTGGGTTTAATATAGGGGCCCCTAAACCCTAAACCCTAAACCCTAAACCTTAAACCAAAGAAATTACCAATACGATTGAAGTGTAGTACAATGGGCCCCGAAACACTATTCCAATTAGTCAGGCCCCTGTAGTAGGGTTTAAGGCGTCTAGGGTTTAGGGCCCAAAGGGCTGAGGGTTGAGGGCTCAAGGTTTAGGGTTCAGAGCGTAGGATTCAATCTATATAGGAGCATGGAAAAATCAGTACTAGCATGCTTTAGGGCTTCCGATTAAGGACTTTAAATATCCGAGACTACACCCTGGAGCTCTGTTCTACTTATTCAGGTCCGCACATCATCCATTTTTAAGTTTATAGTCACAGAGTCCCAAGATCCATTGATTACGGCACGTACATCAAATTGCTTAAAAGGATCCCACTAGAGCTGAGAGGCACTGGGGATGGTATCCGCGAAATGCAGAGTATGAACAGCAATCAACAATAACAACAATAATTTTGGTAACAAGACTAGCCATAATTATGATAGTAATGATAGAGGAAATTGGGTAGGGCTTGAGGTTTAGTGGTTCGCCTGAAGCGAGCAGTCGGAAACTGAAGCTTCAACTCAACCCTGATTGTAGGGGTTCAAAATGTAGAGTCGGATGCACGACCCGACCATGTAAACGTATGTAATTGTAATAATAAAGTATGTAAACTCCTTCAAAGCTTAAAATGTCCGTGCAACGCACTCATTCGTACAACCCGTATACAGCCATGTCCGAAAGTCAGGTACCGGGACAGGGGCGACTCCATGGCGTGGCGGCAAAGTGATGAATTGAATTGGCCGCTGACTCGAACTTGAGTGGGGTTTTAGGGTTCAGGAAGCGTTCAATCGGGCTCTTTGTGGCTTTGGGGCGACCTGAAAATTAAAGTTCCCCCCTCCCCCCCCCGCCAATCATTTAGGGGGTCCCAAGGCCTGAGACCCGTGAACCGCCATCACTAAACCTGGTTGTCTCCGGACAGTGGCTGCAGCAGCAGCATCCTCTTCTTCATGGTCATCCACACGGTAATCACTGCGGGCCTCGCAGCTTTGGCAGATTTGGCAGAGCCAAGGAAAGAAAAACACTCCCGGTCATCCTCACAAGCAGTGCAATATTGCATATACACATCCCACGACTATCATCTTCACCATCACAAGACTCACCATTTGCATCCTTTCCCTTCTGCTTATCCTCCTCATCATCATCGTCGCAGTCATCACCATCATCATCATCGTCGTCATCATCATCATTATCAGCTCCAAGCTGTCATAGTATCGAGGAGTGCGGTAGCAGCAGCCCAGGTCCGAAATTCTCTGCTCCTACCAGCTCCGTGTCCTTGCGGAGATGAACCCTCCAAATGATGCCCGTGTAGTGGGCTTCAAGGACATCTGGGAGTTTCCGAAAATTAGGGATACTTTATTTCGGGGTCCTATGATTTAGGGTACTAAATTAGGGTCCCCTATATTCGGAAACTCGCATCTCGTGTTTGGGTCGTAATCGGGTTGTGACGTCAGGTATCAACAGTAGAAACCCACCAATTTAAACCTCGCGTGCATGAAGTCCAGCAGGCTAGTGAAAATGTAGCCCACACAAGATCGCCTAAATCGCCAATCTCTCTACATGGCTAACAATAGATGCTGAGTTGTGTCGGATCCTTCTACCCATAACAAAGACACCGTCGGCGCAAGGCCCCTGCTCAGAACGGTTAACCCTCAGCCCCAATTTAGGGCTTCGGCTTGCCGGTTATGGATGACGATTGTAATAAGTGGGTGGCTGTCAAAATTAGGGTCCCTTTTTGGGTGCCTACTATAGTACGGCACCTATTATTTAGGGTACCCCCAAAAGGGACTATATTTTGACAACCACCCAAGTGTCAGTCGCAACCCTGAAGCCCCAGGCGCCACACCCGAAACCCTAAACGCTAAACCGTAGAGTTTAGGGTTTAGGGTTTAGGGTTTAGGGTTTAGGGTTTAGGATTTCAGCCCAAACCCTGCAACCGTAAGCCATAGGCGAAGCATCCGTGAGGTTGAGCTCCTTTAACCGTAAACTTGCCATGAGTCTGCAAGCATGTAGCTCACCGCGCTTGCTTCAAGCCCTAAGCCCTAAACCCTTGTAAATCGTTTCAAACCGTAGGATAACATAGAAAACCGTGAAGGCGGACACGATTATGATCTCTACGCCCAACACGCTAGCTCCGCACCGAAGTTTTCAAGGGACTTTAGTTTGAAACCTCAAAGCAGACTGAACTCATGAAGAAACAGCACGCCCTAAACCGACCCCAACACATCTAATTACACCCGTATAAACCAAAAGAACCCTAAGCCCTAAACTGCACACCCCTGGACCCTAAACCCCACGCCGCTACCACGCCGGCGACTGACCCAAAGGGTCCAAAAGTATTGATATTTAGGAGAATGTGGGGTTTCTATATTCGAAATTTCTACTATGATTTGGGGAAGTATTCCCCAAAACAGTACTTCGGACCCTTGAATTGAAGCAAAGGAGATGTCCTAAGCCCCTAAGCCCTAAACCCCCAAAACCCTAAACCTTCATAAACTCTAACCCCTAAACTCTAAACCCCTAAACCTTGAACCCTATAAACCCTCAACCCTGAACCCCTTTATAGAGCCCTTAAAGATCCCCCCGTGAAGGAGCCCGGAACCCTTTCGTTCCCTTTAAAGGAACCCTACCTATAGTCTCCATTGTAGTTCCTTTTTTTGGTTGACCAAAATCTCTATTATAGGATCCTAACCATAAAACTGGTTACCAAAACAAGGAACTACAATGGAGACTCTAGGTAATCCCAAAGGAGATCAGGTGGGCTTGGTCCGAGCAGCTTCACGACCTGGAACTACTCATGGAGGTCCGGCTTGGAAAGGGTTCCTTCAAAGGGATGCTGTTACATAGTTCTCCAATACCAAACTTTTAAACTTTTGTGGTTCTTATAGTTTAGTAGTTACAGTAATCTGAAAGTTTAACCTTTTAATTCTGTGGCTATTGGGGGAGTAAGGTTAAGGGATCCTTTAAAGGGGTCCCCTCCAAGGGCTCCCTTTAAGGGTTACGACAAGGGTTTTAAAGGGCTCCCTTAAGGGTTCCTTTAGGGGTGGCGAAAGGAAGGGGATCCTTTTGAAAGGGATTTATGAGGCTGGGGCTTATAACATGGAGGCTGTAATTGGTTGGGCCGATGATATATATATATATATATGTATATATATATATATATATATATATATAGGTAGGTGTATGTGCGTATCAAGGAGAGAGAGAGAGAGAGAGAGAGAGAGAGAGAGAGAGAGACCTTAACATTTGGAGCTAGGTTTTTGCGGCATATCATGGTATGTCTGCATCGACATATGGTTGGTCGGGCCCGGTTTGGTTTGTGGGCGGCTTCAGGGACGTGTTGGATGTAGAGCTCAAAGTGCAGAACTCATTTGTTGAACCCACAGCTGCGAGTACCCCTATGCCACGGACCCAAGCATTTGGTGGCTGGATCCCCTTGCGACACTGTTCAAGGCGACACTGTTCAAGGTTTCGAATTTGAGCCCCTCTTCAATTCCGGAAGAAGCGAATCTTGAGACCACGAACTCCAATGGATCGGGTGTTGTGCATCTGGTCAATGTATAGAAGCGCAAGTAATTTCCAATGCTGTTCCTTAAAGTTCCTTATTAAATTATAGTTAGACTGTAAAGGGGCCCTAAACCTCATGCTAATTATTAAGGCCGCTGCATTATAGCTTTTGACGAGACGGTGGGCAACGGAGGTGTTTCCATGCTCTTTCGCCGTGCTGAACTACCGCGCCACGGCTTTGATTTCTTTCGTTTTTACCACCTCCCCGGAATATCAGGAGATAGACCTTGAGCCTCAAGCCCCAAATCGTCAACCCTCAGCCGCAACCTCGTAGGTTCATTGGTTATGGAGCGTAAGGTGTACGTATGTGTATCTAAATATGTCGAAAGATAGAAATACCTATAACTGACAATATAGAATATATACATATACACATATAACATTACATATGTATGTGTATGTATATATATATATATATATATAGCTATACACATATATATATATACACACACACGTAAACTGCGGTTGCAGCAACTTCGCGGCTTTGCGTGTTAGGGAAAGTGGCGCTGAAGTGCACACACCGGAAATGCGAAGACCCAGACTGATCTCTTAACCGCAGAAGCGCCATTAGAATTGAACCTTTTTGTCTGGTTGGGTCCATGCAGCTTCGCTCCACAAACGAGTGGGATATGCTAGGGTATTGAGGATGAAAAACCATCTACCCGGAGATTGAACCCAACGGTGGCAGTGTAGTCTACAAGACATGTGGCCATCCACCTACATCCTACAACCCGTCTAAGGCAAGGACATTGAGGCTGAAGCCGAGTCGCGGACAGAGGCAACCGGTGGCTCGGTCCGGCTGGAAAGCTTAAAAGCCCTTAGGGCTTTGGGTTTGATGTGTTTAGGGTATTTTGGTTTAGGGTTCCTGTAATGGTTCTAAGAGGGTTTTAGGAGGGTTTCAAGGGGTACTACCATACGGGTTCTTTTGAAGGTTCCGATAAGGGATCCTTCAGAGTTGCTTTAAGGGGGCTGCAACGATTCTTTCAGGGATTCCTTTAAGGGGCGAGCAGGGTTCTAGAAGGGTTGCGATACGGGTTCTACAGCGGCTATAAGCCAAATGCCGTACCAGTTCTATAGGTTCTAAGAGGTCTTTAAGCAAGTTCGATAACGGGGCGGATCTTTAAGGGCTCCGTAAAGGGTTCTTCTTCTAGAACCGCAATCAGAGTTCACCACAAGAGGGGTTCTGTAATCGGCGAGAGAGGGGTTCTACAAGGCTTTTCGTTCACGGGCCACAGCGGTGTTGCAAGCGTTCCTTTATCGGGCTCCGTTTGAGGTTTCCCTCCAGGGCTTTGAGATTCCAAGGGCCTTGCAATTCCAGCAGCCCCGTGGCGAGGAACCTCTGATTTCTGAACCGTTCTAGTCCGGGGGGGGCGGGGGGCCACATTAATTATTGTGCAAGCAAGGCGTTCGATGGGATTTAAGTGCGGAGCCAGTAAGGGCTTGATGGTCGTGGGATTCACGCCTTCATTGCTTTCGTGTTGTGGGCTTTGAAGTTCTGGCTTACTGTCTTAGGCAGGGTTTTAGAGCTGGGATCCTTTCGTATTGCAGAGCATTCACAGCTTGTGGAGTGGGATCGGCGGTTTGGCAAACAGGTTGTTTACCGGAATAGAATAGGAAAGGATTAATATCCGAAATTTGGAAAATTACGAAAAATATGTATTACCAGTAGGAGCAAAATAAGAATGGAAATTAGGAAAAGCAAAACATAGGTATGCAATTCCGATCCCAGTTGCCTAGTACCGGACCCTAGTTCTCTTCTTAGATCCAACAACTTTAATTCCTAATTTATTTATCCGGGCATTTCCAATGATGGCCAGCAGGTGCCGATATTATAGTAGCTTGCTTAGATACATGCTAACTTATCATCCACAGAAACACATCAACAACGCCCAAACTTTGCTACGCAGTGGCAAGGTTACTTTCCACCGACCAACCTGGCGGAGGCCACGAAGGCAGGGATGAGCATGGGGAGTAATATAGGGGCCTGAATCATTAGAATAGAGTTTTGGGGCCCATTATGCTATAATAATTCTAACAAGGAACCCCCAAAATGGTATAATAATTGTAATAAGGAGCCCCCAAACTTGGTATTGGGAGTAGGAGTGCTGTGGCTTCGTCTTTTCTTTCGACAACCAATGATCCGGCTGTGATGATGACGATGGTGATTATGATGATGATGATGATGGTGGTGATGGCAATGATGATGATGATGATGATGATGATGATGGCATGTTGATAGTAACCTGGGCGACCATGTTAATGATGCTGATGTTGACAGCGACGATCGTATCCCCGGTTGAAGCCCGAACCCTTAAGCTCTTTTCCCAGGGATTCAGGTATCCCTTACTTCGTCTAGGATGTTCCCTACTCCCAAGGCCCTTCTAATTCGCGATGCCTTTCTCATCCCTAAACCCCTAAACCCTAAATCCCCAACAAACCAAGTCCCAAGAGCAGGGAGGCTATGGGCTTAGACATCCAAACCGTCATGACGCACTTTTACTGCTTCATATGGGAGTTTCCGAAAATAGGGGACCCTAATATAGTACCCTAAATAGTAAGATCCTTATTATAAGGACCCCAAAATAAGGTACCACCATTTTCGGAAACTCCCATATAGAGCTGTCACGAAACGTTTACGGAGTCGTACAGAAACCGTAAGCCGCAAAATAAGGCTCGAGGCCCCAAACCTTATAAACCCTAAGGCGCCTACTATGGGCCTTTAGCCCTGCCTAAAGTGTACAGGTAGGGTATATATGATGCAGGGCTGCCACACCCCCCCTCCCCCCCCCCACCCCATGGTATCCTCCCCCTTCCCCCCCGCCCCCCCTGTGGTGTGGGGCCTGTGGTGTGTTACTCCTTGTCTTCCCTCTTGCTGTGGCACCGGTGATACTGCTCATGATGTTGTGCTGCTCTAGACTCGGGACATGAGTCGACAATCAGGCCATGCTCAACATCATCCTTGTCGTCGTCACCTTCATCATTAATACCTTCAAGAGAATATCTGCCACCATCCCCATCGCCATACAACCCTCATAATTCATCATTGCAATTCATGTCAGATGCTGGAAACTACTGCGCCGATTGCCGCTTTCCGCACACGGCAGGGCATAGTGCAACACTCCCGATCCGCGCACAAGGTCAAGGCGGGCAAGGTGCGGGCCGGGGGCGAGCCGGGGCGGGCAGGGCGGGTGGGCAGTGCAGCAGCAGTGCAACGGGGGGGGGGTTCTCGGTTCACCGACCCCCCCCCCCCCCACCCCCCCCATTGGTATCCGCTCCCTAAGCCGAATCTGTGTGTGACTGTGCAAGCTTTTTCCACACGAGGGCTCACACGCCAAGCAGACCCACGCAGGAAACCCAAACCACACCACACCACAGGGGGGAGTGGGGTAACCAGCCTAAGCAGACTCACCCCCGAACCACACCACACCACAGGGAGGGGGAAGCAACCCACAACCACACCACACCACAGGGGGGGGAGGAGGAACCATTGGGGGGGGAGGGGGGGGGGCCGGCCGAACCGGGATCATATATAAGGATCCCAGTGTTAAGCGCCAATGCTAGGGTCCATGGTCTCATCTGAGAGTTTCCGAAAATTGGGGGTGGCTTATTTTGGGGTCCTATAATAAGGATCCTACTATTTAGGGTACCATATTAGGTTCCCTCATTTTCGGAAACTCCCATATCTAAAACCCTAAACCCTACAACCTAAACCCCAATAGATCCCTTAAAGGATCCCTTAAAGGATCCTTTAAAGAGTAGAAGTCCCTTCAAGGCGATGCTCAGCTTCTACGAGAAGCATCGGCAGCGAAGCTTCCTGCTGCCCTTGGAGAACTTTTCGACGGCGCCCTGGTCCGTTGTGGGCTTTACGGCTAAAGGGTTAAGGTTTAGGGTATAGGGGCCTGGATATAGTACCTAGACTAATTTTCGGTGGCTCCTTACTACAATTACAGTGCAATAGGCCCCGGGACCCTATAATTCTACTTCTTAAGGCCGCCACATTAGGGGTTGAGTTTTGATGGCTCCTTACCACAAGTACAGTACAATGGGCCCCGAAACCCTATTCTACTTATTAAGGCCCCTATATAGATCCCTTATAGAACCCTTAAAGGAGCCCTTGTATAGAGCCCTTAGAAAGGAACCCTATTCCACTTATTAAGGCCCCTACATTAGGGGTTGAGGGTTGGAAACTTTTGGTTCCAGGGTTTGGGCTCCAGAATCTACCTATAGTCTCCATTGTAGTTCCTTTTTTCGGTTTAACAAATTTTATATTCGGGATCCTAAAATGTAACCCAAAAAAGGAACTACAATGGATACTATAGGTAATATAGGGGCCTTGATGATTAGAGTAGGGTTTGGGGCCCGTTTTCTTTGGGGTACTTAGAAATAAATTTCAAATTTTTTGTTATTATAATCCCTAAGAAACAGCTAAAATTATAATTTTTGCTAGGGTTCCAAGTTCAGTATAGTTCATATAATAAGGAACCCACAAAATGGTAGAGGTAATGATTAAGCCCCTGTATTAGGGCCATTTTACTGTAGGTGGGCCCTGCAAGGTTTAGGCTTTTTCAGATTTCAGTATTCAGGTATCAGGCTTTACAGCTTCGGGCTTTCCCTCAAAGGAGCGGCTGAAGAGCAGCCCCAAGCCATACACGCACCCGCGCCACTGGCACTCTTGGAAGCAGGTACCAGAACTAGGAATACCATTTTAGGACCTGCGCGCAAGGCTGGCAAGAGGAATAGCTGCAACAGCCACACGCCACAAATCAACACCGTAACGATCAGCAGCCCATGCTGCGAAAGCATACTATGATGTTTCGTGAGTCGTACTTAATAGATCCCCGAGCCCCACCCTGCAAACCCCCAACTTTGGCAAACTTTTGATGCCCAAGTACTGTGAAGATGACCTTCTCCTTGAAACATCACCATCCCACTCCCTACCTGAGCTCAAATACCCTTAGACCCTGAGTTTCAAAATTGATAAGCTCCTAAACCCTAAATCCTAAACCCTAAACCCTCCTTTCTGCGAAGCAATAGGATCCTCAACTCCCCTTGTCGCCTTCAAAAGAGACCTGCAGCCGTCGTTAGGATCTCTTCAACCAGCTCCTCCGATTTCTCGGCGAGGAGCTGCTGGCCAGATTCAACCGGTTGTGATCCTGTAGGTTTTGGCGCGGACATGAGGTTTCTTCGCATTTTGGGTTCTCCTAGCTTACCCTAAGCCCCTAAACCCCTATGGACGTAAAGGTGCTTTCGTCTAGCGGTCCGCAGCTAGGCATGGAGTGTGAGGAGTGCACTTGTACAGGATTCAGGGTTAAGATTGGTTTGGAGTTTTACATTTTAGGGTTTAGATTTCGGGGTTCAAGGTTTTACGCTGCAGGCAGTGTAGGTATATAGTATATCGGGCTTGATGTTTGTAGGGTCTCGGCTATGTGTATTCTTGCACATTGCCGCCAAAGAAACCCCAAAAACCATGTTTGCAGGTTTAGGGGTCTGGGACCCTACTATCTGGCAATACGATGTCACGCCAGGCTCTGTCGCAGGGCTTTTTGGAGTTTTCAAAATTATGGTCCGCTCTTGGGTCCCTAATATATTACGGCACCTAATATTTAGGATATCCAAAAAGAGACCCTAATTTTGACAACCACCCCTTTGGAGTTTTCAAAGGCTTTGGGGGGTTTGAAGGGTCCAGACATCGGTCCTTCAGTCATCAATTCACGATGTCCTGCTCCCCCAAGTCTGCTCCGCGGGTTTCGGTTTCGGTTTAGGGTTGCCCTAGTTATAAACATGACAAAAGTTATGAGCTTAAACCGAAACCTTGTTATGGGCCCTGAACCCTCAACCCTCCTTCCAGGACCGGTGCTCCTTCACAGATGTTCTCCACGACAACTCGCACTCAGGCCTTTTCGCGCTCTGAGCTTTTCCGATGCGGGGTTTGTCTAGTTTCGCTCTAAGGTATGCAGAATCTGTTTTCTGCCAGTCAGGTATAAAGCACACTGCAGCAAGTCCTACATTCGAGTGGCCCGACTCCAGACAGGGGCACGAGTCGTTTTCCTGTGTGTCAAACGTGCGGCGAACCATCGCAATTGCGGCACCGAGCCCCGTCTACAGAGGGATTAAGTACCGTTCAGTACGTACCAAAATCTGCCTGAACCACCGAGGCGTCTCCAGAAACTGGTAATAAGCCCCTTTTCTGTAAGGGTGTCAATGTCGGGTTTAGGGGTTTAGGGTTTAGTTACAGTCCCCTTCAGGGCAAGAAGATTGATTGATCAGAAGAATGCATCACGATGCAGGACTTAAGACCAAGCCCTTGCACGCTGAGTTCCACTAACCCAAGGCCTGTTCCTCTAGGTTCCTGGTCATAAGTATAACTGGGCTTTGGAGTACCATACTTTAATACTTTTTTCTTAAAGGAACCATTATGAAATATAAGTTTATACTTTTTTCTCCCTTACTTAAAACCTCAGTATAGGTTTTGTTATGCAATGTATCCAAATCCGACGTCCCGACCTCCCAAGTTGACACCCTGAGTCCTAAATCCTGAACTCCTACAGGGTCCACAGTAGCTATATAGGAGAATGTGGGGTTTCTATAGCAGGAATTGCGATTATGATATGGGAAGTATTCCCTATAACAGTACCTAGGACTCAGCCTAGGACCCTTTGGTACTCCAAATCCTATGGCCTGAGCTGCAACCACCACACCTGAACTCCGCACGTTGAAATCATCTCTCTTCGCATCAAATAGATGCCGGGAGAAACACACTCTCTCCATTGAGCTTGGGAACCCTTGTTATAGTTATACTGGATGATGCGCCGAAGCCTATCGAAATTATCAGCCTCTTATGCCATGTGTGGCGAACCCTAGGCCCTAGTGTAGAGTCCATATAATGATCGATTTTCTGTGTTTTCCGAATGGCCGCAGGGCAAACCCTTCACTCTAATGTAGTGGCTTTAGCAACAAAAAGAAGGGTTTGGGGGTTCCTTATGATAGCTATAGTAGAATATACCCTAAACCGTAAATCCTAAACCCTAATATCATTATTGAGGCCCTGCATTAAGCCCTCCTGGCGCTGAGCTTTTCTCCGCCATCGCTTTGGCTCAGATCGCGAATTCGCGTAGGCCGCCTTCTAAAGCTGCGTTGCGGTCAAATTGCCGTTCGGCTTCCGGTACCGCGGCACAAAAGTTGAAGCATAAGTTGCCTATAGCATCCATTGTAGTCCCTTTGGTTTGGCTAACCATTTTCACTAGAGTCACTAGAGGATCTTTACAATAAAATTGGTTAACCGAAAAAAAGGAACTACAAGGGACGGGGAGGACCCGAGTTTCCTCGGCCCTCATGTACGATAGCCCCTTTTGGTAACCCTTGCCTCAAGGAAGACCTTAGAGGAACGGAACCCTTATATAACCCTTGAGAAATATAAGTTGTAACCCCTATAGGAATCGACCCGAAACCCTGAACCCTAAACCTTAAACCCTGAACACACTTGAATCACTTGAACACACCCGAACCCTAAACCTTAAACCTTAAGCGAACCTGAACCCTAAACCCTAAACCATGAACCCTAAACAAACCTGAACCTTAAACCCTGAACCCTAAGCAAAGCTGAACCCTGACCCACACTGAACCCTAAACCCTAAACCATGAACCCTAAACACACACTGAACCCTACGCCCTCAACCATGATTCTAAACACACCTGAACCCTAAACCTTAAACCCTGAACAAAATTGAACCCTAAACCCTGAACCCTAGACAAACCTGAACCCTAAACCCGAAGCCTGAGAAAATCCCAGGTTTTCTCCCAGAGAAGGCCGCTGATGGCGGTGAGTCGCCTTGCGGCGATGGAGGCGAAAGAGACTGCTCCTACCCAGACCCCCGGGAGGATCCAAAAAGTAGATTAACTTAATGGGGGTTCCTTTAAGGGTCCCTTTAAGGGATCTATAGGGATTTAGGGTTTAGCATTTAGGGTAGATACCTTATGTGGGTTCCCGATGGTTCCTGTAAAGTACCCTTAGTAGTGTAGATCCCCAACTTAGGGGATCTACTTTCTAGATCCTTTCTGATGGTTTGGGTATAGGGTCCTTAGTAATTACCTAGATTTCCCTTTAATGGATCCTTCAAGGGGCCGATAAGGGATCTATAATCCCAGGGTTCCAAATGGGGGGGGCTTAATAGCTAATTACCTATACTATTTTGGGGATCCTTATTATGAGTAGAGTATAATGGGCACCAAAACCCTATTCTAATGATTAAGGCCCTTATATTAGCTGTTGAGAGGGTTTTCTTGGTCTAGGTTGTTAGGCTTGCAGGGTTAATTGTTTGGGGTTTGTTGCATTAGTGTTTTCTGCTGTTAATAATTCCAAAGGTTTACTGTTCATGGTTTTAGGGTTGCCTTCAGGGTTCCTTTTAGGGTTCGATTCCAGTAAATGTTCAATATGAGTTCGCGGAAGGGTTGGCCGAGGGTTTTGGGGTATGGAAGGCAATGGGTACTGCCTTCGCATCTCAATCTACCGTAAGCTAAACCCTAAACCCTAAACCCCTAAACCCTAAACCCCTAAACCCTAAACCCTTCTTAGCTCCTACACCATCCTGAACCCCCAAGCCCTAAGCCAAGCTAAAGCCTAAACTCCGCTAAGCCTTAAACCCTACTTAAAGGCTCATGGGACTTAGTAACTAGGGTTATAAATAAGGTAACTATACTTAAAATTACTTATAACCCCAATTAGGGGACTTATAACCTTACTTACTAAGTCCCATGATCCCCTAAGTAGTCCCCACCGCCGCTACACCCTCCACCCTGAACCCCAAGCTCCAAACCTGAGCCTGTGGGCGAGGTGGAGCAGGATCGCCTGGCACAAGCTCTCGCGACCATTCAGGACCTGTGGAAGATACCATATTGCTTTCCCGTATGACTATACACTTTGGCTATAGTACTGGGGTCATGAATATTATTACCACCGCCATATAGCTCTTCTGTACTACTATACACCATTGCGAAATTAGCATTGTAGTGTTATGAACCGTATTACCGCTATCAGAACCAATGTTTGTTATTGAACAAATATGTTCTTGTGACAGTATAGTACCAAGCAGTCGGTGCCGTTCGAGGGTTGTTGGTCGGGTGCTCGCCCTGGTAGTAAGGCCCTAATGCAGCTGACCCAGTCGCTACTATGCCACTACTTGTACCGTAAAGTTCGTGCTGTTGTTCAGCTTCTTGGGTTCTAGCCTGTGCCAATGCTGCCTTGCAAAATTCAGCCTCGTCAGTGGTGCTCAGGGCGCAACCATATGCCCACCTGTCGCATCTGCACGACTCCTTCTGCTGAACCTCAACCCTAAACCTTCAGCTTAACCCAAATAACCTATTGCTTAAGGGACTTAGGGGAATCATAACAAGGATCCCCAAACAAGTAGGTCATTGATCGGGTTCAGGTATAGCCCAAACCCCCGAGAGGAACGCAGCACTTCACACAAAACCAGAGCTGCGATGGGGCCCTACCCGCAGGATGCCACGAGCAACCTTTCATACCTTCGTCGCTTGCAGGCGCCTGGTCTGGCACATGTAGCTAGCTAATCGGGGCAAAGCTTAGGCTTCAGGGCCCCTTAGGGTTTTAGGATTTAGGGTCTAAAGGTTTAGGGTTTAAGGTCTCAGGGTTTAGGGTTTATCAAAGGGGAAAAGGAGGGACCCTTAATGGGGACCCCTACCCTATAATGGGCTTTTTTAATGGGTATATACTAGCTATATTAAGGGTATATACCTAGGGGTGCTTATTAAGGGTCCCTCCTTTTACCCTTCGAGTTTAGGGTTTGGGATGTCGGCTGGATTGGCTCCAGGGATGACGGATGAGGGGGGGGTTGGGGTTTCGTAGCTTTACTCACTGTCTTACCTATAGTCTCCATTGTAGTTCCTTTTTTGGGTTACCTTATAGGATCCTTAATATATAATTATTCCCTTTTTTGGGTTACCTTATAGGATCCTTAATATATAATTGGTTAAACCAAAAAAAGGAACTACACTGGAGACTGTAGGTACGTTTCCACACCTGTAAAGTTGCAACTTGATCCCGAGAGCGTGTTGTGAAACGAGGGCCCTGAAATCCCTGTTGCTTTTTTGCCTCATGTTGGTGATGATACGTTGGACCCATCGGACACAATCAGTCTCTTGCGCTGTGCAGACATTGCAGTGGTGTTCCTAAGCGAGTTTGCGATGCATTCTTTGTAGAACTGGAGTGTATTGAGTTGCTGGTTCTTGTTTCGGCGCATCGCCTGCATGTCCATTGCAGGCATGCAGCAGAGTGAGCTTACCAAGCCAGCCCCTGTCGTGCCCCACGTAACAAGGCTTCAGAGGACTGGTGATTAAGGTGCTTGGAGGATGCTGCAAGCAATATCGACCAAACTCCCAAGCTAGGCTTGGGGGCTTGAACCCTAAACCCTAAACCCTAACGGTGCAGAAAGGGTCCATTGCACTTAAAAAAACCCAAACGGTTGAGCCTCTGCGGATTCGGGGTTCGTCGAAGCTGATCAGGTAGAGCCATGCAGCGACACCATCGACTGGTCTGATGCTAAAAATGTTGCTCAAGTCGTACAAGGCAGGGGAGCCGGTCAAGGGTGCATTCTTTTCGGTGGCCTTAAAAATTGGAATAGGGTTCGATTCTAAGGGGGCTACAAGGACTACTACAAGGGTTATGTAGTCTAGGGGCCTTAATAATTACCTAGACTATTTTGGGGGGGGGGTTCCGTATTACACTTGTTGTGTAATGGGCACCAAAACCTTATTCTAATTAATTATCACGGCCCCTATATTCGAGCCTACAGGAATGCGACATGAGGGTTTCCGAAAATTCGGGGTACCTTATTTTAGGGTTCTACTAATATAATGACCCTACTATTTAGGGTACTATATGAGGGTACCCTCTTTTCGGCTAAACCCTAAACCGTGAACCCTAAACCCTCACATGGGGTGGGGGGCCTGCCCCTGGGGCTCCTGTTCTACTAGTAAAGCACCTGGATGAGTGGTCAAAGAACTTCGGCTTGTGACGGTTTTTTTTATTCAACAATCAACGTAGCTGGTCAGGGTTGAGATTTAGGGTTCGGGGTTTGGGCTTTAGAGTTTTGGATCTGCTTTTTGCCGTTTGGGGAGATCCATTTTTTAGGTGTTTTTGCACAGCAGAGTCGTTGCACCGTCACAAACTCAAAAGCCCCCAACATCGTGTGGCCCATAATAGCCTTTGCAAGAATCTGGTTTGTGCTAAACCCGAAGGCCCTAAAGCCCGAAGCTTGAAGGTTGCACAGCTCAGGTTCAGTGTTTACAGTATGGTTTAGAGTCAAGGGTTCAGGGTGTTTTGTTGGCATTGAGTGTGTCGAGGTTTCGATAGAGTTCGCAGTTGAACGTCTCCGGCGGGTTTGGGGGCTCCCGCAACCCTAAACCCCAAGACCCTTAGCCCACAACGCCGACCCAAGTGAGTATCAAATTGAATCAAAATCCTGCAGGATATCCGAGGGGGAAAGGCTGCAAGGTTTAGGGTTGATTTCGCACATCCGAAGTACTGCCCCTTCTATAAACTCACCCCTCTCCAACACGTAGCCCCAATAGCAAACAGATATCAACAAATATTACAATAAGACACTAGCCCCAGTTCTGACAGTAGCAAGCAACAACTATCTACTACAGGCCTCCAAGACTCAGGACTTTTTCAACAGCGCTCCGTTAACCCTCCAAAGTGCCGAAGCGCGTCATTCAGTTGCTGGCAGGCAAGGTGCACAAGGCTGTTGAAAAAGAACCTCTAAGGGCACCCTGATTATAGTCCCCCTTAAAGGAACCATATTCTAAGGTCTAGCTGTAGCCGAAAAGACCTACCGTACCTTCTTAAGGAACTACATACTTTATAGACACCATAGAAACCATAATAAAGAACCCTAAAAAGGCAGGTCTTTTCGGCTAGAGGTAAACTCCAGAGGCTCCGCGTATACTACCCTTATGGAATTGGGCCCCAAAAGACCGCTCTTATCATGGTTTTTTGGGCCTAATTCCATAATGGTAGTATATGTGGACCCTCTAGGAGCCGAAGTGTTTAGCCCCTTAATAAGGAACCCCAAAAAAGGCAGGTCTTTCCGGCTAAAGCAGGAACCGAATCGTTCAGCCCCTATGTCTTAATCAGGCTGCGCGTTCATTACCCTGGCGCCTCCCGGCTCGATTGCCGGGGGGGGTACTTAGGATAAAGGGTTTGGGGCGTTTAGGGTTGCCTTTGAACTGTCGGGACTTCTGCTTCGTTTTTTTTTTGTTGGGCTTCTAATTCTTAGCGGTTTCTTTAGTGGTTTAGGGGATTCTGGTCCGGTGTTTTTTGTCACTGAGTTAGCGATTTATGTAGGCGTTTAGGGGCTTTTGGTTCCGTGATTTGTTGCTGGTTGTTTCAAGGTTTGTATACCTATAGGCCCCAAAGTAGTTCCTTTTGGGGGTTCTTATATAGAATCCTATAAGGAAATCCCCAAAAAGGAACTACTATGGAGCCTCTGGGTAGAGGCTTACGTCCTTCTGTTCGCGGACTTTTTAACGATTCTTTGGGGTGTATCGCTGAGGGCTTTCAAGGGCTTTCTAGTTCAGGGTTCGGAGGTTTAGGGCTCAGTGTTTGGGTTTAGGGGTTTGGAGTTTCAAGGAGGATCTGTCCGTAGGGGAAACGTTGTTCTGGTTACCTGTACCTATGATGCACTTATATACCACTGCGTGCACCAAGACAGCATGACGCACATAGCATTCGTTGTGCCGCTTTCCTTAAGGTACCTTAAGAAAGCCCTTTCGAGGTGCTTGAACTCATCCATAGGGATGCTACCTTACAACATAATTAGGGGTTTGTGTCGTTGTTGGGGCTTGTAGATTCGAGGCTTTTAACTTAGGCATTTTTTGAGTTTGCGACAATCAAAGGGGAAAAGGAGGGACCCTTAGTAAGGACCCCTAGGTATATACCCTTAATATAGCTATTACATCCCCATTATATAGCCCATTACATATAGGGTAGGGGTCCCCATTAAGGGTCCCTCCTTTAACCCTTTGAGACAAGACGAGGATGTGGCTCATTTTCGCTAACAACTCCAAAGTCGCCATTGCACAGCCCCGCAGCTGCATTGGCTTTGAAAACTCGGGTTTAGGGGTTTAGGGTTTAGGGTTAGGTCCCGTTAGCCCTTGCTTCGAGCTTGAACCCCAAACAGGGAAAAGTTCCTCAGCCAACGGAAGCTAGAATTAAGCTTGGACTATAAGCTCCAAGCGCTACAACCCGGTACACCCACAACCTTAAAACAGCCATAGGAAGCGAAAAGCCGCATCGCAACATCACAAAAACAGCGGGATGAACACCTGTAGGAATCCAGACTCTACCCAAAGGCCCCAAAGTACTTCCTTTTTGGGGTTCATATATAGAATCCGATAAGGTAATCCCCAAAAGGAACTACTTTGGGGCCTATGGGTAGACCCTCTTGTAACAGTCGTAAAACAGGAAGGCACCTCTGGAACAGAGACACGCCGTATGTGCCACCATCAGCCACTTGGTCAGAACACTCTAAAGTAATGGTAGGGTGCTGATTCTAGGGTTGATGAATGATTTTAGCTTTGGGGTTGGGGACTCTGGAATTTCACGATTTGAAAATGACACGGGCTTACACAGGTTTTTAGGCACGAATGCGGGTTTTTCCAGGGTTTCGAGGGCTGAAGGTTTTCGGACTTTGGGAATGTGGGAAAATATCCCAAATAAGAGTCCTTATCTACGGGATCCTAGCCTGTTTATATAAACCCTACCCATAGGTCAGACAGTCGTCAGATTCCACCGTATACAGTACACACCATAAAGTTGGAAACCGACTTTCGGGCTTCTACCATTAGCCCCAAACCCTATCCTGGAGTTTGGTTGGAGACTCAAGAGATACGTTTTTCACATGGGTAATCATTTAGGCTTCCATGTTGACTGCTGCAACTGCTTCGCCTCACTCAGAACAAAGACTGCTTGAATCGGTCGCACAAGGCCGTAGACTGAGGATGCACTTAGTCTCAGAACCGAACAGGGGACAAGAAACTATTGCACAAGTAACATTTAAAGCTGAATATACACCATCGACGAAGTTTCAGGCGAGATGCTGTAGAGGCCCATCACAAAGAGTCGTGCTGTGCTGATGCGCAGCCTCATAATATGCATACGCCACCATTTCGTTGAGAAAGCGGGGACCATGACCGAATGGCGTTTCTATTGCAGGGCGTGGTTCAAGAACCGTAGCCTGGCCCAGTGGTTGCCCCAAATGGTGTGGGATGCATTCTTCTGGCCTGCATGCCAAATTCTTTGCAATGCACCTGTAATACTTGGCGCGTTGGATGAGTTAGTCACTGATTTCTCGAAACCATCACACAAGAGCGAATTTCTCGGAACGCAGCATTGGCGCAGCCCACTTCGCAAACACTCCTTCATGGAGGGGCAGGTTGTGATGCTGCAAAGCACAGTGCGTGTTGCCCAGCAGAAGAAAGCCGTGGTCATTCAGCAGCACCTTCGAGGATACCTCCAGCGAAAGAGGTTGAATATGATGATCGCAGCCGCCCAGCTGATTCAACAACATGTTCGTGCACATTTGTCTTCCAGCATGCCGGCAAGCTGGCAGCCGCTGGACTGGGAAGGATTTGTTTTTGGCAAAGTTCTGGGCCAGGGCGCCTCTGCCTTCGTGCAGGAAGCGATGGCAGATGGGTGGATGGTGGCCGTGAAATCCCCAGGCCCGAGGTTAACGATGACAGTGCCAATATGGATCTGTACCACGAGCTGCGCATGCTGGAGCTATGCCAGCACCCGAAGGTGGTGATGGTGTACTGCTTGATTCCAGCAAGTCTGCAAGGGTTGGTCATGGAGCTATTGGGCCCTACCCTGCATCAGGTCGCCGATGGCAGGCCAATGTCTACCGAAGACCACGCCCACGTGTGCCACGAGGTTGCTCAAGCTTTGCATTTCCTGCAGCGGCAGTCCGTCGTGCACGGCGACGTCAAGCCATCAAACGCCTGCTTGAGCTATGAAACCCAATGGCCATGCATGCTGAAACTGGTTGACTTTGAAGTTGCTCAGGAGTTGCCTTCTGAAGGCTTCTGCACTCAGAAAGTGGGCAGTGTTTATTACTGGTCGCCAGAGATGATGGCATCACCCACGCAGTATGACTGCAAACACGACATTTGGAGCCTTGGCATTTTATTGCGCGACCTGCCCTGCAGCTCAGACTGCGCCGTGGCACTTACAGCAGGGCTTTTGAAGGAGGATTGTCATGACCGACCATCCGCTGGTGCAGTAGTGTGGCTCGCTTACAAGCTTTGCAAGACGTCCTCGCAGGCCTAAGCACATGACCTTGCCCAGCTGCAGATTGAGAAAGGTTGGCAGTGAGCACTTGGTTGGCCCATCAATCAAACTGAAAATGGCAGCAATACAACCGAAGACGACGTACTATGTCGGTTGCAGTGTGGCCTCAAATTCATGGTACAAGGGTGGTCGCACAGAAAAAGTGCGCGAATAACCGTAAATGCAGGCACAGAAGCTGCAAGCGTCAACATAATTCCCAAGTCGCCCCCGCCCTCCCACACACACACACACAAACACGCGCTGAACCATACATGCATGTATTATCTAGAATATAATGCGATTCTCTCTGTCTCTCCGCTACCTTTTCTGGATGTGTGTGTGTGTGTATATATATATATATATGTGTATATGCGCGGTTGTGCGTGTGTGTGTGTGTGTGTGTTCCTTCTTCTCCTCGCTCTCTTTCTTCTCTCTCTCTCTCTCTCTCTCTCTCTCTCTCTCTCTCTCTCTCTCTCTCTCTCTCTCTCTCTCTCTCTCTCTCTCTCTCTCTCTCTCAGTCTCTCTCTTTATGTAATAATGAGAATGAAAAGAACTTTACGCACGTACTTTGGGTTGTTTACTTCTTCAGCTGTGGTTTCGTGTATTTGTCTATCTGTTGTTTCCCGAGTTATACATATACATATGTGCATATGAACTCACATATGTGCCGCTATCTATCTATACATACATATATATATATATATATATACATACATCTATCTATATATATATATATATATATATATACGTCTATATATACATATATATATATACATATAAACACACATTCCTATTCCTATTCCTATTCCTATTCATATTCATATTCATATTCATATTCATATTCATATTCATATTCATATTCATATTCATATTCATATTCATATTCATATTCATATATATATATATACATGGATATACATGGATACACACACACACACATACACTGCTGGGTTTATTACGCAATCCTCACCAGCTTCCTCCGAAGCATGGGCCCGGAGTGGCGGGGGGCAACATCAGTCGTAAGGAGTTTTCTGGACAGATATAGGGTTGGGCCAGAGTACGCACAGGGGCACACGCTTGAAGCAATCATAAATTTGGAAGCGACGGCAATACGAAGATGCCAAACAAAAAACGAAGGTGGACCATGACTTACTTACAGTGTCCTCAAAATACGAAATGTCTACACACTACGAAGATGCCAAAAACAAGGGTGGACGTTGGCGTTTTACATACTTACAGTGTCCCTGAAATAGGAAAGGTCTTCAATACGAAGATGCCAAAAAACAAGGGTGGACGTTGGCGATACATACTTACAGTGTCCCTAAAATACGCAAGGTCTACAATACGAAGATGCAAAAAAAAGGTGGACGTTGGCGTTACATGCTTACAGCGTCCTTAAAATACGAAGGGTCTACACTGCTACACACTACGAAGATGCCAAAAAACAAGGGTGGGCGTTGGCGTTACATACTTAGTTACTTACAGTGTCCTTAAACAGTGCAAGGTCTACAATACACATATGCCAAGAAGCAAAGGTGGACGTTGGCGTTAGATACTTACAGTGTCCCTAAAATCTGCAAGGACTTCAATACGAAGATGACCGACAAGAAGGGGTGGACGTTGGCGTTACATACCTACAGCGTCCTTAAAATACTCAAGGCTTGTACCATACGAAGATGCCAAGAAACAAGGGTGGACATTGGCGTTACATACTGACAGTGTCCCTAAAACATTTTGCGGGATGTACAATACGAAGATGCCAACAAACAATGGTGGGCGTTGGCGTTACATACTTGCAGTGTCCTTAAAATATTCAAGGCTTGTGCAATGCGAGGATGCCAAAAAACCAAGGGTGGACGTTGGCATTACATATTTAAAGTGTCCACAAATATGGAAGATTTACGATACGAAGATGCCAAGAAACAAGGGTGGACGTTGGCGTTACATACTTACAGTGTCATCAAAATATGAAGGCTCTACAACACGAAGATGCCAAAAAATCAAGGGTGGACGTTGGCATCGAATACTCACGGTGTCCCTAAAATATGCAAGGTCTACACTACGAAGATGCCAAGAAACAAGGGTGGATGTTGGCGTTGCATACTTACAGTGTCCTCGAAATATGCAAGGTCTACGATACGAAGATGCCAAACAACAGACGAGAGTGGATTTTGACTTACTTACAGTGTCCTCAAAATACGAAATGTCTACACACTACGAAAATGCCAAAAACAAGGGTGGATGTTGGCGTTACATACTCACAGTGTCCTTGTAATATGAAAGGTCTTCAATACGAAGATGCCAAAAAACAAGGGTGGACGTTGGCGTTACACTGTCTTTCAAATATGCAGGTCTACAATACGAAGATGCTAAAAACCAGGGGTGGTGGAATTGGTGTCTGGGGCTTGGGGTTGGGGGGTTTCGGTTTCGGGCTCGGGTTTAGGTTCTTAGGTGTCTGGGGTTGGGGTGCCTGATATGTGAGAAAGTACACTCGAAAGCGGTTTGTGCGTTAAGAACGAATGGCAGTGCTTTTCCTGTCTAGGAATGGGTTATGGGGGGTGTTATTGGGACTACTATAGGGATCCATTCCCCTGAACCCTAAACCCTAAATAGGGACTACTATAGGGCCTAGGGCTTCATTCCCCTAGACCTAAACCCTAAACCGGCCCTAAACCCTAACCCCTAAACCCTCAACCCTAACAAGGGACTGCTATAGGGATCCATACCCCCACTCCCCACACAGAGCATCAGGGAGTTCTCTGGATCCAGTTCAATCCAAGGGTAAAAGGAGGGACCCTTAAAAAGAACCCCTAGGTATATACCCTTAATATAGCCATTATATACCCATTATATGGTCCATTATAGGGTAGGGGTCCCCATGAAGAGTCCCTCCTTTTCCCCTTTGATTCAAGGGAGCCCCCATCCGCTCCTTTCCCCCGAAGGCCAGGATCCCTTGAGCGCCCTGAATAGTACTAGGATGCCCAGTAGTACCCTTATTCCCTTTCTGTAGTCCTAGGTTCCTTATAAAGTTACCCAATACCAAAAAGAGAGGCCTTTTTATTCTCAGGTTACATGGGTATCCTAGAGTAGGAACCTTATTACGAAGACCCCAAAATAAAGTACACACTTTTTTCGGAAACTTCCCCGAACCCTGAACTTATATGCGTGTCAACGGGCCGTCAAGTTTGTGAAACAGCTCCAAGGGCAAAATTGATGACAATCCGAAAGCAAGCCAACATCCTAAACTCCCGAAGCTCCTAAACTTCTAACCCTTAAACTGCTAAGCCCCTGAACACCAAACCTTGAGTTGCAAGGCACTGCCGTGGCCTTGCTGTCCGGCTTTTTCAACATCCTGCAGCTCACAGCCATCGATGACTTTGACATTCCGGGTCGGCAGCAGTGACGGGTTGTAGTTCGTGCTTTAAGGTTCGGGGCTCAGGTATTCAGGTGTGGGGATTTGGGCATGAAAGTTTAGGGTTTAAGGTTGGGCATTGCGGGCTCAATGTCGAGGTTTGATTTTTTTTGGAGGCATAAGAATGACAATGTGCACAGAGGGTTTAAGGGCCGACGCGTAGTAAGTTGTGTCCACGCCTTCAAGATACGTTGGTTTGCCTCTCAATGTGAATCCTGCTGAATGTAGTGCAAACCCCAGAATGTCTCTAGGTAGGGGTTTAAAAGTCTGTGGGCTGATGGTGTTGTGTGCGGACGCTCAAGGTTTGTATGTGTCATAGGGACCGTTAGGGGGATCGGGGGGAGGGGGGTAGGGGATTCTACATCCTTAAAAAGGCCCTATTAGGTCCTTATTTTATGGGCATTAAGGCCCCCCCTACCCCCTACCCAAGGGTTCCTATGAATGTGCAGGTCTGCAGAAACGGGGCTTTGGTTTGAGGGCCTGAAGGCGTCAGGGCTTGAGACTTGAGGGTCTGGGGGCCATCTCCTTGTTTCTTAAGGAAACCCCTAAGCCTGAACCCCTGCACCCACTGTAGCATGTAGGATCTTTTGGGCTATTAGGTTCGAGGGATTTTGGGCGGTTTCCCTGCACCACCCCAGGTCTAAATTCACACTGAAGCAGCTCTGAGCCCCTAAACTCCTGTCCTCCATTGGCCAGGCAGAGGCGCCTCGACTCAGTCCTACACTCTTCAGCTGGCCCGCCCTGCTCCTGGATCGCATATAAAGGGCTTCGATTTCATTTAAAACTGCGGATAGTCTACCTATAGGCTCATACCCTACCCCTTTTTTAAGGTACCTATTTTTCTATATAGGAGATCCTAACCATAAAGTTAGGTACCCTAAAAAAGGGGGTAGGGTATGACCCTCTAGGTAAGGTCTGATCATACGGCTTGGTGGGAAGTTTCGGCCCAAGCCCTGATCCCTAAACCCCCACCCGAAGGCCCTGAAGCTCTGTACCCGACCTAGAGGCTCCATAGTAGTTCCTTTTTGGGGTTCAGGGTTTAGGGTTTAGGGGTTTAGGGTTTAGGGTATTATTTAGAATCCTATAAGGTAATCCCAAAAAGGAGCTACTTTGGAGCCTATGGGTAAGACCTAGCCTGCAGCAGGATCGAGCTTTGTTCTCTCGAGCTGAGTTAGAGGCCTTCTGGCCTTTCCCGCTTCTCCATTGTTTAGAAAGCAGAAGCTTAACCGTAGTTTAAAGTCCTGAATAACTTGTATCAACCGTTCCCCGGCGGCCCAATACAGAGGGGCAGAGAAGGAGAGGGCCAGAGAGAAAGAGAGAGAGAGGGAGAGAGACATTTAGAACAGACAGGAACGCACACGGTCAAGCTCCAACTTGCATGCAAGCCTACACGCACAACACACGGTCAAACAACACGGCGGGCGAGCAATCAAGCAAACACACAAGAATGCTGATACAGAAGCATGCTTTAACTCACGTACGCGTACACATATACTTACAACTTACAACCGCAAGCAGATGTGCATACATGCACCGATGTGTAAGTGCTGGCCCTCGTGTTGTATTGCTTTCTTGATGGTTACTGCGACTGTGTATCTACATTCTTGTATGTGTGCAGGAGTGCAAGTATGTGATTGCAGGTCCATCCGCGAACGCAAGACAGAGACAGATATGCACTCTCCATATGCAGATGGTCATCACATGTATGTGCGTTGCTGAGACCAATGGAGGAGAATTGGACATGTTCATGAAGTGTTGGGTCACAGCGGATAGGCAGGTAGTCATGGGTGTTGTTGGTTCCGTGGTCCGTGGGTGAGCTTCACGAGAGCGATGTCAAAATTATGGTCCCTTTTTGGGCACCTTAAATATTAGGTGCCGTATCATAATAGGGACCCAAAAAGGGACCCTAATTTTGACAACCACCCAGGTAAACGACTAACCGCTGACGCTGTGATACAAATGCCGCTTCATGTCTTCAGGGCTGCCTTTCGTGTGCTTGGCAAGTCAGTAGAAGAACCTGATCTCGAAGAGTCCTCCGGTAGAGTTATAGTTATAGGGTAATGAACCAGGACCCTCCTTTCAACCTCGAACAGGGGTATATGGTCCAAAATAGTGGGCATTTAGGGTCCAATGGAGGGTAGATAAAGGGTCTAGGAACACTCAGTCCTCAAACCCTAAGCCTGAACCCTAAACCCTAATAGGGCTATGGCGTAATGGAGCAGTCTGCAGAAACCGTTCTCGAGCATCTTTCAAGCTCATGGGGCAGGTCGAATGGATCATGACTTGCCCCATCTTGCAACTCGGAGTGGGTCTTGGGCCTTGGGGTTTAGGTTCATGGGGTTTAAGAATTCAATTTAGGGTACTATAGGGGCCTAAATCATTACCAATACTAATTTTGGGGGTTCCTTATTTATAATGGCACCAAAACCCTATTCTAATTATTAAGGCCCCTACATGAGGCTCGAACATCTGAACTTGAGGTTTCACGCGGGTTTTGGGGTCTACTGACCTGCCGGCCTGCTCCCCCAGCACCCTGAACAAAGCCGGTACCTCTCAAACTGCTGATCCCTATGCCATGCAGACCCTAAGCCATGGGGGTTTCCGAAAATTAGGGCTATCTTAGGGTCCCCGATTTTCGGAAACGCCCATATCTAGGGGATCAGCACACGACATGCAAGCGGCGGCGCTCACCGGTAGCCGCTGCTATCCGCCTGCTGCCGTGCTCGCTTGCTGCTGCTGCTGCTGTTCCTCCTCCTCCTCATCCTCCTCCTCGTGCTGTTGCTAGTACCACTACCACCGACCGCTGCGTAGATAGACGCAGCAACCAGCGGTCCATTTGTTGTCGTGGCCATCGTCATTGCCAGGTCCTACCATGCATGGCTCAGATCCTAGTGGGCCATGATGTGCGAGTTCAGAGTTGAGGGTCTGGCGAAGCCGCATTGTCCAAGCTCCACGTTGAACCTGCGAGACTCCAAATAGGTAGTTGTCAAAATTATAGTTCCTTTTTGCATACCCTAAAGATCAGGTGCCGTATTATAATAAGGACCTAAACCGGACCATAATTTTGACAACCACCCAAATCACAGCACGGTAGTTCAGAAGGTTCCGCAATAGTTTCTCTCCACCCAGAAACAATGATTCAGACACAAGGCAGTTGAAACTTGTCGTCCTCGCTGGTGCCCGGGTACCTTCCTACAGGCGGCGCCTTTTTCGGAAGTTTGGCCCTTGCTTGGGCTTACGTTCGTCAACATCCCGCTTATGAAGGTTTCAATTCTGTTTCAGAACTTGTAGTTTCGACAGTTGTCCCAACAAACCCGTGAATGCTTGAATGCTTGGGCAGGCGGTTCATGATGCCGCTGCTCTCAGCAACCATTCTGATGTCACTTGCCGATCATTTCTGTGGCCCTGGGTCCTTTCTTGTTGACTTGCCGACAAGAAGAAGAGAAAGCTTGTGAGGTGCAGTAATTATTCATGGTAGCAGGCATATGCGGAGAAACTACCACTTCAGCCGCAAAAATGTTTACGTTAGTTACAGAGCAGCTTCTTTCGGAAGAATTATATGTACATGTGCCCAAGGTCAGTAATGACCAATGGCTGAATTAGAGAACAAGTTTGTTTGTGGCCGGACCTTCCCTATACCCGACGTCCAAAACCCTAAACCCTTACACTAGCACTGTTTGTAACGAGTCCTGGTAGAATACAGGTCAGAGTCGCATTCTTCCCCCAAAGAGCGGTATCTGCTCAGTAGCACCGACCTCAATAATTCGACAACAATAACGACCACGACAACAACAACATCTACAGCAGCAGCTACAGCTGCAGCTGATACTACTACTACTACGACGATTTCTACTACTACCACGACTACTACTGCCACGACTACTGCTACTATGACACTCACCCAAACCGTAGTCGAACCATCTAGTCCGTGTTACGGATTGAGTGAGTGTGAGACAGAGAGAGAGACAGAGAGAGAGAGGGAGAGAGAGAGAGAGAGATAGAGAGTTAAAGAGAAAGAACGAGAGAGAGATAGAGAGAGAGAGAGAGAGAGATAAAAAAAAGAAGAAACAGAGAGAAAGAACAAGAGAGAGAGAGAGAGGGAGAGAGATCTCTGAGTGCAGGGCTTCGGGTTTAGGGCCTCGGGTGCTTGAGTGTTCGGCCATGGCTACGATAGAACTTCATCAGACCCCGAACTCGAATCTCAGTTTCGGGTGCTTGCAGGGAACTCCAGAAAGTTGGAATATGGTTTCTTGGTAGGATACCCTATAATTTACCATAGAAGGGTTAGGATAATCATATTCCAACTTTCTGGCTTTTACCTTAACCCGCAAAGCCCTACAAGCCTTCGGCCACCGTCACGTTTAGGATCTGTTCCTAGGGAAGCCTCCGTTCCTTATCCCGAGTTGCGGCATTGCCTCCAGCTTGACGGACACGTTCATGATGAATCTTGGGCTCAGAGAGCAGTAGTCATAGATAACTCAAAAACAATGGAAAAGAAAGAAACATAGTAGTAATAATATCCATAATATCAAGCTTGGGCTTACCTTTAGTGTTCGCAGTGGAGGGTTGGGGAGTCCGGGGTGCAAGTTTAGGATCGAGTTTGAGGAATGAGTTATACGTCTTTTCATGGACAATACAATGGCTGGTTGTGCAAGTGTGTGCTTTGCATCTTGGTTTGAGCTTTGCTTTGATTGCGGTTGGCAGTGCTGCCGGGTTCCCTGACAGAAATTCTGTGCCCTAAGCACAAGAAACACACCAAGCCCTGAAGCCCTAAATCCTGCATCCTCATCCGAAAAACGTCACGGAAACCCTTCGACGTCCCAACAAGACCCACTCTTTAAAATATAGGGGGCCTGAAGAACTGTGGTATAGTACACCTCAAAGCCCTGTTTTAATTATTAAGGCTCCTATAAAGGGAACTCCAGAAAGTTGGAATATGGTTTCATGGTAGGATCCCCTATAATTTACCTTAAAGGGGTTACGATAATCATATTCCAACTTTCTGGCTTCTACTGTAAGGATTAGGCAGACTGGGATCGGCAACCCCCGAGACGGTATCCCCAAGAGGCTGAGCCGCCATTGGCCGAAAAGATATCTCTACTTCGTAATTTTGAGGGAAGGTGATCTTTTATGGGTTTAGGGTTTAGGGTTTAGGGTTGCGAATAGAAGGTGATCTTTTATGGGTCTTGGGGGGCCAGGCTCATTGGGTTGCAGCTTGCACCCTCAACCCCGAACAATTACAATAGGGGCTTAAGAACCCCGAACAGTTACAATAGGGGCCTAAATGATTACCTATACTGTTTTGGGGGTTCCTTGTTATAACTATCGTATAAGGGGCCCCAAAACCTTATTCTACTTATTGAGGCCCCTATATTACATACCGAGTGGAAGGCTGGTGTAGTCTTGCACTCGTGACCGGACCCACCACCGATCTTCGTTCTGGTTCAATTTAAGCTACCCATAGGCCCCAAAGTAGTTCCTTCTTTTGGGATTACCTTATAGGATTCTTAAATATGAGCCCCCAAAAGGAACTACTTTGGGGCCTTAGGGTAAGGGCAACTTCTGTTCACCGGGTTGGGGCACGGAGCTCTAGGCCTCAGCAATTCCCGGCCAAGGTACGTGTGGTTCGCCTTCGGATGCATCTTTTGCCTGATCATGTTTTACTACAATGCCCTGCAGATCACTGAGAACAGTGAAGGAGAGGAGAACTGGTATCACGGCAATTCGGACTACCGTCGGCGACCCGGCTGATTTGCGTGAGCGCTACGGTTATACACAATAAAAGTTGTGGGTTCGCACAATACTTGAAGGAATATTTTATGGCTGGTTCTAGGCTGCTTTCTTGGGTAGCTAGAGCTAAAATAATCCCAACTTAGTTGCTGATTACCCTACTTATGGGACACTCGGCAAAGCTATATCAACCCGAATCAAGCGAACAGCCTGAGCCTTTTTCGGGCTACCCTGCCTGAAACTGAAGCGATAGAACTACCCAGAGGCCCCATAGTAGTTCCTTTTTGGGATTACCTTACAGGATTTTATATACGAACCCCCAAAAGGAACTACTTTGGGGCCTTTGGGTAGAAGCCGTATGCCCGCTACCCTAAACCCATCGTAGGAGGGCCATCACCAGCCGAGGCCAAGGATCCTTCCTTTGCAAACTGCCCAGCGCAAGTAACCCCTGCATATTCAACAGGGGTTTGACTCCTAAGCCCGATTCAGTCTCAGTCTAAACCCTTGCAGGTGGGATCGAAAAGTTGAAGCTCGAACAACCGTGCAAAAGCCGAGCCTGTAAACTCTATGAGGGGTCTCCTAAAACCCGAGGCAGAAACCTTAAGACCTTAAGCTTAGGGGCACTTAGAAATATTTTTAATTCTTGGTTATTATAGCCCCTAAGAAACAGCTAAAATCATATTTTTTGCTAGGGTTCTAAGTTCAGTATAGGAAGCCCTATACACTAAACAACAAGGGAAAACCACCGTCTGCCCTGACGGAGGCTCTCACTCCTCCTCATTCTGACCTGGTTCCCATTCCCCATCTGGCGACTGGGCATCAACAGAAGTTCCGCTTGTTCCATTCTGCATTTAGTAGTGCTGTAATTTACCTTACTTGCAATCCTTGATGACATTCAAAGCTTGTTCTCGTCAGTCTCATTATGGCTGTCTGGGGTTCTGGTGCTTGTGGTTTAGGGCTTAGATACGGGTGTGGGCTATTTTGTTTTCGGGAATCGTGCTGCGGGGTTTTGGCATGTTGAGTTTGGAGATCAGCGTGATTTCCGGTTGTAGGAGCCTGCAGAACTTCACCATCCTATCTTAGTAGTACCTATAGTCTCCATTATAGTTCCTTTTTTTGGTTTAACCAGTTCTATATTAGGGATCCTAAAAGGTAACCCCAAAAAGGAACTACAATGGAGACTATAGGTAGAGCAGCGAACCTTCGACCTTGTTGGGGTACTGTAACCCCGATACAATCCCCAAGGCCAACCTCTACAGTAAACCCCGGAAAGTTGGAAACCGGATTAAGGCCAAATGGAGCTGGGATTCCCTTTACTCTTAAGGATTGAGGCTATTGGGTTTCCAGCTTTTGGGCTTCTACTGTAGCTCCGCTGGGATACTTGGCAAGCCTTCGAAGGAGTTGCTTACGCTTTGAGGAATAGTAATTCCGGACTCTGGGCCCTGGGCTGCTGAAATCTGGGAGTTTCCGAAAATTAGGGCTACCTTATTTTGGGGTCCTTATAATATGGATCCTACACTTTAGGGTATCATATTAGGGTCCCTTAGTTTCGGAAACCCCCATCTGCATGCCACAGCTTAGCACTTTCTTATCAGCCCGGAAAAATTCCTTCCTCGCCCCCGAAACCAACCCTAAGCCCAAAAAAACCCTCAAAGCAGACACCTAGCTTCGTAAGACTCTCTCTGCAGCGGGACAAAGGTCCCGAAAAAAAAAAAAAAAAACACACACACACACACACACACACACATCCTAGCTCCCAGGTATGTTCTCAGCCCGGAGGGCTATAGCATCATTGAGGATGAGCTCATCATCGAGCTTGGGTGGGTGGTCCTGAACATGCTGGCATCTGGGCACTGAATTCTCGTGGGGACTGAAAGTTAATATGAATACCATCAACTACGATGAAAACTACTACAACATTAGTTAATATTGCAAATATGAAGACTAAGATTCATACTAATCTCAGTATTAAGAAAATTCCGGAATCATTACCAATACTCGCAGCCCCTATGTTTTCAAATCCTCGGCCCCGACCGCCGCTTACACCGTAACTCCTGTAAACCGGAATTCCTGTGCGCGAACTTGCAATTGAAGAAAGGAATCTCCACACCCTAAACCCTGAACCCCTACAGTAAAGAACACCGACCCGGCCCTTTGTGACCCACACCCCGCGCCTTTTCAGCCTTGGTAACTTTTTTCCTGTCGCAGGGCACGGATCGGGCGCTGTTTCGGGTTCGGCAGTTCGCACTTACTTTTTCTGAATTGGAGGGGGAAAGGTGGAGAGGGAGTGGGGTGCATTTCTGCATGTTCAGTAGTCTAGTCTAGCCATTCACTATACCGTCACGAATGCATTGTAAAGACTGTATACAGTTGATAATCCTGGAAAGACCACAGCCACATGAATTGAAAAAAACTTTTTGGGATTCGGGGACTAATGCCCTGCCAAGCACAGCCACCGAGTACATACCATACATGGCATATATCTACATACATACATGTACAAGTCTGTTTGTGTGTACATGTATGCATGTATGCATGCAAGCATGTGTGTAGGTATGTATGTATGTATGTATGTATGTATGTATGTATACGGCAGAGCCTAGTCTTCAACCATATCCCGAGAGGCCAAGTTCTCCTTCATCATCCTCCTGCAGCGTTCGAAGCCACTCTTCGGAAAGTTTAGGGGTTTAGGGGTCGGGGCTTTATGGCTCATAGATAGGGTTTAGGGGTTTGGGTTTTAGGGTTTACGGGAATCTTGGCGAAAGGTCGTGGATCTCAGATCTCTGCTAGCTACTAAAACCCTAGACCCCTAGACCCGAAAAACCCTAAGCGTCCTAACCTACCATAGCCTGCTTTTTTGGGTAGCGTTTCTATGATCTCCTTATTCGAGTCTTATACCAGGACTCTACCGAATAAGTATTTAGAGGCAAAGAGCAAGTGGCTAAGGTACATACGGTCAACATGCTTCCCGTCCCTTGATAGGAATTCTGATACGGCTGATAGGGATCGCAATACTACGTGCTCTGAATACATGGGGCGTGTATAGGTCAGGGACCGGCATGAACTTAGGGCCCACATGCACACTCGCCAACCTACCCCTAAGTGCTGCTACAACACCACCCAAATTCCCAAGTTTTCCGAGCCCAGCATTTTCCGACACTGACCCTAAACCCTAAACCCTAAACTGAGGCTGGTCCACCAGCGTAAGCTCCAAGCTGCTCGCGAGCTCTACGGGCTCTCCCCCAGCGATGAGGCTTGGGGTACAGGGCTTGGGGGTTTACGGTTTAGGGCTTGCGGGTTTGGGGGCTTAGGGTTTTGGATTTAGGGTTGAAGGCTCGTTTAAATATGAGAGGGTCTCAAGAGGCCCTTCTATACAGGGGTTCTAAGAGAGTTCAACAATACGTGTTTATGAGTGTTTACTTCGGTCTACTTTAAGAGTTCTCTGAAGGGTTCTTTTGGTTTTGTTATAGGGAAGCATACGCAACGTAGGGGCATCCGACAGTAATAAGCCCATATCAGATCTAGTCATTTTGCCCATGCACATCATCTGTTCCGAAATTCAGGACAAACTCAACTATCCCCGGCATCGAACAACATTCCAGGTAATTAATAAAAATTTCCCAGATGACACGCTCAATATGGCTGAGTCCCGGAGATCTGCAAATTACTGTTTCCACTTGATGAGGAAGAATCAGAATATCTCCTTTCGAAGCTATATCATACTAAGTGCTGATACATTGCCTATGTTCAAGACTGGAGACAAATAAGTGTTCTGAGGAAACTACTTACCCAGGGGCCTCCATATCAACAAAAACACACATGGGCCCGAAATATGAAATCAGATATCGCACGTCTGCAGCCATGGCTGTCCTGAACAAACTTGATGTTTTTTGGCTCAAGGCCATTTGCAACCTCGAAGGGCTAGAGCCCACTTGATGCAACAGGAACTCTACGAATCTACGAAACCCGTTGCAACCCAAAGGCTTGAGGAATATGTTCAAGTTACGCGCGACATTCGCACAACAGCAGAACGAACGTTGACATGGATACGCATACCGGAGATCCAACGAAGTATTGAATGCACCGGTGGTGGGAGATGGTCATCGTGAACCGAAGTTATTGAACAACGCCGGCTAAAGTTGCCAGGCTATGTGCTTTGTAGGGGAGGCAGCATCCGATGCATCAATCAGCATTCAAGACGCAATCAGGCATACCCAGGCACAACGACCAACGTCGGGTTGGTTGCCCGCGAGACAGTCTTGGACAACGAACATGGGAAAGGCACGCCACGTCATCCATGTCTACGACGGAACAACTCCTGGTGGGCCCGGTTCAGGGTTCAGGGTGTCCTTGAAGCATTACAGGAACAAATGATTGATCAAGCTTGATATCTCCCACCGTTAAACCAGTGAATCAACCGGACGGTTGTCGCTCAGTGTGAAGAAACTCAGTGTCAAGCATCACATTTGTCAAGCAGCGTGGATGCACCAAAGATACGAAGACCTAAGGTATCAAAGACAAGACCTCAGCGTGAACTACTCAGTGCGATGAACGAGCACAGTGTTCAGTGATGAGACAGCAATTGACGCGGAGTGAAGTGTAGCATGAGTGACGAAGTAGGTTAGCAGTGGCGACTTGCGCACTCCTTTGGCTGCAGGCTAAGGTAGGAAAAACACTCGGAATTTCCACAAGAATCCCTTTATATAGTCCCTTTAAGGCTTTTATTATTAGGGGTGATGAACAGGCTCCTTTACTTCTCTCATGGTTAATTACTACGAATCCTAAGCCCATGCACCCAATCCCAAAACTCTAGAGCAGAAGAGGTGCCCGAAACAGTTCTGGCCAAGAAGGGCATGAAGGAGTCGGCGGGAGGCCACAGAGCAAGCCGGTTGGTTCAGGGTTTGGTTTTAGGGTTCAGGGTTTGATTTTAGGGTTTAGGGTTTCGGAGTCCGTACCAAGCTGTCTTAATCACGGTACCTTTGACAGGGCGGCTCCGTGTATTGGTTCAGGCTCGGGTCACT